AAACTAAAAACTAAAAAAAAAAACAAAAAAAAGTAAAATCAAAAAGCAAAACAAAGCAAAGTCCGAGAGGGGCACAGACAAATGATAGAGGAGAATCAAGTCTCTCTATTTTTTTTAAACGTTTTTGGTGAGAAATTTCACTCAGCCAGCGGAAGGCGAGGCAAGTTTCAAGGTTGCCAGCCGATTTTTCTATGATAATGGAACAGGTGAGCGGCGAGTTTGAACAGATTTTGTATTTCTTTTTAGTTTATTTTTTTCCTCTTTTGATTGTAATTGACTAAGCCACCAAACAGGGAACTATACTCAAACTGAAAAAGGGAAGGAGAATTGGAATTGGATGACAAAATGAGCGTGGAACACACACAATAATAAAAATTGGATGTTGTCCAAAGTGAGGTTGTCCGTAATAATAATTTATAAGTTGTTCAGGGTATAGAAAATTAAAAGACCTATATTAAAAAAGAAAATCAACTAAATAAAGAAAATTGTAAAAACTTTCACTGTAGTTAGTTGATTGTTGCTGAAAATGGAGAACTATACTATTGTGATTACAAATGAATATGGAAATGAATATTAACTTTTAAAACCACTTGTGAATCATATTTAAAAGAAGTGTATCTTGTCTGAAGTTCTCTTTCAAACAGGATTATATCAAAACAGTTACATTTTTGTCAAGCTATATTTAAACAATTTTAACTGTAGAATCTGGACTTCATTCAAATATGGTGGGCTAACTTTTAAGATCTCAAATGAAACATATCATAAATACATGCATAATCTGAAGAATATAATAAAATAACTGTAGATATGAATAACTTGCTAATTTTGTTGAGTGCTTTCAGACTACCCAAAATCCCACACATCGTCATCAGTTTTGAGTGCCAAGCAAACAATAAGACAAAAACTGACCGACCCTTCACATTTCTACAGAGATACAGATACAGATGTAGATATATCTACAGCAAAATCGAGTAAACATAATAAAAACGCAAATATGCAACTGCAATTCCACTGTAAAATCGTGAAAATTGTTTATAGTAAGTCAATGTATATATGTTTATATATATATATAGATGTGTATACATCTGTATACATATCTGTAAAGTGCATTTCCTGTGCACTCTTCAATACAAAACAACAACAAAAATTTGTTTTTTGTGATATGACTTTAGCATATTTTTTGGCTACGTGCATTTACAAGCCGACGACGAAGAAAACAACAAAAAAAAAAGAAAGCAAACCACAAGATGGAAAAACCAGTTTAAGTTAAGCCAGTTGTTGTTGTTGTTGCGGCGATTGTTGCTGCTGTTGCAGTTGCTGTTATTGTTGTTGCAATTGTTGTTTTTGCTGTTGCAGTTGCAGTTGTTGTAGCCTTGAATGTGCATTTATTGTTGCTGCTCTTTGACTGACTCGCTGTTTTTGGCGCGCGCGCAAAAAAAGAAATACAGGCAGAAAAACCGCTGGCAACAGGTAAAGGAAGAAGCAAAGTGAAAACGGCATGACCAGCAAATACCCTGTAAACTGTTGTCAAGCTAAACAGCTAGCTTTGTAAATAATTGAAACTGCAAGTAAAAATTGAATTTCACATTTTTAAATGGGCAACAACTAATTAATAAATATTAATTATGCTTTGTCAGCGAACAGAATTTAATGACCTACTTTTTTAGCGTCTTCTTGGCCAGTCTGCCTTTCACTTGAGTTCGTAGTCGTCATTAAAAATACCTGAATATCTAAGGAACTGTGTGGAAATGGGGAAAATGCCACGGAGACTTGAGTCTGCGGGCGTTTCCCGAAAAAAAGAAACATTTGGCCGCAATTTGCCCGTTAGACAAGTGAAATGAGAATCGCTATCGCTCTCTCTCTCTCACTCTCTCTCTCTCTCTCTGTTAGATTGTTGTATCAGTTTTGCATTTAAGCATGCGGTTGTTTCTAATTACACCTGACACACTTGGCAACCAGCTTCAGCCAATTGGAACTATCTTTGCACTATACACTATAATAAACATATACTAGTGCAGGTGTGTGTGTGTGTGTGTGTGTACATGTATGTTAGTAGAACTCCGACATGCAAATGCACAGCACATTAACATTTATAACTGTCTGTTCAGTTTACATTTATAACTAGAACAGACTGTTAACATTTATAACAGAACACACTGTTAACACTTCATAACTGAATAAACTGTTAAGTTAAGAATATGCTTTTAAAAAGAAAACCCAGCGATAAACAACAGAAACTTGATTTAAAAATCAAATACTAACTATGAACTTCAAAGTGTCATTTTCGCAGATCGCATCATTCTTTTTTTTAAATGAAGTGTGAAGCGTTTCTTATCAATTGTGAGCCAAACAATTTGTTGCAGTCATTCAACGGCGCATGACAAGTAGGTGTACTATATTGAATCAGATGTATATATAGAATAAATATACATATATATAGATAGACATATATATATTAATTATTTATGAAATGCGATTAAATTTTGCTGTTTGCGGACTTTGTTTTATATGAATGATAAGACGGAAACCTGCTCTTCGCATCAATAAATAAAATTAAAAATCATTCAACTGAATTTGTCATGTTCGTGTAACCCCAACACTAGGCTGCTCTACTTATACTATAGAAAATATATATAATTAGAAATACACTTGCCAGATAAGGTTTTTTTTATTGCTGTGTAATATAATCAGATGAAAAATCCATGACAAAAATTTGCTTGACAACTCAAATATTCAGTATTCCAGACAAACTGGAAAGTTTGAATATTTTTAAAATTTTCAGCGCTCAATTGGAGGCGGTTCTCAATTGCTGCGACTAATTCAAAAGGTCTTTTGCCCTTGCACTGGCGGCAATCTTATTCAATTAATTATGCGTATCTAAGTAGAACTGAGTACTTCTACTCTCCCCCCACTCACTCAACCTCCTACTTCCATCACTCCACTTGAGCAATTATCATTAAAACAAAATATTGTTTATCATTATCTTTAAATGAGACCTTGTACTGCCTTTTGTGATGGTTTTTTTTTTTTTTGCTCCGACAAGCGAAATAAAATTCTACAAATATTATTGGTTTGATTGATGGAAAGGCCAAATCAAAAACGTTTGTGATCGATTGATTGACTGTGCAACTGGAAGTCGAATTGGAAATTGAAATTGGAACTGGATTATTTTAGCGGCTGCTGCTGTTCAGCATGCATTGTGAGTGTAAATCGGCTGTATGGAATTATACAAAAAGAGAAAAAACCGAAAACTGATACAAAAACAAAAAAGTACAGCGCACAAATTGCGCAAAATGCTAAAGAATGCGACGCCAACAACAAAATCAACAAGGAGTGCAAGGAGAGCAGCACTATCAACAACAACAACAACAAGCGACAGCAAGCAGCCAGCTGCAGCAGAAACAGAAAAGAACAAAAAGAAAACAAAAGCACAGCAAAAGATTCAAATGGACCAACTTGGTTTGCCAATAGGCATTTTTATTTTTCTTCTTTGAGCACATTGCTCGCTCAACAATTCAAACTTAACGAAATACGAGTAATTGCATTAATTTTATAAGCAATTTTTTGATTTTGAATACACTTATGAACTTGTTAAAATATATGTAAATAAAACAGAATCTTAACATATTCCAATAGTTATTTTAATATATGTTAATAAAAATAGTAAATTTACATATTCCAATAAATAATTAACATTCCCATTCTTATTTCCAGTGTTCATCAGTGGTGTGACAAGCACAGTTATGTTTTGATATGCATACAACTGCATATTGGCATATTCCAATAAGTTTACATTCACATTCTTATTTCCAATGATCGTCAACAGTTTGACAAGCACTGCACGTGATTCAATTGCAATTGCACTCCAGACACAATCTCTCCATCTCCCTCACCGTCGTTGGCCTTAGGCTGCCCCCGTTAAGCGTAATTTAATTTAGCGCAATTGTCTTTATACACATGTGTATGTGTCTGTGTGTGTGTGCGTGTATACATAATGTGTCTGCATGTAAATCTGCCGTTGCTGCACAGCAGTGCCTCTTAAACTGATCGCTGTTAACGGTAATGCTTCCAACGTGTATTCAAATGCACGTATTTCTATGTGTATTTGTGTGTGTGTTTGTCTGTATGTGTGTGTGTGTGTGGCCAACAGGCCCAGGCAAATACAAAATGCCACGCGGAATGCGGTTTAAAAACAAACCAAGCCCAAAGCAAGCAGCAAAAAGCAGGCAGGCAAAAATCAAGCTCGAGCTTCAGACCAAAACGTGCTCTTGGCTACAGACCCTATTTAGCCTAGTTTACAGCTGCGTCGACGTTGAAGCCAGGCTTAATGACCACATAGCTCTCAGTCGCTGCTGCTGCTGCGCACCTGTAAACTGTCTATCTCACTCTTTCTCTCTCTCTCTATTGCATCTAGCTATTGCGCTCATGCTAATAGAAGTGTGACAAACACTGGCAATTTTTATTATGACTGCCAAGCACGCAATCTGCGCCCTTATCAATCAAAAACTGTACAGTTTGAGCAGCTCCCCCTAACTGGAATTGGCGGCGATTATGCAACGAGTTTTTTTTTGTGAATGGGTTTTTATTTTTGTGGCCATAAAAAGCGCAGCTCGATTGTGGCTAGCTTTCAGGTGCGTTGACTGCATGTAAAAGTTATGAGCCAAATTCACTGATCCCTGTAGTAAAAGGGGTATATCTAGTTTTATGTAAAATATTAATTATTTTAACGTTTATTATTTAATTTTGTCTTGCATTTCTTTGCTAAAATTAAAAATTAAAACTATCCCAATTCCATTTCAATAATTCGTTTTTTTTCTTTTTGCCCCAGTAAACAGTGTATTTTACAGTCTGCGTACAATGTTATTGGCCTTATGGCGCTGTTAAATTTGGTAGCAAAATATAAATGAGACCCATTGTTGCTATTTTTATTGAGCTTTGTGTTGAGTTCAGCTTAATTAACAGTTACATAAAATCGATTTCATGTTATTTTTGTTCATTACCTTTAACAGCCTCGTAGTATCCTAAATCCAGCGTGAATGATTTATGTACAAATCCTGTTGACGCAAAATATGGTTTTTGTTTTGTTTACAGCTTCCTCTCCCTCTCTCTCTTTCTCTTAAAGCAGCGCACACACACACACACAGACAAAAAGACGGCGTGATCTTTCTAATTCTTATTCGTTGATCTTCTTTTTCCCTTCATTCGCGTCCTGCAGTTGACTTTGCTATATGAATTAAATTTGATTTATTTTTGTTTTAATTTTCACACAGATCTCTTTTTTCAACTCTCTCTCTCTCTTTTTCTGGCACGAATAAAACGCGTAAGCCACGAAAATTGAAAAACACACGTAACGTAAAAATGAGCAGAAGACGGCTGAGAGATGAAGCAGAGAAAACCGGAAAGTTCTTCTTGTTGTTGCTGTTGTTGTTGTTGCTGCTTTGGCGGTGTTCTTTGGCTGCTGCGTTATTTTGTTGCCTGTTGCTGCTTCTTTTTGTTGTTGTCTTTCTTGTTGGCAGTAAAAAAAAAAGTCAAAAACAAAATCTCAGATTGAAAAAATGCCAGCAATTTTTTTTCTTTCATTTATTAATTCATTTTTATTTAGAATTAATATTTTTAATTTCTGCTTTTTTTCTGTTGCTGCTCACTTGTTGCTTTTGACCTTAATAATAAGCTGGTGTTTTTAACAAATTCCAATGTACACACACACACTCTCTCTCTCTCTCACACATACACACACGCATACAAAGATGCGCAAAAATAAAAACCAGCTTCGCCGCTTTTTTTTTTGTTTTTGGGCCAACGTTCTAAAACGCCGGCGCAGCCGTCAACAGCGCAGCAGCTCTTTCTAATTAGCACAAAAACAACAGCGGAAATTTCAACAACAACGCCAGCAGCAAAGAACAGTTAAGCGGCTATAACAAATTGCGCTTTATTCAATGACTTTTATTTGGTTACGATTTTATTTGTGTACATTTGTACTTTTGTTGTTGTTGTGGCACTTTTGGTACGTTGCTTTTTGCGATTCAATTTCATTAACGTTGCGCGCTCGCGTTTCACGCACGTCTTGTCAACCCACGATCTCGTTTTACAATGTTGTGCTCGCTGTTCAAGCAATACATCGCTGCACCACATTATCGATTAGTAGTATCGTTTCTAGTCGATTATTACTCGATTCACTTATCGATGCTTAGATGCTTAGATGCTTATCGAAAAAAGGCAAGATTTAAAAATGAATTTACAACGGTCAAAAGCGAAAATTAAAGTATTATATTTTTGGTTTTATTCAAAAGCTACAACAAAGACGTGTATTTTGCCAAGCAATTGTAAATTATATATGTAAGGATGCACAATTTGTAGAAACCATCAATTTAATTTTATCTACAAATTTCGTCTAATGGTCTCATAAAAACTAAATAACGTTAACTCAGATGGTGACGTAACACAAAAGCGGCATCTAGCGGCACGCATAATTCAACATTTCATCTGCAGACCACCAAAATGTATATATCGAAAACTTGTGTTGAGAAGAAATATCGTTAAATACAAATTTGAATGTTTAGCAATAATTTATTAGCAATTTCAAAATTAAACTTTTGAGCTTTCCGCTTCCGAGACATCAACCTCCTCCACATCCTCTGCAATTAAAGCAATTAAAATATGCAGCATTATGAATAATCGTTAAATGTTCACCTACGCTTGCCTCCCGGCAGTCGTCGCAAACGTTCCTGTTCCACGGCGGCAAAATATTCTGCGGCTGCTTGTTCGCAGGCGCTGGCAAATGGCGCCATATTTATTTTGCCATTCAGCATAGTCAAATCGGCCTGCTCCTGGCCGTGATTGCCCTTTATCTTTAGTTTGCTCTCCCTCGACTTGGCCTCCAGAATTTTCTCGCGACGATTCTCACGCTCAAACATCTGCAAAACAATTATATTCTTTATTTAACAATATTTAGGAATTGCAACTTACCGCAGTTAACAGCGGCTTATCATTCTTGGCGGACATGATCATATTTTCGGAGACCTCGATTAGAAAAGTGGCGCCCAATTTGCTGCCACAGCTGACAAATTTGCCATTCTCATTGGTGCGCACACAATATAATGGCTCATCACAGACTTTAACCGTTAGCACAGGCTCATTTTGTTGCTGCAGCAGATCCCAAGTGTCCAGCACACCATCCATACGAGTGATGAAGAATTGGGAGACCCTACAGCAGTAATTAATCTTTCATTAAAACTGTCCAAGATAAGTAATGTTAGCCCAAATGGTGTACGTAGCGCAACCGCGCCATCTAGCGGTATGCACAAGATAAAATTTCATTGGCAGACTACCACATATATATATCGACTACTTATAGTGTTGCGCATGGTCAGAAATGTCGTTAAATATGAATTTAAATGTTTCTGTTTTACTTGAGTAACTAAACAAGTTAAAAATAATTTCTCTTCTCTTTTACTCACTTGGTGTAACTCCAGGCGCCGTCTGTCAGCATGGAAGAGCTACTCTTGGTCCAAATGATGGAGCTCTCGCGACAATCCTCGGACCAGATGCGTGCACACCAATCGCCCACAGTGAGAAAGTTCTTCACAAAAGCCGGATTCCGGGTAATCGCATAAACGGGTCCCAAATGGCACATCATCTGGCAAGGGATATCCCATGGGATAAATCTTTGACTCATCTTTCGCTCTCTCTCTCTCTCTGAGACTTACCCGAATTTGTATTTTCTCCGTGGGTGTTTTGCCCTTGCGATTGCATGAGAAGAGCATTCCCATTTCTGTGCCCGCCATGAATCTGGTTGGTATCGTTGTCTCGTACTCCAGCACCGAGATGCCGTAAGAACGGGACAAATCCTGTTCATCACTCTTCACTGGATCCATGAGCAGACGATCCAATGGTTCGCTCAGCTTGCGTGTATCCCACCAGAGCACCTGACCGTCGGAGCCACCGGAGAAGAATTCAGTGCCGCTCTTCGAGTTGTTCCACAGCACTGAATTGACCGGATCACGATGACAAACCTCCCGCTCACTAATCATCACCGGATGCTTGCCATGCCGTGTATCCCAGGCGGCGACTTGGCCATTATACATGCCACTGACCAGACTCGTCGGATCCTTCTGATTGTATTCGAGGCATACACATGGCACTTTGGGTTCCAGCGTGAGAAATGGCTCGTTTGGATTCTCCACCTCCCAGATGTACGAGTTGCAACGCTGCCCAGTCTTATCGCCCTGAAATTTCATATCACAATGGCTGACGGCCATTTTGATGCCACCATCCGGTGACCACGACAAATGCTTGACGGGCACCTTAACCGGATTCGGATCCCGGTATACATTCACCGTACGCGATTTGCAGGGCTCTGGCAACGGAGCCGGATCCATATTCTCAAAGTAATTCTCATAGATATTGACCGCATTATTCTGATGAATATAGTGCTCCATCGGCTTGGTCAGATTCATCACTTGCGTTATGTAATTCTCGTCTTTTTCGATTTTGCGCTTGTAGCGCACCGTCTGCTCGGGATCATGCATATTGATGTCCTTCGGCCAGCCGCCCTCATTGTGAGTTATCCCAGTACTTTTGTAAGTGGCCCGCTCCGTATTTGCCACACTCAGCGAGGTTTGGCCAGCATACTGTGTGCAACGCTCGACGGGATTCTTGAGTATATAGTTCTTGACCAATTCGGGATTGGAGTTCTCACTGAACACTACTTCATCCTTGTCCTCGAAGTGGACACGCGATCCAAATGTGCGACGCTCCTTCTTAAAAATAAACTCCATCGCTGCGAAAGCCAAAATACGTAATAATCCAAGGCAATTTCTGTGAGGCGAAACTGCTTTCAAACTGGGCATCATTGGATTTACCAAGGCAACCAGGACATGTTTTGTCAATAAGCGTGAAAGTTATATTTAGCACATGGCATTCTGAATGCTCTTTCTAAATTGAGCATAAAATAAACATTGAATATTATTTTATTCTTTTTTAATTATTACATAATAAAAATAAAATAAAATTTAGTGTTTATTTTAAAGTATGATTCTTTCCGAGTGACTTTATAAATTGAATTGATTTTTAATCCAAGGCAAATATATATTTAAACAATAATAAAAAGCGCATCACAGCTTCGTTTGTGTAAATTACATTTATTGCAAAAAATATCACGTATATTTAAAATATACTCAACAAATTCGACTAAATAATTGGCTAAGTTTTGCTATGTACAATTTAAACTAAATAAATTTGACTATTTTTGAGGGGTTGTAGGATTATTTACAATTTGGATTTGAATTTTTTACAATTACTTATTTTTTTTTTTTAATTGCTGACATTGCAAGTGGTAGCTGGAGAAGGTGATGGTTAATCCATAGATATCAGTGCCAGTGCTAGTTCCACTTAGCTGACATCCTCCAGTCCATCATCTTGTGTCACAGTTCAGCTCAGTTTTCTTCTTCAGATGTTGTTCGCTGGACTGTTTCGCTTGCAATGCAGATCGATTCCAAGTCGAAGCAGCTCTTTTATAGGTCTTCAGGTAGTCGTCCAGAGAAAGAGCACATGTTTAAAAATACTCATTTACTCATCCTAATGAGTTTGACCTTGTGGAAAATTTGTGTGAAACGCGATTACAGCGAAATTTCTGCGATAACAAGAAAAAGGCAGCAAAACAATCACAAATTGACTGCTCGTTTCAGTTATTTACAGATTTAAATATATATATGCACCTATATTTCTGTTTTTGTTTATCGTGCACATTTTTCTGGGAAACTCGACAATTTTTGAGTGCAAGTAATTGCTGAGTGTTCTTCAGCTGTTGCTTAAATATTGAAACACAAGACGAGCATGTTCAAAATCAATTGTTTGACTAATGCCTAGTTTGGGTGTATAGAAACATATAAATTTTGTGATTTTATACAAATATTTTAGGTGTTTATTTAGTCAGTCGTTTTGTTAATTGCACGCAGTTTTCTGATGGTATTAATATTTGCCGTAAATAGCATGACTGTCTTCTTTATGGGTGGTTTGATTTGAGTTCTGGATTTGGTTGCCTGTAAAATAGAGTACGTAATATGATTAAAATTAATCAAGTAAATTATTGCAAAGGAGTTGAAATCCATATTGTATTTCAAGCAAAAGACAAACCATTTTATTATTTAGATTTTCCAAGGCATCGCCTTGCTTAAGTCGCGAATTGCGGACGGTTGCCCGAAGATTTTCAATTTCATCCTTTAGTTTCTTACGCTCATCCTGCAGAAAGAATACTTGACGCTTAAGTCTGCTTCTGCTTAAAGACAAAAACATATATTATTAAGCTGTTATAATAGTAATAATAATCTGTTGGCTTCTCTCGCATACACTTCGCTTTCCAAGTGCCTCGCATAGTTGTCTCTCTCCGCATCGATGATCTCCACTTGATGCTCGGCATCTGATTGAGCGTTGAGCTTATCCAATATTTCTAGTTGCATTTGCTCGTCATCGCTTAGGAAATCATTTGCATACTCTTCCGTTTCGTTTATATACTCTATCATATCATAGCTTTGCTCCTGACTGGTAACGCTTTCAGCTCTTTCCTTCAAATCGTCGACACAATCAAAGAGCTCAAACTGAATGGAATCGGAATACTTGGATTCAAGTTCCGGCAAGGTCTCTCCTTCGACTGCTTCCCCCTCTCGGGATAAATTCGATTGTGGTGCATCCTTTTTGACTCTGCTCCTTTTGCCTTTAATTTTAGTTTTAGCTGGCTTGTAGTATGGTTCATTGAGTGAGGGGTTCGAGCCAGGTTTTAATTTCGTTGGATTCTTGCGCGTAAAACCTGCAATCGATTTGATCCTCAAAATCAATCGTTAAATGTACTCTTGTTTTAAATATTCACCAAACTCATACTGCATGTTCCGCTCAAAGTCATCGGCTGTGAAATGTTCATTGCAGATGCATGCTAATAAATTGTTTATTATTATTTAATCAATTTAATTTACGAATTTGTAGCTATACCTGTTGCCGTATTTACGATTTTGCGATCACAGAACTCAATCCATTTTTGGAGCTGCTCTTTGTCTTTGGGAAAGTGAAAGTAACGCCATTTCTTTTTATCACGATTTCGATTGTTGTTGCCGCAATTTCTAACAGCACAACGCATTATAATATTAATTAAAAATCAAGGCATAAACAAATGAGTCAGCTGATTGGCGCAGGGCTGTTAAAGCTTGCTATCGATAAGAGACACAAATCGATATAAGCTTTGTGTTGGCGTCTTTTACAATACTGCGTGCAACAGCTGGTTTTTTTTCCTTTGTCTTGTCTTGTTCGTCTATTATTTGTTTTGCTTGACTTTCGCCATGATAAAAAGCAGCAACTTAAATAGGTAAGTTATGGAATATCATTTTAACAAATTATATTTATATGTAACGATAATTAAATAGCGTAATCAATCAACTGGATGCTGATCGCGCTGCCAGCGGCGAGTCTACAATAAACAACAACCATGCCCAATTATTCGATACAGATGGAAACGAATGCAGTTTGGCAGCTTTACAACTTTCCCACGGAATACTGCAAATTGCCGAGCCACCTTTGCAACGCTCTCGTCTACAGCTCAAGGAATTAATGTGAGCATTCCAAAGAAAATTAAAGATTCGATTAACCTAAAAACTCTCAACTGTAGCGGGAAACAAAACAAAATCTACATTGACTTGTCGAAGGAGAAATTTAAGCTCGATTGCAGTGAGGTGGCCAAGCTGAATGATATGGTGAGTATTGCAAAACGTATAAGAGTGTGCAGTACGAGTGCAATCCGTATAAGAGATCTATTTCATGAACTGCCCTCTGATCAATAAATTAGGAATTATATGGTGACTATTGCAAAACGGCACATTTCATATAAGACGTAAAAGAGCGTAATTCTTTGAGCTGCCCTCACCAAAATAAATTAATAACTCTTATCGCTGGCAGTAAAATACATTTACGATTTAGTGCAAATAAATGAAACAATGTTGAATGAATTATAATAAAGAAATACAATCTACATTTCTAGATGAATGATGTGAAGCGTTACAAAGACAAATTAAGGCGAATCAAAAAAGAAATGCAGAATATTTATCAGCGCACTAAAGTTTTAAAGGTAAGCGAAAAATTAAAAATGAAACCCAAAAAATGAAAGAAAGAAAAAAACGTAACTTTATTGCATTGTATAAAAGCATAAAAGTATAAACATAATCATAAACTGTTTTTTTTTATTTGTATTTATATTTTTATCTCTAATTCTGTAATTACAGAAACGAGCCGCAAATGTTGCCAGCTGCAAGCAACGTGATTTTCAGCGAAAACTCGACAAACAGCAACAAGAAGAGTCGCTCATCGGCAGCCAGTCGCATTAGTTGTCTACTATAATTAACTAAATAGTATTATAACTAAAACAAAAGGCGGGAATCGACTACATCAACTAAATAAATATTGTATAACATTTTACACTTACTCAATATCTACAATCAAGATTTGTTTTTCTATTTTTTCTCATATATTTTTTGTATAATTTGGTAAATACTTTTGAGATTTCACAGAATATATGTATAATATTGAAATTAAGCCACATGCAGTTGAAATTTAACAAAAATGAGCTCTAAACATTTAAACATTCCACGTGACAATTACAAAGTTATTAATACAATTTTTAACACATGCCAAGTTAAGTTTAACAAATTTTTGCAATTTACTACGTTTATGCGCTGACTGAACGTGATAATGTGATAAGTTTTTTGAAATTTCGAGAGATATTTGTTAAATGTATGACTACAAAGAGATATCACGATTATTATACGCATAAACTTAGCATATCCATGGAATAAGTATGCGAACATGCACTAAAATAACTGTGTGTGGTGTGTGTGTGTGTTGTGTGTGCGTGTATTGTGTGTGCGTGTGTGTGTAAAGTACAACTAGTTATAAACATTATAAATACAATTAAGAAAAGTTATTAAATTTGCCGTTGTTTTTGTTGTTGCTGTTGCTTTTTCGTGTTGTTCTTGGTTGAGAAGTGTTGGTTAATCGCTGACAAAGGATATATATATGGTATATATATAAATATATATCGGTAGATCACAGAGCAAGAAGAAGAGAAAGAAGAATAGGCAGGCAGCTTAGCTAATACTACTTGTATATTCCGGTTCATTCAGCATGTGCATTGCATCTGTCGGTGCAAAATATTTGACAGTGCCTAAAAATATTTGAAATATATTATCATTAGTTACAGTTACACACACACACATATATATATATATATATGTAAATATATAATCATTAATATAAATACCTGCGCTTAAATATGTTTAATGATAGATCAATTGCATAACAGAGATGAAAGTGCTTGTTATTTTTAATATGCATACAACAAATAAAATGAATATTTTATTTACAGTTTTATTACTTTTTTTTATAGAACTATACAGTATTTTTTTGAGTTAAGCTTATGTATATAATCAAGAATAAAATAAAGAAATTTTCGTTTGTTTTATTTTCGGAAAATGTAACTGAAATGATAAAAGCTGTGATATCAAGCCAAAAATTCGACATTTCTACTATTTATATATAGTCAAGGATATGATATATATATATATATATATATATATATATATATATTGAAAAATTCGTTCTTCACTATTTTTATGGTGTAGCTCTGTCTAAGTTCCTTAAGAATTATTAGCTTAAAAGAAATTCATTTCACTTGCTAGCTACTAAAATGTTTTATAAACCAGTCAACGAGTTTTTCTACCAGCTGCTATGAAAAGTTAATTATAAATAGACAAAATTGAAAAGTTTTCAAGTTTTAATATCAAGTCGTATCTAAAATCTTTCAGTTACCGGTTTATTGTCTTTATATAGGAAGCCTGCTTGGCATAGCTGATAATAAACTTATGACAACTTTACAAGTTTGTTTGTTGTGAGTAAATAAGTTGTGAGAATTACTAAAGTTCTCCTGGAGACATGTTTGTACTATGAAAAAGTATCTGCTCTAAACGTGAATCAACTCAAATCGACATCGCTAAAATCATCGTTGTGCTTATCGCTAGACGGGCAATCAATGTCTTTGGCGCTGCTTGGCGTTGTTGCTGAAGAGGATCTACCCTTACCATTTTCAGGTGGACCATTGCGCTGCAGATACATTTGGAGGCAGACGTGGATAATGAACGCAATGAACGCACCAATGCCAAAGATCTCAAACGTGGTCCGAGCACTGACGGCAACAAACAGTTGCCCACCGATTTGGCTGCCCATGGAGACGCCAACGCCCTCAAAGATGGCACCCACCAGACTCTGCAAGTAGCAACAAAAATATGAGCAACTGCATCTCTGAATCATACAACTGCTGCTGCTGCTTACCTGCATGGTGGCCTCGGTGCCCGGTGGTGCCACGATGCTGGCATACGAGGCCATCGTTGCATAGAAGAGGCCAAAGGTGACGCCATTCAGCAGCTCAATGGGGAGTATATACCACGGATTCTGCAGCATCGAGTACAAAATGAAACGCACACCGAATCCAAAGAGCACCAGACTCATCGCATTCACATGCCCGATCCGCTTCAATATCCAGCCGGACATGAAGAAAAATGGCAGTTCACCGCCAAAGCACTGAATGCTCATCACCAATCCCTCCAGCGTTTTAATGTAATCGTTGCCATTGTCATAGAGCTCGGCTAGCTCCTCCAAATAGATGAAGAGGAAATTCCAAATCAGAGCCGTTCCCAATCCAATCGCCACGCACCAGAGAAAGAAGACAACGCAACGCATCGATAGAAACATCTGACCCACATCCTTCAGTATATTCGCCGACATGTGCGTCTGTGTGTGCTGCAGTAGATGGAGATTATAATTAATCCATCTTCACTTTAAACAAGGTAAACGCTCACCTTTAGCTTGGTGGAGGCGAGCATATCGAAGCCGAGTATAACGAGAGTCATCCAGAAGACAATCGTATAATTCTTGTCCGAGCTGCCCTCATTGGACATGGTGTCCACGAGGAGTCCAGCAACCAGCGCAAAGATGCCCCAACCCAGGGAGCCACACAATCTCTGCCTGCCATATAAATGATGACGATCGCCGAGGATGCCAAAACAAATGGCATCGCCAATGCTGACGACCACAGCCATGCCTACCCAGCTGACGATGAGGAGGCTAAAGAAGAACCAGAATTCGGGCATGGCCATTGCGGAGCTAGTGTTGATCACTGTTGGTATTTCTTTCAGATACACCTCCTGACTGGGCTTGTACATCTCCTTGCTCTGCGGACAATACATGGACACATTTTGTGCGTCCTGCGTGCCCAGATTTTGTGGTATCATAAAGTGCAGACAATTGCCACTCTCAAGGATTTCTCTTGTTGTTATGCAGTTGCTCGTTGTGTTCTTTAGCCAATACTGGCACACAATGTCCCACATTGTTTGCTCCATTTGGCAGTGCATGTTGCAGCCCAGCGTCCGATGCGTCTCCACTTGTGTCTTCGTGTCCGATGCATTCCCCCCTGTGCAGTATTGGATGTTCGTAAAGCCGTCGTGACATTTGAGTTGTGGCTTCTCCACAGAGGGCACAAACATGATCAGGAAAAAGGCAACGGCGGTCAGCAGTTGACCGGCCAGAAAGAGGAATCGATGCTTATGATAGCTACGGATACAATGGAATTAATACATGTGTAAATCTTATAATAAATCATAAATAAATTTAGTATTTTAATAATAATAATACATAAATAAATCTTTTAATAAATCTAAAATAAATTTGGAGTCTTAATATATGTTTTAAGAAGCTTTTTTTAATATTCTTTCTCAACAAAAAATAAAAATACTTCGCTCAAAATGCTAATTTCATTTGCTAGACAAACAATTAAAAATTATGGCTTCAAATATACTATGATTTTTATGATTGATTTACAACTTCTTAAGGGGATATTTGTCATATTCTATTTTTAAAAGGGGTTTAATTTCGAAAAATTATAAACCACAACGTGTTTTAAAACCCACATTTTATAATCAAGGAAAATAACCACGAACATTTTATGATAACTTACGTTTTTTTTTTTACATATATTAAAGTCATTACCATACATTTTTAACGCTATAGAGTTTCAAAGTTTAAAGTCTACAGTCAACAACTAAATTAACTTAATTTTATATTTCCTTCAAAGCTTGAACTGGACATTGGACAGTACACATTACAACATTTATTACTTTGATTTAATGTAGACTACAAAAAAGACAAACATTTTTAATAAGTATTAGAAGTGAATATATATTAGAATATTGAAAATTTTTTTTTGTGAATCGGAAAGTCATATATAGTATTATCAACTAGCATCTATCATATAAATACCAAGCTTCAAATATCAATCATATTAATATTACGAAGAAATATTTATATCAAATAATAAAATTTCAATTATCAGGCATATTTGAGTTAGGAATAAATATTAATTTCATATTCATATCAAAGTTCATCAAACACTTACCGATCGGCAATATAGCCAAATATTGGCTTGGCCAGCAAACCAATGATGGGCAGTATCATGTAAATGGTGCCCACAACAACCGGGGAATAGCCGAGCTGTTGTGCCAGTTGTGGCATAAAGGGTACAACGGGTGCGGTGCCTGCCTCAGTTTCAGCAAATGGAACAAATGAAAGTAAACAGACGGAAAATATGTAGATTAGTCAGATGAGTGGGTTGCGTTGATAATTCAGCCAGATAAGTCGAGATCTACATAAGTATGCCAAAGTGTGTCTTTCCTAGCAGATACCCTGTACTCCCAATATCTATGTGATAATAAGATGCGCATGAATCTACCCGAATGTGTTTGTTTATTGTGTACGGTATGCAACGATTAGCGAGAAGTGTACAAATATCAAATGTGGGTGTTTATGACTGATAAGCAAAGCAACAATTGGATTGGACATCATATATCTTCATAGACTAGGTAGACAAACAAATATATATATATATATATATGAACATATGTATGTACATAATTCTGTTTCTAGTCGGTCATCAAGTTGATGCTGATGTTGTTCCTTACTATTTTTATATTTATTTTATTGCAGTTGGGTTCTTGAATGCAAAACCTTTATGTTTACGGAGTACTATATCATATAGCTAAAAAAGGAACAATGGTTCGCTATTGTAGATTTATAGGGAAATTTAAATGTCGGCGTGCTTAATAAAACTATTTTCACTTGTGTTTTAATTAATTTAAAAGTTAGAAATTCGCCTTAATTGCTAATATCAGCTTGAGGGGGCCAGACAGGGCAAAGTACCGTTGGGACTTGACATGTCAACTTTTGACCTAGGCTTGCCAGTTTATTCCAGAATATATATGCATTAAAATGTTGTTTAACTTTAATGCTTTTAATACTACTTTAAATATATGTGAATAGTAGATATATAAATTTAGATATATTTACTCTATTTAAAATTAATGCTTTGAATGCTCTTTTAAATATATGTATAATAGTTAATATTTGTGTAGATATAATTATATATATATAAATATATATATATATATATATTTCTGATTGATTGCCTTTGCTGAGTAATGATTAACAGTTTTTATTGATAAAATACAGAAAATCAGTGCAAACCTTTTAACTGAATACAAATAGCTGACATGTTTTACAAATTAATCACTTATCAACTTATTATCATATTAATGAACAAAGTACAACAGTAGAAAGTAATAAAGTGCTGATGTACGCATACTTTTGACGCATAGTGTATGCATATATACATATATGTATATTTATTAGAAACCAATAGCTTCTGCCGATCGAAGTGATTAAGTGAAATGTTTAAATAATCTATATTTGGCCATTAGGCTTATCAAACAAGCAAGTTTATCAAGCGAGCATCTATTGCCGCTATAAGTATATATATATAGAGATATATATAAGAGTCTTATCGGCTCTTTATTTCTTATCTATGAAACACTTTGCACACAGTTTTGATACTACAAACAATCTGATCGATATCTAATCAGATAATATCTTATTAGTTAATGTAAATTGCGTGTTGTTTGTAACTAGTACTAAGTACTTCCTAAATACTTACCGGCATTAAAGAGAAAGTAATGCGCCTTCATCGGCAGCAATTCCTTATCGATGCTGGCCTTCATTTTGGCTCGTTTGCTTTGTTGCTCTAATTTGTGGCTATAAGCAATGCATTAAACGCAAATTTGACTTTTGCACTGTTCACAATTTCACCCAATCTTCACACACTTGATTTTAATAAGTGTTGATTCATTCGAGCAAAGAGCTAGCTTAAGCATTAATTATCCGATTGCACTTGACTAAATTGCAAACACACACACACATAAATATTAATATATGCAGTTGTGTGTGTGTCTGTGTGAGTGTATAAGTGCGTATCGTGATCACGTTTCTTGTATTCCCATCGAATTCGCTGGTGTCAACATTATATTAAGCTTGTCCGCAAATATAGCATTTTGCATGCTACGAATTCACTTGAAGCACGCGCAATTTGATGCGTATGCGGTAAGAATTCCACCAGCGACGACGTTCAACTGACACGTTGTGCTGGATACGTGCATATCTAAATTACTGTTTTCACTTGCCGCTTATCTCTCACAGACAGACAAATTTAAGCATGTGTCCAACAGACGCCTACGACAGCAACGGCGAACATGCTTCCTCTAACGTAAATGTGCAAAACATAAAAACAAAAACGCCGAGAACAGCTGGTTGGCAGGCTACAGTAACTAACAACTAACAGCAACTCAAATTGGCACTATCAACCTGCAGTGCGTTGCTGAAATATACGTTAAAGTTTGCAACGCAAATTGCTCCAGCTGTTCAGATTTCGATAAAAACTCAACCTTTGGCGCCATTATAGATTTTTAGTAAAATAAATGTAAACTAAGAATAAGATTTTACTTAATGCCTACGAAAAAGAAGAGAAGAATCAGTAGCATATATGGCATATATGCTGCTGAGAAGCATGTATATAGTTCTCCACCTGCGATTCAAATTGGTATTTACAGCTAGTATTGCATTGCTCAAATATGCGTTAACATTTGACAAACGTGACGCAAATTGCGTTAGCAGGCCAATCAGCTGTTCAGATTATGGCATCAAAGAAACTCCTCTTTTGGCGCCATTATTATAAGGATTTGATACATTTTACGTTGTTTGCATATCCATTTAATGTGCAACTTAAACTAAGAATGAGACTAAACTTAATGCCTAACAATTGAGCAGGAGAATCAGTCGTATATATGGCTATAGTGCTGCTGATAGACATGAATATAGTTCTCCTTCTCCTGTGGCGTCATCTGGGCAATCAGTTTGTCATCCAACTGATCCAGGGGATGTGGTCGCCCAGCCACCAGCACAGTGGGCACATCGTCATCCTCCTCCTCCGACTCCGAGTTGATATAATTATCAAAATTGACATTCGCTACAAACAACAATATATTAAATCACTGCACTCCAAATTAAGAATAATCAACTCACGAATCTTTGTGTTGTCGATGTCGTTCTCATCGTCGCTGGAATCACTGGAGTTGGCATTCGAGGAGCCCTTGCGCATGCCCTTCAAATGCGCCTCCTTCTGCCCGGGCTGCTTCTCGTGCTGCAGCAGCACGGACATAATATCCTCGTTTTCCTTCCGATTGCGATGCCCACCGCCCGAGGTGCCACCGCCTGCTGGCCTATCCCCATCATTTGTGGCGCTGCCATCGCCCGCATCTCCATCCGTTATCACAGTGCTCTCCGTCATCCAAATGGGACGAGATTTACGCTCGATTAACGCATCGGAGCTATCTTCATCGCCGCCAATGGTGACATCAACACGTGCCTCCTCGACGGCGAATCCCTGATTCCGTGTTGCCTCGCCCGACCATTGCATGCCGTCCGGACGCAACGCATTCGGTTTGGTCAGGCCACGTATTGTATCAATGTCCACCGGTTCTGGTTCGAGCACCTCAGGCGCCAGCTTAATGCCCTCCACTTCACGGAGCAGATCGTACAGCGGCTGCAGTTGCTCATTGAAGTGGGCGAGCATGAGGCGTGAGTCCTTCTTGGGCATCGCAGCGCTGTCCTCCTCCACGGAGCTGCCGCAATACGTGCAACGGAACTCGCATGTGGCCACATCGAACAGTTGATCGGCCTCCAGGTCCGTAAACGTTTTGCCGCATGCCGAACACTTGAAACTCGCACGACTCGTCGCATCCCGCTCCTCCGTCTCCATGCGCTTGCGCATCAGATCCAACTTGTATTTGACCACATTCACAAACGTTTTGTAATTGATGAAATAATAGTTGACCTTTTGCGCTTTGCCATCGGGTCCCGTTTCCATTTTGAGCCTGATCTGGATGAACTTGTCGGTGCGCAACGTTGTGATTCGTGCCCGCAGCTGTTTCTTCTCGAATCGAAGCAGTTCACCGATATCGTCCTCCTTCATGCAGGGATTGCGCACCAGCATATCAATGATTAAGGCATCCTCCTGGGAGTAAAAACCGCGCACCACCAAACGGGCCAATTGCTTCAGGCTGCTGGGTACCTCAGTGACGTAGCGCACCTCGGTTTTTGGGATCGGCGCTGCATTTGATGTTGCAGCCGCCGATGTTGAGGACATTTTTATTTTGTGTGTGCTCAATTTTTTCGCAGTAATTTAATTCAATAGTATTTATTTTTTGTTGGGGTCTTCCTCTTGTTGGATATTTCTTCTTCTTGGTTTGCCGCTTTTTGCTGTTAATGGGTGGAGCAGTTCGTTAACACTTCGTTGACTATCGATAGCATGCGTTGACTTATCGAAAACAGTGCTGAGCAACGCAAAATGTGAGAGCCAATTGGCGGCAAATTTGTTTCGACTGCAACCTTATATATCAATTATACAAATTTGTTAAGCTTAATTGTAAAATAATGAATATTACTTGTTTTGCACAATAACAAATTATTGATAGCTTGATTGGTAATTTGCTTGAAAATGCTTCACAGCTGTAATGATCAAAAGCCGCCACACATAAATAAAAGCCATACTCAACAGCGTCTGCATCTGAAGCTTAAGTGTGTTATTTGTTTGTTTGTGTGTGTGTTTGTGCCATTATGATAAATTACGGCAGAATGCACCGAAGCACAGAAGCTCAGCAAAGTTTGCGTCAGAAAATAAACGAGCGTAGACAGCAGAGCATGAAATATTAAGCACATCGCCTGGGTAAACAAAGGAGTGCGAGAAAATACTTGTTGGATTATTTGAGTACCGTTGCAAGATAACAAAGCCGAAACAAACAGTAAGGTATTCGCATACATTTAATTATTTCCTTTTTTTTTGACTAAAAAATAAATAAATAAACTGGATGAACCTAATCGCTTATTTTTATTAAAAATAGCATCATGTATAAAAAAAAATAGTTAACAATAGCAGGAAAAAAAGAAATGCATTTGAAAATGAGTAAATTTAAAATGTGTAATTAAATAACGCTGATTTTTTTAGACAGCTAAATCTACTTACTCTCTTCATTTCGCTCTCTCTCTCTCTCTTTATCTCTTTTACTCCTTGGGGGTGTATTTTTTGCTTGTTTACCTTAACAACTGCAGTGCGCATTCTCTCGACATGCAGTGGCATGGTTAGCTGGGACATTTAAACAATTCTGTAGTTGGCCCCCACTTAAGCGGTTCATGCAATGACCATGTAAAAAGCTCTCTTTCATTCTCTGAGTACAGGAGTAGCACAGAGACCACTGCGCAAACTCCTTTAAGCTGTTCACTCTCTCTTTCTCTTACGCTCTTAGGTGCTGCTATGGAAAGCTTTCCCTCATTTTTGCAACTTTCGCTGGCGACAGTCGCCTGCAGTTACGAGTCGTGCGCGCTTACGCTCGGTTGCCCAAATTTTCGGTTTGATTGTTTTACACGGCTCTCGAACGTTTTATTTTTTTTTCACACACACAAACAATCAAAAGCGTGCAAATTGTTTTGGGATTGTTGCTTTTGCGGTTTCCCCGAAAAAAAAAATAAAACGTAATGTTCGCAAGTATTTTGTGTTGTTGTGAAGTTTCATCAAACAACAATAAACGGTCCAATTTTTGATTATTTCCTCTCTCTGATTGAAAATACAAAAACCAAAAAATAAATAAAAAATAGCCAAAGAAACCATTAAAAACAAAACAAAAAAAAACACTTCGCGACGCGGTTGTAAAAATTGATTTTTATTGCGCGAGACAAGCAAAGAAATTTCCAAAAAACAAAAACAAATATTCACAAAAGTGAAATCTATTTTTTGAATACAAGGTGTGTTTGTCATCCCAAAAATAAATTGTACAAAAAAAAAATCGTGGCTATTTTAAGTCAATTTTGAGGGTTTCAAGAGGGTTTTTCTTTTTGGAACATTTTTGGTTGGGTTTGCTGCACGTGATTTGTTTGCCTTTTCCGCGGCGCTGTCTGCTTTTTCACTCGAACTCTATTATGCACCACTTCCATCCATCCACCCACTCACAGCAATTCACAGGCCTCCATCTTTGAGCAACCCCCGTCGCGTAAGCCGGGCGCTACACATCCACCCCCTCCCTTGACCCAGGAGGGTTGAGCTTGTGATGTCATACTAACCACAGTAATAAGGGTACTTTGGAAATTCCTCGACTCTTGGTTGTTAACTCAATTATTGCATTTGAAATTGCACCTGGATTTGCACGATTTCCACATATATAAACATATATAAACATATGTATATATATATGTATATACATTGTACATAGTGCAAGTGTTCTATGTGAATCGGGTCAAAGTTGCATAGTTTGACCCAGATAAATTCTAACTGCCTGCCATGTGTTGCATGAATCAGCAGCCTATTCTTGATCAGGCAGTTGGGAATCAATTTCAATCGATCCATCAATGAATCAATGCTCCTTTTCATGCAGCATGGCATTTATCAATTTAATATATTTGGGCTTTGAAAACTTAAAAACTGTTGATTTATTATGCTCTTTGACTATGATATTTGTATTTATTTGGAGCTCAAGTTCGTAAGAACTCCACATTTCTACCCCATTAAACTAAACAAACTTTTAGCGCTCTTAACAATTTAGTGCTCTTAAAGAAAAACCATTTAAAATATATTATAAAGCATACTTTTAAGCTTTCTATTCAGATGAAAGTATCAAAGTTGTTATATTTTTGTTGTCCTTCCTATAAAGAAAGAGAATACAAGCTATTTTTCGAATTTACATAAAACAAACGAATATTTATCCTAATAAATTCTTCAAATATTTTTGAATCATCCATGCGTACAGTTATTAAAGAGGTTAAAAAATCTAAAAAAAAAAAACGTTATATTCGAATTTGTAATAAAAGGTTGCTCCATATAAATTATATAATAATTGAACAGTGTTAAATATATATAAAGGATAATGTTTTATGTGGCCATCTCTAAGCGACTGATTTACTTTGTTGTTTTTATCGCTTAGATCAAAGCGCATATGGGAATGAAAACAGCGGGACGAAAATCGATATAAATGTGTGTGTGCGCGTGTGTGTGTGTGCGTGTGTGTATGTGTGTGTGTGGAGTTGGCGCAGCACGCATACAAAACGGGGATGTGGAGTGGTAAAGAAAGGGAGAGCGGGGAAGCGGGGACTTGGATGTGGAGCAGCAGGCCCTGACACAAAGCAGCGATTTAAAGCAGCGTGCGGTATTTACCGTTACGCGATGCGAACTACCAGAGAATGAAGTAAAATCCAATAAGCGAAGCACGCAAGCCAAGAAAAAGCAACAATAACAACATTAACACAACTCGGCTCAAAACAACTCCAAAAATAGACGGAAAATGCTAACAAAGCATAAAAATGAAATAAATACAGCAGAAAGAGACAGAGAGAGAGGGAGAAAATACACATATTAGTAAACTGTGTGTGTGTGTGTGATGGGCGTCAGGGTGGTGACATTCACATTCACATTCACACACACTTATCACAGGCGCACAGCATGCAGCTTGCTTCCGCGAATTGCGGCATAAAAAGTTTTGCTTGATTTCAGTTGCATGCCCCAATGGCGACGACGCTTAATGGGCACATACGCGCACAGCTGCTGCTGACCCAAGCACATATTACTGTCACATTCCATTCATATTATCCAGTTGCTCATTGCAGTTTATTTTTTATTTCATTTTGTTTTATTTATTTTTATTTATTTTGCTTTGTGCTCGTAAATTCTAAAAGCTTAAATGAAAATGGCTTTGATAAACAATGGGAAACATTTTAAGAAATTTTTAACAATAGTTTTGATAAATCTCAAAACAACATAAGAAATTTTTAACAAATAAAGAGCCCATCAAATATCAGATTTCAACTGTTTAATTAGCAAATTATATCAAAAGATGTGTGCTTAAATAGACTAAATTTTATTTAAGGCGACCTTGGCAACATTTGATAGGTTCGATAGGTCATGAATGGGGCAGCAACAGACACAGACAACTTCAGTTGGGCATTAAACAAAAGGACACAGGTTTTGCCATTGAAAAAAAAAAATGGCAAGAAGCAGTCACAAACAATTGTGTTGCATCAAAGTCTCAGTCAGCTTGGCCCCGTCCACATTTACCTTTTTCAGTGTGCTCGTTGTGTGCCCCATTGTGTGGCAAAGCAATCAACAAGATTTAGCAGGAAATGTGGCATAAAAGGGCCCAGATATTTATGGCAATTAAATTGTCTTTCATTCTCCGTTTTCCTTTTGTTTGCCCCTAATGAGCATTTTGCTCAAGTCTTAGATTTTGTTTTTTAATAACCCCATTTGTCTGAGATTGGAAGCAGGTTAAGTTCTTAAATTGCCACCCACACCCGACACACCCACACACACCCATGCACACACAGAGAGACACACTTGACACGGTTTTTGGCTTGAGCATATAATTATCTCTGCTCGAAAGTAAGATTTGACGTTCTGTTTCTAGAACTCAAATTTGTAACTGAATTTCATTTTTCATTTATGCAACTGAATAAACATCTTAAGAAAACGTAAATAATGGTGGCTTTTAAAGTAAGATTGTTAGCAAATAGCTATGCAATTAGTAAATCGTTTGCTGGTCATCCTTTTAATGTCCTTGTTAAAATTTTCAGGTTGCATTTGGCCATTTGGCTAATTGAATGGTCAACCTTGGCTTGAACAATAAATGCAAACATGTTGTTAGCTTGCCTTAGCGGAAATTCCGCTTTCAACTGGAAAATGAATGGGAAAATTGCAATTTAGTAACATTTGTTAGTGATATCTGAAAGACTATACGAGCTATAGGTTTCAAATTTGGTATATCATTTCGGTTTTACCAAACGCAGTTTATTTATTTTTATCGATAGGCGCATTTATTTCGAATATATCGATACAGCTCGATATACGATGGCTATACAAAACACAACTCTAAAAATAAAAGCTTTTCAATAGATTTATATTACAGTACAATAGTTCCATAATAGATAAATAGTAAAAAGATGAAACGAACAGACTGTAATAATTTCATTGGGATCGAGTAAGAAATTCAGATTTTTGTTATCCGAAACGTATATTCATATAGAATACCAATGTCTTCGGGTTATCTCTTAATCGAACTATCTCGACTAGTTTTCTTTTAATGTCGAATGTGAATTAAACCTTGAATCCATGGTTCAGAGAACCTTTAAACAGTCAAAATTGCCTTGGCACAGTTCTATTTTAGTTCAGTTTCAGCTCTTTTGCATACACTTTTAGTTTATTGCCGAAGTTCTTAGCAGCCACAACAAATCGCAAATGCCGAATGGATGAGTGGGTGAGCGGATGAGTGGGTGAGTCGGTAAATGGGTGGAAGTGGGCGAATGGGGAGTGATGAATGGGATATGAGGCAGGGCGGATGCCGTGCAATGGAACAACAAAAGGAAGGAAAAGCAAGGCAAGCACTTCATGAAAATGGAACATAAATTTGCGCTGATTTGAGTTTTGCGTTTGCCGTTTGCATTTGAACGACGCTGCAGGGTCGTAAAAAGTGCACCACTAACAAGGCTACACTTAGAGAAAAACATTGTTTCCATATGCAAGTAAACGCATAAGATAATTCGTGGTATAGCATTAGGTTTTCTTATGAATATATGTATATAAATATATTTGGTTTGAGTCTTGATTTAAATACTTGAATTAGAAATTCTTAAATTTTCAATTCTAATAAGCTTTCAATACGTTGATTAACGTGTCTAATTTAATGTGCTATATATATGTATGTTTATAAACAAATAATATTGTAAGCAAAGTAGAAAACCTTCAAAATTTGTCTATATTTTTAGTTGAGTGTACTTAATTTGTAATTCTTTAACGCTTCCTTTCTGCATGCTTACAGCTGAGTGCAAAACGGAAGAAGGAGCAGGTGCAACAAGGTCAACAACGCTGAAACATGTTGCAGCTGCACGTTATATAAGAGACAGAAAATATATTGACAGAGAGAGAGAGAGACTCTCTAGGCAGAGTGAAAGGAAGAGAGAGGGCGAGAGCAAAGTGACAAAGTGCATTTGTTTCAGCAAACGATGTCATCGATCTCGGCGCAGGGCGTGGTCGAGAGAGCCTCCGCCGAACTATCGAAACGCATCAACGGTTTGGGTTTGCGCTCGAAGCATCATCATGGCAACAATGGCAGTGGCAGTGACAACAACACCTCCTCCTCCAACAACAGCTCGAGCAGTGCCACCTCCTCCTCCAACTCATCGTCGGGCAGCGGGAAGACCTCTGTAATGGAGCGTGTGACAAACGCACTATGCGGTGGCAGTAGCAGCAGCAGCAGCAACTCCAATTCCAACTCCAACTCGAATAATAACAGCTCAAATGCCGTCGCGGCGGGCACACAACAAACGCCCGATAAACCAACGCGGGCTAATCAGAATGCCAGCCAGAGTGTTGCCGGTGCACCCACGCTCATCTCTCTGTCCAATGCGCAACAATTGGCACCCGCATCGCAACTCCTAATGCAACAGCAACAGCAGCAACAACAACAGCAGCAGCAACAACAGCAGCAGCAGCAACAACAGCAGCAACAACAACAACTCCAAGCGATGGCTGGCTCCACGCTTATCAATTCCAATCATCATATGATGCCAGCGCCGCCCGGCAACATGCCACTGGGTGCGCCACCGACGCCCACAGTCAAATCGATTGCCAAGCAAATGAATATTATGATTCCAGCGCCCGGCTCATCGCCCACATTCAGCACAATGGGCATGGTCGCGGCACAGAAGGCGACGGCAGCGTCGGGCGGTGGTACACCGTTACAGTTGCGCAAACAGTTGCCCAATCCGCATCTGCATCATCATCATCCGTATGGTGGTGGTGGCGCTGCCCAATCGCAGACGCAGCTCAATCAGCTGGCCGCAGCTGCGGCGGCGGCGGCAGCAGCGGCAACGGCATCGTCTGTCAATCAAACTGCGCTCATCCTTCTCAAGCACCCGCCACATATGCAAAGTATCGATGCCCTGCTACTGGACGATCGTTTCCTCAATCGCTTCTTTCAATACTTTTCGCCGTACGAGCGTCGTGTGCTCGCCCAGGTGTGCATCAAATGGCGCGACATCCTCTATCGGAGTCCACGCTATTGGTCCGGCCTGTTGCCGACGCTGCAGTGTCGCGATCTCCGCCAGATGCCCGCCTGTGATCGGGCCAAACTCTACAATTCGCTCATTCGACGAGGGTTCCATGCCCTTGGACTGGTCGGCGCCTCCGATGAGGATGCTCTCGACGTTGTCCACTCGTTTCCGCTGGCCTCCAAACATGTGCATTCGCTGAGTCTACGCTGCTCCTCGATCAGTGATCGCGGCCTGGAAACACTCTTGGACCATTTGCAGGTGAGCGAAAGGGAAACATAATATTCTTGAAAAGCTGTCTTTGGACTAACTTTAAATTACATTTTCAATTTATATTCATTTAAATATCCTTATCGAATTTGGGGTTGCCTAATTAGATTATCTAGACCAATTATGAATTTGGGAAAGTTGATGCCTAAAGTATTCAGTGAACTTTTTTTATTTTGAAGTTGTTTAAGAAATTGTACTCTTTATTATACAGATTCTAAGTCTAAGGTTCTTAAATCTTAAAATACTCTCGTCGAATTTAAAGACACGTTTAAATCGTGGACCTGGATCAGTAGACACTTTTCAGATATCCTTTCTTTCCTTTCTAAATTTCTTCAAGCATTTCTTTAAAGCCTCATCTCGAGTAATTTTTTGCTTTAAAATATTTTTTTTTTTATTTAAATTTTAGCTTTTTGTTTGCTTTTTGCTTTAATCTCTTCTTTTCTGTTTGCCCACAAGAACATTTTCTTATTTATTTCTTTTTTTCTATCATTTGTATTTGACATATTTCAGAACACATATCATATTAGCTGAAAGCTGGTTTGCTGAATTAATATATTTGTCTTGTGGTTGTTTCATACCCATTTCTAGTCCACTTTCCAAAAGTCATGTTCCTTAATCCAAAGCTGTCTTACCATTATTATGGAGTTCTTGTACCTAACATCTGCTGCATTCAGCTCAGATAAACTAGATAGATTATTTTGTATTTATCATCTGTGCGCTGTCATCTTTTTAGTCGCTCCGTCAAATGTGATTCTCCCAACCACTACCCATGACCGTGGGCGGCTTGTTAGAGCAGAGAAGAGAGAAGCACATCTGAGCAGACCAAAAGCAGTCCAAAATCAGAGCAGAGAGCGTCGTCAAGTTGACGATGGTCAGTCACACGCCAACAGAAATAAATAGAACAAATAAATTGGTTACGCCGAAGAGTAGATACCCTTGCAGATCAGACTTAGTATTCGACTTTGAGATTTAAATAATCTAACCGATTGTTTCTATGGCAGCTATATGATATAGTACTGATATAGTACTTCGATATTCATCATTATTTTTTCAAATGTAAGAACGTAAGCAATATTATCCGCATTGCTGGGGAATGATTTCTGAATAGCTTGGTAAATTAAACAGTTTTTCGTAAAATAAGTTATTTAACTACCGATTATATCCATGAAAGCTATATAATACAGTGATCCGATCCGTATGATTCTGACTGATTATTTGCCGCAAAAATTCGGTTTCAGCAAGATAGCTTCAAACCTGAGCGACTAATGAAATAGGCAGAAAGATATAGCTATATATCGCCTCGACTAGTAATGCTTATCAAGATTATATACTCTGTGGGCTTGTAGGTGTGTTCTTCTTCACAAGATAATCATACTACCCCACGGAAGTATAGAAAAAACACTCACTGAAATTCCTGCCGCCGTGCAAAATAAAAGTGAAAAGTATTTTCAAATTTATTTTGAGCTCTACGGCAACGAAATGAAACGTGTTAAACGGCTAAGTGTGTCATACAAAGACTGCCCCGAAAATATGTATATGTATATACATATATATATAAATATATATATATATATATATATATATATATATATTATATATTTAATATGTGGTGGCAATTGAAAGTCGTGTGATGATTTCTATGGTGTGCTGCTGCTGCAATCTCATAACGAATTGATGCGATCAATTTCAAGCGCACATCACTTCAAAGCAGTGCCATAAATTTTATTTAATTTACTGAAATATTTCGTTGAGCTAATTTGTGCAAAATGCGTATATATAAAATTAAATAGAACGTTCATGCATATAGTTGTAATGAGTGCGATTTGCATGCTACATCTTTTATGAGATGCATCAAAATGTTTGCTGCCAAAAGTTTTAAGCCCAACTGATTTGAAATAGTCATTCAAATTTGATAAGTAAGATGAATAAATATAAAATAAAAATAAATATAAATGAAATAAATAAACAATAAACATTTGTAGCATTTAAGCTAATTTGGTTTACTATATTTGTTCTATAGTTCTTTGACTCGCTTTTTGTACTCATTATCATCTTTTTCATTAGTATTTCAGTTGTTCTTAAATACTCATTTGTCTTACGTAAACTAAATTATGGGTCGCTTACATATTACTACTTAGTTTTGATGCATAATATGTGCCTTTAACATATCACATTTCTATTTTATTATCCCTATAGATAGTTAGTTAGTAATGAAGCAGCAATAATCGTTTGCTGTTATTTAACTGACAGTGACTTGACTGGCCCCCAAACTAATTAGCTGCCCTTATTGCTGCCGTCAGTTGTTGACAATACAGCAGAGTTCGTTGTAGTTGCATGAAACTAATCTATTCAGTTTCATGGGCCAATACAAAGCAATCTGGCAATATAATCCACTAGCCGCAGCTGGAAATAGATAGAGAGTGAGATAGATACACATGAGTAAAGTGGATAATGTTTGTGAACTGCTTGTGGCCAAGTTAAATGAAATAACTCACATTCTGGCTGCTTTGCTCATACCAGATATATGTACATATATATATATATATACCATATAGTTGTGGTTGTTGTTTCAGCCAGTTGGTGGCTGCGTGTCAATCTGCAATGTCGGCATTAATTCAATGTGAATGCATGTCATGTTCATGAGCCTAGTTTGTTCTTGTCTCAGTTTGTGTGTGTATGTGGGAGTGCTTTTGGCCTGACCGACAAATGGTTGGATTGCAAAGTTGCTGTCACTGGAAATGTCAACAAGAATGGCACGCACAGCGACCTCGAACACTTGTCAGCCCCAAGTACCATACATCTATGTATATATGTATTTATATATATATTTATCGAAAATTTGACCTTGGGGATTGCGTTGAGCATTCTATGCATCTGTCTTCTTTTATTTGCATTAACAAGTCCAGTCCCTACACTCTGCAAACAAATCGCACCGAATTTCATTAAATATGCCATGTAAAACTTAAGGGTTTTCTTTTGCTTAATAACTGAGTGCACTTTACTAAAATGCAGAAAAGAAATAAGTATTTAAATTGTGGAATGATTTCCTTTAAAATAAATAATGCTTTCCATTTATATTTTTTTTTACGATTTTTTTTGCTTATATTTACAAAAACCTTTTTTGAAATGAAGGGCGACTATTTTTGCTGAGTGTAGTAATGTGATGATATAGGTTCAGTTTGAAAATGCGGCGGAAATGCGACAGCATTTGCCATGCATACATATTTAATAGGTGGCCTTTTTTCAGGGCACACGCGGCGTATACGTTATTTCCGCATTACAAAAACAGTTAATGTGTACTTTCGAGCCGTCGTTGAACCCTGCTGACCCATAAATTATGCATACTTAAAGACAAAACAAAATGAAGTAGCTAAAAGTAGTCGAAACTTAAAGTAATTGATAGTTTTATGGTAATTGCAAATATATGGAAAAATTAATGCTAACCACTTGAATTAAATATAATAAATTTATGCAATAGACGAAAAAGCAAAAACCACAATTACAATTACAATAAATAAACCTAAACTGGTTGGTTCTCGTTGCTTATGTGGCATATTGATTTTGTGACAGACATGTGCAAATAAAGTTGCCCTGGATACGTTTGTTGCCAGCCACTGTTGGGTGTACAGAAAAAAAGTATAAAAGTTTGCTACGCTCTCCATAAATGCCAGCTGGCAAAATGTTATAAAGGCTCGCAGACTATTTACCATGAACAATGAAGTCATTTAGTGAACGGGTGCGTCAATTAGTGGGACTAACTAATTAGCAGCATTTATGTCATATATTATATCGGCTATTATGCTGTTTGATTTACTAGATAAAAACTTATAAACAATTAATAGAAATATAAGGGAAATCTAATGAAACACTTTCGAGGTATTTGCTGATTGTAGACTCAACTATTATTGATATTAATTATCAATTGTTGTTTATAATTTTATTGTCTTTATGGCTATTAACACAAAAAGTTAATCGTAACTTAAAAGTAAATAATTACAGCGAATGTTTCTTGCTTATTGTCGTCTAATTGTTGATGCAGTTAGCGATAAATATTTTTTTACTTACTAACTTGCTTGTTTATGTCGTCAATTGTATATTTGCCACTTTTCCCATTTTTCGACAATTCGCATTTCCTATCAACTTTTGCTTTTGCTTTTGCTTTTGCCCTTGCTTTTGCGTCATGTTTCCGGATTGCTTTATTCGACGCAACTTTATTGCCATTGTGCTTTGATTTGACATGTTTTTGCTCGCTTTTTGTTTTTGGGCCGCGGCGTGGGGCAAAAGTTCTTGAGTGTCGCCCAGTAACTGAACTAAACTGCCTGCCACAACAACAACAACTGAATGGTGACTAGCCAGATCGAGTCCCCCGACGACACATTGTCTGGCACGCAATGTGGGTCGCCTTACCCAGTACTCGACTTATTGTAAAATATTTTGCTTGCCTTCTTCGTCTTTTGCTCAGATGTTTTGCTCTTGCAAAGGTCAAAGGTTGAGTCATTCTGTGAAATTTACAAGTCCTTTTAAATGCAGGCATGCGAAACTTGTTGTCTACGATTACATATGCGAAGGGGTGTAAAATGATAATATATAGTCGATTTTACACTTAAATGCAAACATGCTGGCAACACTAAAATTCAAATTTCAAGTTTAAAATGTTTGTATTAAAATTATCATCCTCATTCTAATATATTCGCAAAAAAAGATGTGAATTTCAAGTTAGAATTAGTACTAGGCAGTATTTTTCAGCTATATTAAATGCTTTTATTAATAAGTTGATTTCAAATATTCCAAATGATTATAAACATTAATCTTATTCCATGAAATTCATTTCTAAACTGGCATTGTTCAAAATCTCAGATAGCCTTTAAAATATGTCAAAATCTAAAACTGAAATACACATATAAATAATACCTTTGATAACTTAGTTGAAAGCTTTTTAAATTGCTTTCTAATATTGAAAACTTAGCTAAAGGCTTTTGTTATTAAGTTAATTTCCGAGTGATTAGAAACATTAATTAAATGTATCTGAATACTTTGTCGCATTCTCTAATATTTCCTTTTTACTGCAATAAACATTTGTTTGGTTTTTAATTAAAAAAGCAAAACAAAAACAAAAAAGAATACTGAAAGACACAATAAGGTTTGTAAATGTGTTTTTGTGTGTGTTTACAATGACAATTGCAGAGCTTGTTTGAACTTGAGTTGGCCGGTTGCAATGAGGTCACCGAGGCGGGCCTCTGGGCCTGCCTGACGCCGCGGATCGTGTCCTTGTCACTGGCGGACTGCATCAACATTGCGGACGAGGCGGTCGGTGCGGTTGCTCAGCTGTTGCCATCCTTATACGAGTTCTCGTTACAGGCAAGTATTGCGAGTGTGTGTGTGTGTGCCAAACATGGGCGCATCCTTAATTGAATTCTGTTCTGCTCTGTTCAAACCAACAGGCATACCATGTCACAGATGCTGCCCTGGGCTACTTTTCACCAAAGCAAAGTCACAGTTTGAGCATATTACGCTTACAGTCATGCTGGGAACTAACCAACCATGGCATTGTTAATATCGGTAAGTCACAAGCTCTACATATATAAATATAAATATAAGTCATGATTTTAGCAAGTTTCTAGCTATGATTCCCAATTTCCACACTAAAATCGATAATTTAATGCTTTGATTTGTTTCGTTCGTTCGTTCGTTAAGCATTATTCAAGTGAAACAAATTTGCCATATACAAATCGCATTGTTAGTTGAAGGCCTGTCCAATGATGATGTCTCCTCGTAAATTCCGGGAATTGTTGATCCCTCAAGCATCTGTATTGTTGTTGTTATGTTACATAACTGTGCTGCTTGTTGTACGCCCGAAATGTGCCGGACATCCGCCAGGTGTTTGCCAATTGTTGAAGAAGGATCTATAGAAATGAGCGAACATTGTCGCTATTTATAAATAGGTATTACAACACAGCAAATAAACACAAAGTAAAATAAATTCGGGCTATCATTTTGGATATTTCCAAGTATTGCATTCAGCACTCAGTTAATTACAGTATTTTTGATGATTTAATTCTGGTGAATTAATATAATATATATAAATTGCGTCACAGACAGACAAACGAGCCTTCACCCTTGTCAGCCATGAACGAGGACAGCTTGGAAATTTGAGCACAAATCGAAAGCATATTCTCAGAATTGCAATTGATATAATGTGTCCAATTAGATAATGTTTACAGCTTGATATCATACGTTATTATTGTGTTGATGAACCTCACTCATATCAAGGTCACATTTGTAATCTCTAATGAGCTATTGTTTATTCAAGAGTCGAGACATTCTTCTGCTTTTGGTTTTGGCATTTTTATAGCGTGTTGTGGCTTTGTAATACCCTGTAATCATAGGCAATTGAGCATGCTGGACATGTTTATTTTTCTAGTTGTAAAAAGGTCATGTGTTTGTAAGTTTTGACTTTTACAGGGTATATGCTAGTCAGTTGTCTACCTGCTTGCAATTTGAATGCTATCCCAAGGGGCAAGGATTTATTACACATTACAAAATGGCTGCCATACGCTACAACGCTTTTGTCCACACCCCTCCCCATTTACCACTTGGAATGAAACGATTTTATGCCATCTCTGACACTCCCCCGAGTCTAAAATTTCAACGGAGTTTCAGTTTTTTATGTGTGTGTGTGTGTGTTTTTTTTTTTTCTGATCGTTGAAGTGCAGCCGCAAATTAAGCAGCATCGCTTGCTGCAGGCTGCCAAGCCAAATGATTTGCCACTTGGGCTGCCAACTCAGTCACACATACGCCTCGTTGCCTCGTTGCTTCGTTGCCACAAGTCGCAGTGCAACACTCAACCTCAACGCTCGTTGAAGTCCAATTAATTGTGTGGCATGTTTGCTGCCCGCTGCGAGTAACTAACTAGCATTACTCCGACTCTTGCAGTCTAGTTAGTTGCCATTAGTTGGCCTTTGCTAATCATTTGAAATCACATGGAGATAAAAGAGTGCATAATTGTTCTATTTTGAATATATAAATAGGAATATGAATATTCTACTCCCAATTTGAAGATTACTTGCTATTGAATAAAAAATAAGAAGTGAGAACGTTTTTTTTAAATCAATTTCTGAATCCTAGTAATCTACCCCTTAAGTTTGACAAACCGAAAATGTTCTTATGAAAGTTATATTTTATAGTAGACCGATATTAATAATTTGTTAATAATAACACACATAAATGAAAAGCTTTATCCGAATCTTTTTCCATTTTTTTCGATTATTAAGGCGGACATGTCACATGTCACTGGACATATTGCCTCATCAAGTCAAGCTGCTCACGAAACTATATAGCAAGAGTCGAGGATATCTTCTTGAATGGCATTCGCCTAATGTGAACGCAAACGCTTGGTACACATTTTAAATACGTATAACTAATGTTATTGGTCGCATTAATTACCGAGTCCCTTAATGACAACGTTTGCATTATTTATGCGTAATTCAGGAGCCAAAACTGGTGATAAAAACAGCAATTAGAGGGAATTATATATAATTGTGGCAGTTTATCCACACGTACTTAAAGATATTTAGTTCTATTGGAATGTTATTTATATATTTTTTTAATTGTATTTTGGCTGCAAGCACAAACAAATAGAAAGCGTCGTGTGTATTGTTTACATTTAAAATCATGTTTCACTTCAAATATTTAAATTCTCAAGCGTAAAAAGATAAACTTTTCAATCGAGCTAAACACAACAAAATTTGCATAATGGTCATATTTCGAATTTTTATATACAAGTGATGAAAGAGAAAACACAAAATACCAATGCGAAAATGTGAAAAACTCGTATGAAAATTAATAAACGAATTTCTCGCACAAACCCCAAGGAATTGTGTATTGTGTGTTTGTTTTTATTTGTGCATTTGTCTATTTACATAATTATAGCACGAGCAAATATTAAACTGACATGAGTATACTTTTAATGAGGACACTTCGTATCGTCCATCAAATATTTGCCCAACAAAAGCCAACAACAGCAAAAATAGCACACACACACACACACATTATTTACAAATACTTTAATCTATAAAACCATATTTTATGATTTTAATTTGAATGCTTTGCGGTTGACCACATTATTGTAAAATGCGTAAAATGCGGAAATTATTAATTAATGGCCTGTTATGAATTCAGTAATAACAAAATCTGCTTGTAAGGAGGAGTTCAAAATTGTCCCCATAAACAGGCTGGAAGCGAGCGGGGGGAAGCGAGCACATTCGAGAGCCTTAACTTTATAAAATTAAGTCAGATTTAAAGAAAGAGCGCTTTTTTATATAAAGTTGGAGATGCGATTCTGATATCTCAAAAAGTGCTTGTAGAAACTGCTTAAAACTTTGATGAGAAATGATGAGAATTTAAAAACCAAGGCTTTTTAATAATGGTTGGACCTCTAGAAAAGTAATACTTAAAGTCTTAAGTGCAATTCAGGCTCGATATCCTTGTTGAAATTATATGAGCGAAGAAATAAACAAATTTAGATAACTTCCCAAACACACGAATAACCCTAAGTAACCCATTTGGTTTCAATCAGGTTTCAATCAATTTCTACTAAATAAACATAGTATTTGCAATGTGGCCAATTCGAAATAATAATTAAGAAATCACGTGTTCGACTTGAATTCCATAGACTAATTGAATTGTTCGCATGGAAATGGGAAAGATAAATTTACACAAGAAACTTTTAGTTACAAGTTGTAAGTTGTAAGTTGTTGTGATTTACGCACGACTTAAGGACAATCTTGTCATGTCAAGGTAAACGCAAAGATCCTGTTAAAAAGTTTCAACCAGTTTTCCGACTGCCTGCCTGCCTGCTGCTGCCTGCTGTTCAAAATCGTTAACTTAAAATGAGAACTGTTCAAGCGAAAGTTTTGATAAGCTCGCTTCAATATTGTAACGTACTCTTATCAGAGCAGAGCAGAGAGCGGCAAGCAGTCATCACATGAAGAGGCCATTTAGCTAATTACATTTCACATCTAATGCAATTGAGACGAGTCTTTCAACTCTTTCAGCTGGGGCCTGTGCGTCAGGTGCCTTCTTAGCTCAGTGGCAGAGCGCTGGTCTTGTAAACCAGCGGTCGTGAGTTCAATTCTCACAGGAGGCAATCGTTACCTTTTTTTGTTGCTGTTTCTTTTACTACTACTGAGCTACTACCCCAGTTGCCTCTGCTCTGTGGGCCCAGTGCCAATGGACGTTTTTTTTTTATTGCTGCGCCTCGTCAAATGTGTTTTTTAAGAATTCTGTTTTTTTTTTTGGGACAGGTGACACATCATTTGGCACGCGAGCAGTGACAGCGCCGGAAACGGAAGTCCAAGTGATATATGTGTGTGTGTGTGTGTGTGTGAAACATCGCTGAGGCGCCCCTGAGGCTAATTGGCAAACATCTGACGACGAGTTCGCCGAGTTCGTTAAACTGTGCGTATGCGTGACTTGTTATGAGCACGCAACCAAAAATAAGAAAATTTTGTGAAAATTGCAAACAAGTTAATCTCACATTAATTGACAATGTCAACAGCAATGCCAGCTGACATTAAACAAAGCAAAGCGAGCAAAGCTGGCAACACATCCTCATCATCATCATCATAATAGGCATCTGCATTTTAATCATGAAGTGGCCGCGGTTCGTTTCGCTGCTGAACAATTGCAATTGTCATTAATGTCAGCGCCAGAAATGTTGTGTCCATCAATTTAACCGCCGCACAAGTGCTCGCCAGCATCCCGGGTGAGATTCACAAATCCCTGAATTTAGCCATGTTTGTTCCGCATCAAAACCCAAATTGCCGCAAATCACTTGAAAGTACAGTGGCAACACACAGTGATGAACATATCAAAATTAAATGCCAATTTAATAGCTAGATTTCAATTCTAAATGTGCTTAATGTAAACGCTATTCATCTTCTAATTTGTAAAAGATTTAAACTCTCTAAATGATTTTAGTTTAACCGCTAAATTTATTGGAAAAGATTATTAAGCGTTAGTTTCTTAGTAATAAGGAAAGTATAAAACGAAAGACAGATAAAGTCTGTTTATATAGAGACTAAAACTAAATTGGCTGAATAATTTTCCCCCAGGGTTTTTCCCTATTCATATATAAATATTATATTATTATAATATCTGTCTATTTGGCATTTGTTGTCTTTCTTCCATTTCCTTTGGGGTGCCAACGTTACACGGGCAAATTTATCTTCGTCAATCTTTGCGCTAGCCAAAAATTATCTAATGATGTTTGTTTTTGGCTGCAATTGTGTGTGGAATGGGGGGAGTGTGGGAATGGTTGGGGTAGTGGATTGTATATTGGCTGCTGCCACCTAAATATGTGATTGTGACACTCTTTTGCAGTGCTGCCTGTAAGCTTACCACAGATCTGTTTATCCAACATGCTCAGTCTCAGTTTCTTCTCTCTCTCTCTCTCTCTCTCTCTCGCTCTTTCTCTCTGTGGCACTGCGTCGTTTTTTCTTTAATTACATTTACATTTTCAAGGTAATTGTTGTCATTGTTGTTGTTGTTGTTTTTGTTGCCAACGTTGCCATCGCTGTGGCTTTTGTATAAATTCATTTACACTCCTGTGAGTGTGTATAGCATTTTTTTTTTGCCTGTCTCACTTTTTAATTAACTTATTTATAAGTATATAAAAAGCTCAACGGGAAATCTCGACGCGTGCTGTTGGCCACGCATCACCAACCTGTCCCATTATCCACACCTCCCGCCCCCATACGCCCATCTTACCAAAACGACCACTCGGCCAACTTGCCAATCAATTGTCGCTTGTTTTCTTTCCTTTTTTTTTTTTGCACACGGCTTTTGGCCATGAACTTAACTAAATACGACTACCCCCTGAAATGTATTGGATGTATTTGATTTGCTTCTGTTTATATATTTTAAGACATTTACTTGTTATTGTAAAAGATTTTTTTTGTTTTTTTTTTTTGGTGCTTGTTATGCTTGGATTGTAGAGCTTCCATCAGCACTGGGTTCAGTTTATATGGTTTCAAGCAACATCAATTCGTTGGCCAGAAAGGTCAGTAAACCCTAAGACAACGAAAATAGCATTTCACTTAAACGATTTCAAGATACATCCTGCTGCAGGATCTCAAGCAAGATTCACATTCACATTCCCATTCCTATTCTCAATCCATCAATGTCAACTTGAATGCCACAAGCATCTGTCTAATGAACTTGGACAACAATGCAACAATACATTGACCCATCTCAAAGCGTTTGTCCCGCAGTCTATTAAACTTAACTGGCTGCCAAAAACAGGAACAAACTTGAGCAAGGATTTTCATAATGAAAAGTATTACTTATAAAATACTTTGTCTTTTTTTTTTTTTGCTTGATTTGAGAGATGAATTTAAGTAATTACAATGTACAATGTGAAATTGCAGCTAAATAGGTTTTAATAAATTTTTATTTATTTAATTTACTACTCGTGATGATAAAATGTCGGGGTTAATTCATTCCACTAATTCAAGACTTATTAAATGTTAAAAAAAAAAAAAACAGAAAACGTATTTTTAAGTAAGGTCCACAAACAATAAACAATTATTTAACAAAAATTTCGTTATTTATTTTCCTAATTGTAATGAGCTTACTTCTTGTTTATGGTTTATAAAATGTTATAAAAAAGTTAATTGAAATTTGTTTAAAGTGTACAAATTTGCAAATGTTAATTCCAAATAGTCAGCAGTAAATGCAAAAAGTGAATAAACATATGCTGGCTAAGTTTAAATGAATAAAACTTTTGCCTTTCCAACCAGATGACAAGCGACACGAACTTAGCAAAAAGTCAAATGTTGGCAACACACACACACACACACACACACACACACACACACACACACACAGCATGCCTTGAGTGGAGCTTAGTTCAAAGTTGAGCCGTACATAATACAAGTAAAACTCGTAAACGTAGAATTCTTATTGCCGGCTTATGTAATGGCATTTTCCCGACTCCGACAACAAAAAAGATAAAACAACAGCTGATGCTGGGTGGAATGGCTGAGTTTTGCTCAGCCTTTTTGTAGCTTGCAACCAAAAACCGTAAAAAAAATCAATAATTACAAGTTGAACTGAGTTCAGCAGTGGAACTTGAACTGTAGGCTGCGATTTATAAGTGCAATCAAAATGAATTTTATTTTAATGACGGGCACATTTAAACAGGCAATTACTTACAGCACACACAGTGACGTAGGCGCACACTGTCCCACAAAAGTATGCAACACAAATTGGTGCGTTCCGCCTACGAAGGATGCTGCTGACAATGATTGCCATTACGATTGGCCTTATAAAAAAAAGAGAGAAGCAAAAAAATGGAAAATGTGAGCTGTAAACAGAGCTGGCAATTACGTCAGTGGAGAACAGGACGATGGGACTAGGGTGAGCTAGGCACTAGCTAGGCACTGCCCACGCCGTGTCAAACGACTGTCACGTCCACGTCCTACGGCCGTGACGCAGCTGCGTGCCACTTGTGGCAGCCAGCAATCAGCGAAAGTGACGTCCAACGGACTTGCAGTCGAAGCCAACTTTCACCACACTTTCGCATCACTTTAATTGTGCGTTGAACACACAATCCTTAAGCGCTGAGCAAACCAACATCATTAATTCCAATTAAAAATGCCAAAACTAGTCAGCTCTGCATGATGGATGAACCAGCAATGAGCCAGTTGATTGATGAGAGATTGACCACCATTAGCAGATAGTGATGCTGATCATGAATATATATACCTTATGGGATTTGGAGATGCCTCCTTCTTTTTTCAAACTTTAGTATTATTAAATTCTTAAAAATTGAGGTACAATTAGGTAAGTGTATACCATAAAAATAGTTTGAAAAAATAGCTGGAATCTGCAAAGGAATTGTTATACTTTACATATAAGAATCGGAAATGGTTTAAAGTCAAACCCAGCTTAATAATCCGCTTAGAGTATTAATTTAAATAATATTTGCTTGCAGCATTATTCGTTAAACTTTTACTCATTAAACTTTTAATTGGTTGCTGCTGCTGCGTTTAGTTGGCGGTTGCCATGGCACCTTTGATGTGGATCAAGCGCCATGCGCTCCACCTCTGATTAAAAATGCATGAAAACGCTTAACTCCACTGTCCCAGAATGGCTCCCCCGAGCTGGGCACATGCTTTCAACCCCACATCTCATAAGCCAGGCCTAAAGTGCCACTTTTTCTTGTGTTTCCCACGCGCATCACTTTTCAGGTCATGTGTAGGTGTTGGGTGTGTGTGGGTGTTGGGTGTGTGTGGGTGTTGTGTGTGTTGGTTGTGTCGCTTGCAGTTTTTCTGCTTTTGATTGGCAGATGCGTATTTATTGTCTACTCCAGCTCGTTCCACACCAACGCTGTGAATATCCTTTTTATAAAGCTGCAACGTGTTTATCCAGCTTTATTTTTTGCTACTCATCCGCAATTCTAAAAAAAAAAAACAGAAAAACAAACAGGAATTCTTTTAAAATGTGTACTCAGCGCAGTTCTATGTGCAAGTATATCAGATAATGAATGTGTACGTATGGCATGAACAATAGAAGGATATTAGAGTAGAGGAATCTTCAATCTGAATAGCGTTGCAGCGACCTACAAAAGTTTCTGTTCCTGGTCTTACGGAAAGCAATCTAAGATTTTTCTAATAGTTTTAGTTAAGACAAACTGTTAAGTATATTCCTTAATAATATGGAATACAAATGCATAAGTATTTTCAGATAACTTAAGCCTCCCAATACTAAACTTAAAATTTGTATATACTCAGCTACAGATCTCGTAAATTACAAATATCATCTATATATTTAGTTATAATCTATAGATCCTGTTCTTAAACATTATGATCATAACTCTTAGAATCTTGACGTAAAGTTTGCAATACATTAAAGTAGACTTTCTCGTTTCCATCAGTTATATATAGCCAAGTCGATATACAACTATATCTCTCTAGCTCTAGTTGAAATATATTCATCCTTTTGCTGCAGACACACCATAAGTTGGAGCCAATCGCAATGGATATATACATTATAAAGCTGACATAGCAGCGAAGTTCATCTGCCGATGAATACAACTAAACAAATGTTATATATTGAGTTACATATATAACGTATACGTACAGATATCCTGCTAAGCTCGTAACAGTCGAATACTATAATAATATACTAATAATAATATAAATAAATACACGTGAATCACTTCAAGCATAAGTACATATTTTTTTATTTGGTTTACTTGGGCATAACAACTAAATAAATAAGCACACATTTAGTTGTAATAACAATGACAAATGTGGCTGTCAAATGTATGAAATTAATTTTGATTGAAATGCCAAACTGAATTAGGAACTTGTCAGGGTGCCAAAATGTGTAATTTAAACGATTTGCAATTTTCGTTTGTTTGTCAATTGCTGAACAATTTGCCATGACGAAAAGACCGCATCCGCCCGTGTCCTCTTTCCCGAATATCGCCGGGGCATTTGTTAGCCACGTTTGCTTGCCAATTTGTCGATTCTCTTGTGCACAATTTGCAGTTAATTAAAGAGTACCGAGAGTAGCAAGATGCGATATTCATCTAAAGAGGCCAAAACAACTAATCGCTGTTGCTTTTGCTGTTGCCGTTGCCGTTTGCTAATTTCATTCTGACAACACTTTTGCCTACGGGCATCGCTATTACGGGTCCCCAGTCGTGACCAGCCGTAACCGAGTCGTACTTTTCAGGAGTGTTACGTAATCCCTATCGCACTCCAGCGGCACGCTGACAAAGACGTCAGCGTAATGAGCCACACTCATTACCAAAACCAACATTATTTGACTTTGTGTGCTCGTTATGGCCTTATCTCACTCGCACTTCTTTCCCACTCCTCTCCCGCCCAGTCCGGGTTCGCTTTGCTCAGCAGCTTTAAAGCTTTTCAATCGAGTCTCAATGTTTACCTCAAACTTTTAGCTTTGTCAACTGCAAAATTCACTTTTCATATGTTCTATTTGCCATTGTTTAAGCCTTTATCTTCTCTACTTTGTATATAAAGCTCGGCATTTTCTTTGATGTTCCATTTTTGTGGCTTTCACATATTTAAGTTAATTAATCAGAAATTAAATTCAATTAAATTACTTATTTTACATGGCTTTAAAGTTGAACACAGTAATTGTTAAATAGTTACAAATTGTTTTTACATTAATTGGCTGTGTTTTTACTTTTGGGAATTTGTTAACCAAACAATTCTGTGGTTATTGTGGGCTTCGATGAAGACTGCTTAAGTAAAATGACTCAACATTTTCCATATGAAAACTTCAACTTTTCCCGCACACATCAAATACATATTTTATACCTAAATATATTTTGTAGATATATATATATATATTTGTATGTATGTGTCACAAATTATATTTGACGGTTAGGCTAAGCAGCTTTCTCCTTTCAAAGTAGAAAAAATAGCAAAAATCAATAAAGATACAAGTGAGAGTGTGCGCCAGTTGATAGACTAGAAAATATCCTGCAACATAGATACAACTTACATTAATTTCATATTTAGATCGCATTCAGTTAGGTTAATAGCTCATCTGTATATGTGTATATATATATTTATCAAATAATCTACATATCAGCATACCCCTTTGAAACGTTGCATCCTTCTGACTGTTACGTTATCATGTCCTGTTTGCTGCCTGAAATAGCTGCTGGGTATCAAAACAGTTGTCAGAACGCGTGCCAAGCATTCAACATGATATTTATGAGTGCGGCTTAGATTTGTCATATTTGCAATATGGAGTGAAAACGACAGCGAACAGACAACAGGACACCAGACACCAAATGTCATGTAGCTCGACTACTATTTATGCTGTAGATACCCTGTAAATGGCAATGTAAAATTGTAATAACTATGCACACAATTTTATTACTAAAATAAGATCAAAGTGATGATGACCCAGTTTAAGGTATAGTTTCTTTCTTGTTTTCTGTTTTACACTGCATACTTCTTTTAGATATCCTTTAGATTGGTATGTGGCTTGGAATGTTAGGGTATCTGGCATATTTGCCTCCATTAATCAAGAATCAAGGATCAAAGGAAATATGGCATTAAATGTGCACTAAGCATTGATTAAACCCACACACCAGCTGAACTCATTCTAAAGTCTCTTCCATTTTACACACACACACGCACCAATCACACACACACACACCAATCGACACGCACACATACACACTCGTAAGCAGACACTTACATATGGAAAGAGTGCTTCGTATTCGTTCGACAGTTTGACATCTTCAACGCCTAAAAGTAGATAAGAGGCGCAGCTTTAAATAAATGTAAATGGCATATAGCAACTCACATATGGGCCATATGGACACAAAAGCAAATTGGAAAGGAAACCCATACACACACACACACAGACATATGAGAACAGTAATCTTTATGGTATATGTATGTTGCAGCAACACAAGTTACAAATTCTTAGCTTAACCTACAGCATTTTGGGTGAGAGTGTATGTCTGTGTGTGTGTGTGTGTGTGTCTGATTGTGTCTGTGTGTGTGTGTGTGTGTGTGTGTGTAAATTCACTATTGCGAGCTATTCGTAATGTTTTACCATGCGCAAATTTCCATTTACATATCAAGTAGCTATATTGACAGACACGAGTCGCCCATTTCCGAGAAAAACAAATTCGATTTACGCCATACAATTTAAATTATTCCCAAAACTTGAAAATCTCTGTCATTACATTTTATGCCACATCAAAGTAGATTTCGTGTTGCCAAATAAAACTTTACTATGGCATTTACTTTTCTATTTTTCTGTTAATAACTTTTTGGCAGACATAAAACTTATATCGTAAAATTGAAAGCTTTAAAGAGTTTTCAGTATTGCTTTAATCGGCATCTATTTGTGTGCTGTAAATTTATATTGAAATCATATTTGCTCTATAAATACAATATAATCGATTAGCAGATATTCTGAAGGGTATGGCATTGTAGAGTATAATCTTAGATTTATTTAAATCAATGTCTTTATGGTTGTGACATTTAAATGTGTCTCAGTCACTGATTGTAGACACTTTTAATAATGCGTTCCTTGGAATTAATAGTCATATATTATTATAATAATTATTATACAACAATATTGACATACTATCTGTCCGTCTATATACTTACTGTATTTCTATTGACAATTTCGCTCTCTCTCTCTCTCTCTATCTGTCTGTCTCTGTAAAATGAAACACGATTCGAACAATCATAAAAATATCTCACAGTTTACACATTTGCCACATCACTGCATACGGAATCTAGTTCGTAACGAACTCGCATTGACCTCACCCCCTTCCCCCCATCCCTAACCTTCTCCCATTTTTCATTCGCATCAAATTTGTGTTTTAGATTTTATGGTTTTTCTTTTTTATGGTTTTGTTGATTTTCGTTGCAATTTCAGAATTTGTGATCGCAAAAACGAGTAAGCCAGCAGAATGCGAGGATGCCCTTTAACTACCCGTTAGTGTCGGTCACAAACCGAAACTGCAACACGCACAGGACTCGTATACGTTGCACTATTTCACTTTTTCAATATACACACACTCTACACACACGCACACACACACACACTTGCTTATATATTTGCACCGATCGCTGCTGCTCGATGTGCAGCTGATAATGAAATGAATTTCAGCTGCGATTACAGGCGCGATAAATACTCTGAGAAATCTAAACCGATCTCAATAATCTCCCCCCTTTCAATTGCTGTGCGCTTTGAGGCTTCTAATGCGAGTGCGAATGCAAATGCAAATGGCTTTACTTTGACTACGAATGTAATTCAATCGATGCCACTTTAAACTCTCCTCAAGTCTCTCTCTCGCTCTCTCTCTCTCACACACTCTCCTGCACTCTCCCTCTCTCTCATCGCTGTGGTCTGCTGCATTTGAGCCTAGTCATACATCTCGACTCAATTTAATGCATATGCAATTGCAGTTCATCTATCACCATCTCTTTTTGTCACTGTTTGCCATCTCTTTCGTTTGTGGCATGAAACGCTCAGCATTCATTTTCACGTTGTGATTGCCAGCCTTTGTTATTGACTAGTCGTTCTAGTCGATTTTCATTGCGGTTTTTGGCTTTGAAGTGTCCCCCTATTTTTTAGACGACTTAACCCACAATTGATGTTGCCACCAATTGATACCATTGGATACAATTACAGTTAGCTGCCTCAAACTCCGTATACTAGGTCATCCTAACTGTTATTCTGTTTTCTATTTTTTCCCAAACCATAAACCTGCAAATGGGTGGCCTTATCATTTTAAATTCCACTGAAAATGACTCTCGATAAATATTCCAGTTTTGGTTTTCAAAAATAACTCTTTACTTCTGAATTCTGTTTTTCTTAAACCTTTTGTAATTGGTTTTTACAAACTGCTAGAAGCATCAAAGGTGTCCTGTCTTTCATTTTTAGTTTAGATGGGAGTACCAACAATAACTATTTTTTCAATGGGGCCTCGTTTTTGAATGCAAACTTTTATTTCCAAATGAAAGATAGCCGCATTTCATAATACAGTATTCATATTGTAATTCAAATCGTTTCTGTGCACGACGAGAGCACCTTGTGGTTATTTTGGTCAGAAGCCAAACAAGGCACGACTATACTCGAATCCGTATCTGGTGGCCGGCAAAGTGGGGCACAGTCGATCCCATATATAGTTGTAGTTATTTAGAAGTCGAGTGAAAAGCCGCTTAGTTACTTACTTTGGCCCTGCATATTTGCATTTTTTTGACTTCATCTTCAGCGTTCGCCGCTATGCTAGGCAAGCTACACTCAGAAACAAATACCCCTGAAATAAAGTTGTTCCTTTTAGAAATAATTCCAAAATATAAGAAAACGATTTTATCTGAAAATTAAAAATAAGGTGTATATTTCCATTTGTTAGAAATATTATCTATAATTAAGAAAAGCATACCAAAAAAACTAAAAATGCCAACTCTGATTCTTACAATGAATCCTACAAATGATTGTATTTGTGAAATCTTAAAATACTAATGTTTAATAATATTATACGTCACAAGAACAAAACAAGTCCCTGGATACAAAGCATATTTTTTTTTATAAATTTTACAAAAATACGCCCAAGAATTAATGAATGCAAACTTATATTTTATCTTTACATTATTTATAATATTTTGGGGAACGCGATTAAGGCGATTTGTTTTTCAGAGTGTAGCTTCCGCTGCTCTTTCGCTCCTTTTACTTTAAAGTACGTTATGCGTTGTGGCCTTTTATGCTTTTTATGCTTATCTTTGTTTATTCAGCCCAGCGTGCAAACTGAAGGCACGTGGCCAAATCAACGGCAACGGGAGACTTAGTCAAACAAACGCTTCACTCACCATTGCCAGCCATTGCCAGCGAGTTACCTTTGTGCGGCTCGCTCGCTCGCTTAAGCCGCTTACCAATCGTAATTGTAGCCGTCTGCTACTGCTTCCACCCACCGCCCCCAGAACCTCTAATTAGCTGACAAGACAGACAAGCCTTTGGCTTACAAATGTTGCAGGCTTCAACTTTAACTTGGAGTTCAAAATGTCGACGATGTCAAAATTGCTCGAAAAGTTTAATAATGTTTAAAACAATTAATGCTAAGTTATAATTTTATAAATAAATAAATAAAGAGTCTATAGTGTAACTGGCTAACTGTCCATATTTATATCTCGAATGATGAATTTCTAAATGGGTTTTTGCCAGCCTAGTTTCTTGACTTTACACAATTGTTGGAATGAAATCCGTGCTCTCAGCAAATCCAAATCCGAGCTGAAACAAAGAACATTGTATAAGTAACGAGCGAGCAAGCTACAAAATGAATGTTGTCAACTGTGTTGCACAAATGTGTGGCACATAAAACTGCAGCTGACGCAACTAGAACATAGTTTTAGTCTTTGTCAGTCAAAAGAGAAAAAGAAAGAAACAACAATTGGACGAGGCTACTCTGTCATTCTTACTTTTAAGCTGTGAGCTTTAGTTTTATGAACTCGCAGATACTTAAAGAGCAGCTGTGAACATCAGACATGTGAACAAATTGAATCTATGCAAAGGCTTTTAGCCAACAAATAGCCACAAAACTCAATTATCGTCCAGATTCAATTAGCATTCGCCTTAGAGAGCACACAACACAAAGACTCTTCAGATTCAGCATGTGAGTTCGTTTATTAAATAAATTTGAAATATATTTGATTCGAATTTGCGCTCAATAGTATGGAATCAATAAACTATATGCTGCTGCAAGTTAAATGTTCTTATTTAAACTCATAAAATTGCTATAACTTTGTTAAAGCAAAGCCGACTAAAGTTTTAATTCCAATCGATTATTAAGCCCGAAAGGATTGCAATAATATGCAACATCCTTAAGCTTGAAATACTATGGTTAATTTCCCTTTTGAATCACACGCTTCATAAACTATGCAAGAGTCCTCTTGGGCATGAGATGCATGCGACATGCAGCAAGCAGCAGCTGGCGGCAACCCACTTTTCATCCGGCTGTCAGCCAACAGCAGTCAAGTCGAAACCAGCTGCCTCTCATGAGCTGCTGCAGTTGCCTCAGCTGCTGTTGCTGCTGCATCAACTTTATACCATAGTTTCCACTTAAAGTTAATGTAAACTTTTCTTGACTTTCTTTTACCGTTTTTCTTCTATTTATTTTTATTTTTTTCATTTTACTTGCAGTGCACTCGTTGCCCCATCTAACGGTGCTCAGCCTGTCCGGCTGCAGCAAACTTACCGATGATGGCGTCGAGCTGATTGCCGAGAATCTGCAGAAATTGCGCGCCCTGGACCTGTCCTGGTGTCCCCGCATTACGGACGCCTCGCTCGAGTATATCGCCTGTGATCTGAACCAGCTGGAGGAATTGACTTTGGATAGGTGAGAGCAAGCCCATCACATCTCATTTTATAGCTGCTCCCCCTCAGTTTGTAATTATTCATGAGTTAAATTCAATTTCCAACTTTGCTCCGCTCCAACTCCCAACGCGCTGCATTTTGCTGCAAGTGGCAACAGCAGTTTCAATGGTCGACATCATCACTTTAGCAAGACTTAAAGGGTTTTTAGTTGGCGAAACTTGCTTAAAGCATAAACATATATATATAGATAATAAACTGAATTATAAATTTTTAGTGGATTTCGTAATGTTTTTACTATGTTACTTACTTTAAGGTATAAATTCTTAGGGGTAGCTTTAAAAGTTTTGTAACAAGAAGCTAACCATTTAATTTGCTGTTTATTTGTTGAAGTTGTTGGAAAAGCTGGCAATTTAAAATATAGTTAAAAACAACATTTGCATATCTTGGAAGAATATAATTCAGAAGAATATTAATCGTAGCGTGCATTACTTAAGTACTCTCTGGAGTATTTTAATTTAAGAAACAAAAGTAATTTTCTTAGACTTCTCCCCACACTAAACTCTTAGGTACTTTCCAACCTGACTTTGATACTGCAACAGGAATTTAATAACTCTGATATTCTTCGTTGGAATTTAAAAGCCAGAAGCCGATCAGAAAGTTGAAGATATAGCTAAAAGTGCACGTTAACCTCTTTTTTGTAGAAGAATGTAATCTTAATTCAAATAATTATTGGACATAGCACGCGTCCTTAAAAAGACTTAATGAATCCGTTGAGATTTTTAATTTAAGAAAGAAAAATCATTTTCTTAGACTTCTTCAAATAAATCTCCTAAATACTTTTACAAGTCATACAAAATAATCCACTCCAAAGCAGCATACTTTAATATATTCTTTGCCATGATTCTGATTGCAGATGCGTGCATATAACAGATATCGGAGTTGGTTATATATCTACGATGCTATCGCTGACCGCTCTCTTTTTGCGCTGGTGTTCCCAGGTGCGTGATTTTGGACTGCAACACTTGTGCTCCATGCGGAATCTTCAGGTGCTTTCGCTCGCTGGTTGTCCGCTGCTGACGTCATCGGGCTTGTCCAGTCTCATCCAGTTGCGTCATCTACAGGAGCTGGAGCTGACCAATTGTCCGGGCGCCTCGCACGAACTCTTTGATTATTTGAAGGAGCATCTGCCACGTTGCTTGATTATCGAATAATGGATCGATTACTTTATTTGAATATGAACAAGAGCCAGCATATAACTGATTTTGTTTAGATTCAGTTTTGATTATAACTAATCGACTTCTATTTGTATGGTAGTTTTTTTTTAGATTGTTATTTTTAGTCGGGAAGTTCCTCATGTGCTATACAAAAATTCTCGTAACCACTGTAAATCCTTAGTTTTTACAATTTTCTATGATTTCTACTGTGATTTTAACTGGAACTACTATATATGTATAATTATTAAGTTGAGAGAGCTGTTTAAGAGGTAATACCAAGAAAATACCCCAAAATGATATTTATTTACAAATCAGTACAATACCGAGATGACGTCTAATATGTATATATATACATATATATATATATATAATAATTTATATTTATTATTGTAGTTTTTAATGCAAATTTTAATTAATCTCACTGTAATTAACCATTGAAGATTGTGCAAGAAAAAACCAGAGACAGCAGAAACAATTTATATAGATATTTATGTAAATTAACTTTAAGCATTGCGCCTAAAAGACAAAACAGATATTATAACAACCAAAAAAAAAGTGAAACAAAGAGATATATAAGCGAATGCAACCGGCAAGTAAAATCAAAAACTATGCAATTTATTGTTCAAAGCAACAACAACTTAGAGGCGAAATTGCTAACCAGCTTTATAGCTTAGCTCACTTTTGTAGCCTCCCCGACCATGAAAATCTTTCCATCACCTGTACCATACTATGGCTAACTATTCTAACAATAATCCCATTTGCCTCCTCACCTAAATCCTACTCCACAATCAAAAAAAAAAAAAAAAATAATAATAAAAACACTAATCAAGTAATGGATACAAGTTTTAGAATTAGCCGATTTAGACAAATGTGCACGCTAAGCAAATACAAAAAAAAATATAAATCCAATCGAACTAAATTGAAAATGCATATGTTTCATGGAGCTATATATTTGAATGATAAACTAAAAGATAAAAAGAGAGTAAATGGTATATATACATATATATTCTGAAGTCCCTGTGCCGCCCTTCCTAGAACTAAGTCGCTAACGACAAAGAGTTAAATATAAAATATAATAAATTATTAAATATATGGATAAACTACCTTATATTATAGAGCTGCGCTACCAAAGTGTTTAAATGGAATATGTGAGAATTACTGTTTGAAATTTTTCAAATCAAATATGAACATTCAACAAATGCCATTTGCAAATCTAAAACAAAAAAAAAAAAACAAAACAAATTCTAAAAAAAGAAATCAACAAAAAAATATACTAAAGCAGAATTGAAATTGTAGTGTTTCATTCGGGAAAAAGTCAAATCTTTTGTGCATTAGTTCGATAAGTGTTTAATAGATCAACTCTTAATAATATTCCTTAATTGGTAAAATTCTCCTTTTCATATACATCGCTCTATGGAGCATAAATCGTTCTGGACTTGGGTCTTTACAAATGTTTCGACAATAGTGCAAAAAATGAGTCGTGGTTATTCCTCGCAGGCACCTTCGCCATCATCATCATTATCGTATTCCGTATTATCCTCCTCGCCCTCTTGTTCGTCATCCTTGGCCTGCTGATCCCACCAGGAAAGCACACCCAGCCCGGACTCGTTAATAGCGCCCTGAAAATTAACAACACGTTCAAGAGACAGCCTCTAAAATGAAGATCAGAGTGGCTTACGATAATTTTGTAGGGTGCCTTTACTTCTTGCGATGCTGCAACTGTGGCTGCAGCTGCTGCCGCTGCTGAAGTGTTGGCATTCTGGGACGCTTGGCCCTCCGCCTTGGGCGGCCCAATGGGTGAGGTTTCTTCGAATATTTCGCGGGAAACGCGAAACTTAATCGGCTCGCCAACATCCATGAAAAGATCATGTTTGTTGCCATCCTCTAATGGATACTCCCAAACCCACGCCTGTTCCGCCTCATCGAATCGTGAGGGATGCTGCAGTGCCGCATGTGGAATGAGTATATCATCGAAAAAGCCCAACGTCACATGCACTCCCTCGCGGCTGCAAGTGCGTATTTTACCAGTCATAACGGTGCCCACCATTGGCCGGAAGACCACATAGCGGAACAGCACCTCCGTATGCGAGGCACCATCGCCAGGCAGAATTATTGAGTCCTTCAGTGAGACAATCTCTTTGAGTGCTATGCACAGACCAACATTCAGCAGCACCTGTAAAGCAATCAAAACACTTTAATCAATATTTTCATTTATAATTTTCTTAAGTTACCTTGTTGGCCAGCTTCCGGTCAATTTCGTCACGCACTGCGTCCACCAGCTTCAAGTTAAACTGGTCTGGTGCAATGCGTACATTGTCTTTCAGTTCTGCCAATACAAACATTTTGACATAATCATCTATTTAATTAAATATTTTAATCTTATAGTATTTTTGACATGGAATTAATAAATATTATTAAGTGGCGCCACAAGCCAATAATTTTGTTTCTGAACCCCAACAGAGAACATCTGTTGTAGCTCATGGTGAAACGATATATATTGCATGGGTCTGCTTGAGTTATCGATAGCAAAAAATACCAAAACAATGTCAACGTACAGCGTTGAATGGCAAAAGTGTCAGCTGTTGGCGAATTACACGTGCATGCTTTATGCATTTCACAATAAATTTCAAGTAAAGCATGAACTTTTGAAAGCTGCACGCATATATAAACAAAAGGCTGCAACGCAAAAAGCTATTATTACTATTAGAGTTTCACGAACTGAGCATTTTCTCGTTGGTATTTCACAAGATGACCGATGAGCACAAATATAGCGATCCCGAGGAGGATGAAGAGGACTTAAAGAAGGTGAGTTTTCGCAAAATAAGTAAATAAATCTTATTTAAATGCAATTGCTTGCAGTCTGAGTGGATGCATGACTTTAAGTCGCTGACAGTGAAGCACGACATGTTTAAGAACATCAAACTAAGCGACAAGGATGCAAGTGATAATCTCTGCCAACAAACTACCGATCCTGGCGAGGAATCTGCCTCAGACTATGCAGATGATGATGAAGATGACGACTACGATCTGGGCGATAACTACGATGCGTACGAGGAAGCGTACAGCGGCTTCAACAAGCACAATGCCCAACCACAGATGACAGCAGCAGCTGGTGGCAACAGCACGAGTGGAAGTGTCAACGCATCTGGCTCCACGCAGCGGTTGAGCAACTACCAGCCAAATGAGAAAGTGCTGCGTCGCTACTCGGCACGCATTAATGTGGAGAAATACGATCCGAATGCGAATATGAGCGCACAGGCCGCTAACCGGCTAGTAAGCTTCGATCGGCGCCAGGAGACGGAACGGGTGCGAGTGCGGGACAAGCATGATCGCGCCACCGCTGAGCAGGTGATGGATCCACGGACACGCATGATACTCTTCAAGCTGCTGAATCGCGGACTCATTCAGGAGATTAACGGCTGCATATCCACCGGTAAGGAGGCAAATGTTTACCATGCCGCTTCGAAGAATGGTGGGGACGAGTTTGCCATAAAGATCTACAAGACATCGATACTGGTGTTCAAGGATCGGGACAAGTATGTATCGGGTGAATTTCGTTTCCGTCACGGATACTGCAAGCACAATCCCCGCAAAATGGTGCGCACCTGGGCCGAAAAGGAGATGCGCAACTACCTGCGCATGCACAACGCTGGCGTTCCAGTTCCGGAGCCCATTCTGTTGCGTTCCCATGTGCTGGTTATGCGATTCTGTGGTCACGACGGCTGGCCGGCACCAAAGCTCAAGGATGTGGAGCTGAGCACGTCGAAAGCGCGTGAATTGTATCGGGATTGTGTGGTAATCATGTGGCGCATCTACAACGAGTGTCGACTCGTCCACGCTGATTTATCCGAGTTCAACATACTTTACCAAGATGGCCAATTAGTTATCATCGATGTTAGCCAGGCTGTGGAACACGATCATCCGCATGCGTTCGACTTTCTGCGCAAGGACTGCACCAACATATCCGAGTTCTTTCGGAAAAAGTCGGTAGCCACGATGACCGTCAAAGAGCTGTTCGACTTCATAACCGATAAGACCATAACTGCTGAAAATATGGAAGAGTGTTTGGAGCGTATTTCGGAGCGTATCAAGGATCGGGATTTCGATGCAATTACGGCGCAGGAGAAGATCGACGAGGCCGTCTGGCAAAACACCTACATTCCCAAACGGTTGGATGAGGTAAGTGAAATTGTTAAACATGACCTGCAACTCATCCATTTTTTCAACAGGTGCCTCACTTCGAGCGAGATGTGACCAAGGCCAAGCAGGGTGTGCAACAAAATCTGATTTACGCTAAAATTACTGGTTTGACACCAGCTCTGGACGTCCAGCAGCAGCCAGACATTTTGGATGCAGAAAGTGAGCAGCAGTCAGGTGGAGATGAGAGCGACGAATCCAACGATGACAACAACGATGAGTCAAAATTCAAAAACTCGGCACGGCCACGTGATGAATCGCCAGAGAGTAAAAAGGCTCGCAAAAAAGCGGTTAAGGATGCAAAGGCCGAGCAGAGAAAAGTCAAAGTGAAAAAACATGTGAAAAAGCGCAAGGAAAAAATCGGCACCATGAAAAAGTAGTTGAATATATATATAATAATTGTTAAGAGCTTGTAAACATAATTTCTTGAAAAAATACATTTTGAATGCAAAAACCAATAGTTTCTTTTCTTTACTGGGTTTGGAAGAAAGGCAATCGCAACTTTTCTCTATTGAATTCGTGTTACAAAAAGAATTGCATATTTATGGGCTGCGCAACAAAACAAAATTTGTGGCGCGAACTACTATCACAAAATAAACGATTTTACAGCATGCTTTTAGGATCCAAAAAGTAATGATTTCAAAGCGCATGTAATTTGTACAAAAATAGCTACAAATCGACCAAATCCTCGCCTTAAAACGACATAAGCCTTAGAATCGCAAGAATCTTCTCCATCGAGCTGCATTCAAGGTTTATGGGATTATTTGAGAAACGAAAAATACAGGAAACATTGTCAAATCATTATTATATGGGGAAAGTAGAAAGTGAACGGCGAAAACCTTGTCAAATGCAACACTGAAATCATTTTTAACTTGACGTCTAGACTGAAATGTAAATTGTGTGACAATTGTTTTAGAGAAAAGAGCTGAGAGACTGGAGAGACAAACAAAATAAAAACCAGTAATACAAGTGATATTTGGAAACAACAACTAGTCTACTATTTGAATAGTTGAAAAATGTCAGACAATCTTACAGATTCTCAGCTGACAAAGACGCCGCCACTGCTATCCGCACTGGGATTGACACGAGCCCATAAAATGCCCAATAAGAAGGAATCACGACGCCGTCTGCTCCGTTCACAGACACATGCGACCAAGGACAACAACGAGCTCTTTGTCCATCTGCCCAAGTTCACCATGCGGCTGCGCGAGGAGAAGGGCTCAGTGGAGGCTAAAGAGCCGGACAACGTTGTCAACGATCCCAAGCAGATGCTATACAAATTTGTGAAGCAATCGAAATGCCAATGCTGGATCTGGTACGAGTTCAACGAGTCCACCATTGACAAGGCGATACTGGCGAGCACCTTTGACTGGAACGACTATTTGGTCAACTATCTACAGGAGCTGGAGACGCGTCAAATGTCTCGTCATTGCTGGCAGGTAATTCGCCGCTCCTTGGGCAAAGCGCGTCGCTTCTCGCCGGCTTTCATTGAGCTCGAGCGGAATATGCTGGAAGAGAATCGTTATATTGTGCGCCAGCTGCAGCAGCGCCGGCTGGACGTGCTCCAGGATAAGCAATTGTTATTGGAACTGTTGCCCAAGCAAATACCATTGCCGCTGGCCGTGGACACCAAGGTCATCAGTCTGCTGAGTGTGCCACGCTCCAGACTCTGCAAGGGACGCATTGTTAGCTATGATCCCCGACAGAGTCGCTATCTGGTTAAGTTCAACATCGGGAGCAAGCATAAGCTACTCAGCATTCCCGATTGCCTGCTCCATGCGCTGCAGGAATGCAACAGTGTGCCCTCGTCGACCATCGTCCAGGAGTTTAAGGAGAAGCAACTGCTCGCCGAAGCCGTGAGCCCCGAAGATCAGGCCAGGGCTCAGCTAATAACTACAGTGTTGCAGCTACAAAAGTTGATCGATTTAAAGCGCAAGACCGTCCAGGATGTGACCAGCATGAACGAGGAGTTGCTACTCGGTGGAGTGCCGCCGATCGCTCGCCGTGAGTCCAAGCAGTCGACCAATCGCGAGAAGCTCCAGCTGCGCCATGCCTCCAACATTATGGCACTGCATCGTGTGAACGCTGAGATTCTAAAGCCGCTGCGCCTGGCCCAAAACTATCTGAATGAGTACGAGACGAGTGTGTTGCACAACAAGTGCCTGCCGCGCAACAAGCTGTACGAGAAGTGCCGCACTCTCGCCGAAATGGACATGAAGGCCGTTCAGAACAAGGGCCAAGTTGAAGACGGGGGCACACGCCTGCTTATATTGCGCCTGCAAACCCTGCTCCATGTGTGCGGTGAACTGGGCAATGGCAACAACATTGAAGTCGATGCCGTCATGGAGGATGTGGTCACCAACATGCTGGTCGGTCTGCCAACGGAGCTGAGCGAGGAATTCGACCAGGTCGTTGGTTTGCTGAAGCCGCTCAGCGAACAAATCCGCGCCCTGACCAAAGTGAAGCCAGCCGAGGCAATGATTGAGGACATTGATGAACCCGACATCGAAATGGACCTGTAAACTGTCAATCTCCTTATCAACATTTGTTTTGAAAAGCTTCAAGTGAATGGCTGAGTAAAATTGACAGATATTGCCAGATCACGACCAATAACCAATGAAAGGCATCTTTATACCATATAAAAACATCGTATTTAATCTTTTTTTTCAATATGTAAAAATATAATTTGTCTTATGTACATAATGGATTCGTCGCTATAACCAGAAATCTAAGCTAAATTATGCTTACAAATAGGGAGCAACAGCTGTGGGCAGCTACATCTTAGCACGTATTTACAAATTTAGGGGGTATCAAGCACCAATTTATCTGAGTGTTTACTTGTCGGCAATCAAGTGTGCACATAATACATAAAGTAGCACTTACACCTATAACTAGCTAGGCACCTGCATATATATATATATATATATATACATGGTGAATTATATCAAATCACAGCATAGACTTTTGCTATAACTAGAGCAGATTCTGCTCATTGTGGGGTGGCTCAGGTGTAGCAGCGTTTGCGCAGACTGATGTACATGATGACGCGAAAGAAGATCATCAGCATGGCAAGCAGGCCGAACTGATGCAGTATCGACACCTTCTCAATATCCAAGAAGCGGAGCAGCACCCGCGGATCACCGAAGTGACAATAGATTTCATCGCAGTCCAACTCTTCGCGCTGGAAGCCAAAGACGGTCAGAATTAGGGCGACAACTCCCACACGAACATAACTGAATTTCATCAGCAGATTCATTCCACCAGAGATCTGGGACGCAAAATCGAATCCATAAACGGCAAGACCCATCAGTGGTGCTATTAACATAGGACCCACAACGCTGCCATTCTGCGGTTAATTAAATGCAACAATATTAACTTCAAATTAGAAGAGAACTGCAAATTACTTACGGTTATGCTGAAGGTGGCGCCAATGGCCAGACCCATGCCCTCGGCCACCAGGGAGATCATTAATCCAACGGCAACGAAAATGCAGAAGCGCCACAGCTGTTGGGGCAATCCAGACATCCAATAGGTCATGGCCATAAATGTGAAATTGAGCAGCACTTGGAGTGGCAATCGCGATATGGTCAGCGCCAAATAGTAGGGCGTGAGTGTGTACCAGCGATTGAAGGTCTCCTTCTTGACCAGCTTGACATCAGCCGGATCTGAAAGCGTGATTAATGAGTGACCTGAACAAGACGATGGATGCTAGCTAACTCTTACAGCTGAGTATGGGCACCATCACCTGCGTGTAGACGATCATGAGCACGGCGCCGATGCAGAACTTGAGATGATCAAACATGCGTCCGCCCTGATTGCCAAGCTGAAAGAAGATCATGCCAAAGAACAGGCCGCACAGCGTATGATGGAACAGTTGGATGACCAACGCCAGACGCGCTCGCATCGTCCGCAACAGCATCACACGCATCAGCACCAGGAACTGTTGCAGCCCGGATATCTCACGTCGCTCCCGGTGATGCAGATGCTGTGTGAAGAATTTCATCTGCTCGAGCAACGCACCCGCTGCGCCCATCAATGTGCCATCCGTTGAGGCAGCGGTGCCGGCAAAGAAAGCGGACAAACACTGACGCTTTGGCTGCTCCACAAATAGCGTCGTTATCGCCTGCTGTGCCACCAGCTGAGTGTCCTCCAATGCCGGCTGATTGGCCCGATAAGTCAGTTTGCCATTGTCAGTCAGTTCACTGAGCAGCGGCACCAGATGTCCGTCCTCCGCATCAATTACTTCAATGACTGTGATAGAAACAAATCCGAGATTAGCTGTTTAAATGATGTCCTATTGAATTTGTTAAAATGAATACTCACTGTAATCCGACGGACTGTAGTGGCGTGGGCAATCGAGTTGGGCGAGGCGCAGGAAGGGTATTGTCGCCAGTGGGTTACCCTGATAGACGCACAGTCCCTTGGCGAGCACATAGATGCTATCGAAGTAGTTGTAGATCGTCGCCGAGGGCTGATGTATGGTGCAGACAATGGTGCGACCCTCGTGGGCCATTTCCCTCAGTAGGCGAATGCACTGGGCTGCCGTCACCTCATCCAGACCGCTTGTGGGTTCGTCGAGGAAGAAGATATTCGGATTGTCCACGAGTTCGAGGGCAATCGAGAGTCGCTTCCGTTCACCGCCGCTGAGTTGCTCGGCGGTGACATTGCGGCGATGATCGAGATTCAGATTCTTAAGTATTTTCGTGAGTAGCTCCTCCTTTTTGTGCCGCTGCTTCAGTTTCAGGTCATACGAGAGATTCATTAGCTCCTCGACGGTGAGCAGCGTCTGGTGACGATCATCCTGCGTTATATAGCAGGCATTATCCCGCTGCACTTTAAAGTTACCCTTAACCCCAGTTGTTCTGCAAACAAACAAAATACAAGGTTAAAGTCCAAACATCAACTTTGAAACTCCGAACTGGAAACCGGAAATCAAACTAGAAATAGTTTTGCGAGAAACCCAAAAACTAAAGTTGACCTTCAAAATTAGTTAATTGCTTACGTCTGAGTTTCATTCTCGTTCTCGTTCTATGTTTTTGATATTGGACTTCGCCTTAGACTTAACTAAATGCTGTTAATGTGACTAATCAGCCAGAAATAAAATGTATTTGAAAAGTTATTTATTATTGACTATTTATGTGACAAGAACTAGTATTGGGATTTTTATTATCTTAAATATTATATTTATTTTAATGATTTGTTTACAATCTAATTAATTCAGTATATATTTATTATTTAATACAACCGGTTAAAATTTAAACATCGTTTTATGTTCCCGAATTGTTATATGCGACTTTTGAGTTTCGTTTTCGATCAGTTTTTGTTGGCTTACCTGAAACCCGAAATCGCGTTTAGCAAACTGCTTTTTCCAGCCCCCGAGGGGCCCATTATAGCCGATAGCTGTCCATTACGGAAGCTGCCGCTAACGCCTCGCAAGATCTGTCGCTGGCCCGTAACGCGAACTGCAAAAAAAAAACATAAATAAATAATTAGAAGGGGCGCCACAACTTCAGATATATGTGTAAATATATAAAGAAAGTGAGTTTAAAATGTGACTTGTTTATTTATCTCTGCTCAACTTAAGAATTCGTTATCTGTAAGCTGGAAATTTAGCACAACAAAGTTTGAATACTCTGCAAGTACCCAAAACTAAATTTATAGTTAAACTTTAATGGAAGAAAACTCGTTTTGTGGCTGGCTGGGCGAAAACGTTTATTCTTTTGTCGGCAGCTCAGGTTTATGACGATACGGACATCAAATTCAAATGTCAGTCACAAGCTGAACAACCTAACAACTTTATCTACAACTTCTGTTGCCATCTGAGAACTGGTGCTTAAATGCTGATTTTAAGCAGTGTCACGTTTTCTTGTGGTTTTTTAATAGTCATTTAAGCGGAGTGTGCAGCCACTTAGCTCTACTTAATTGCCATCGTTACTTATGATATATATACATAAATAAGTTGGCGATAAGCTGTTTGAGGAATCTGTTTTGAGATAAGCAGCTAAAGAATACCACAACAATTGCCTATTTATTGTTGTAGGTAAGTTCTTTAATCAACACACGTGTTTATTTGTGTCAATGCTGAATTGGTCTTATCGATAGCCATGAATATTGAGCTGCACAATAAGCTAGCAGGTTAAAGCCGATCCATTCGTTTACATTTAATGATAAAGCTCCTTATCAAACCCGACAACGTACTCCGTAATTAACATATATTATTTTAAGTGGAATCAATTATTCAATTAAAAATACCAATGAATTTAAATAACCAAATAATAATATACATCATTCAATTGTTGATTTGCAAAAGCAGATCGCATCCAAAGGTTTTGAAAGACGAGTTTATTTAGTTATATAAACGCGATGTAATTAGTAGTAATTAGTAATTAGTAATAAGCCACTTAAGGGATGAATGATTATATATGCCAATATTAAAAAAAAAAAAATTCCATTCAAGCGCGATTGGAACTGACAACGAGTCACCTGAGATTAGACAAAACTTAATCTTTTGACTTGGCCAGACTGACACTGATTCTCTATATATTCTAGAGCTCAAATTGAACATAAGTATTAAGATTTAATAAATTGATACGATTTTGTTCATAAGTAAATTATAAGTAAAAATCATCAACTTATTGTGTGACAATGTATAGATATATTGAAGCTACTCCTCTTTATTTTAACACTCCAAATTTATAGATCTGCATAAATTTCTGTTCTCTTTCCAAGAGTTGTGTGTCTTGTTTATTGGCCATTCTGTTTTGGCCATGTTATTACACTTTTTTTGCGCACTAGCCATTTGCATGGACCTCCCACAGAGGTCCACTTTGGTTCCAATTGATATTCCTTGCACAACAGCTAATAAACGCGCAGCTCGTACAAATCAAAGAAGGTCAGAGACAAGGTACAAACCGTAAAACAAATCAGCAGAAGTCGGAAGACTTATTGACTGTTTATAGACCAGTGGCCAAGTTTACATAACAATTAGCCCGGCCAACTTGAATGTCGCCTGCTGCCAGCTGCCAGCCTGTTGTTATTTGAACAATTTTTCAGTATTTGTTTGAGCTTGTTCAACAATTGCCGGCGAGTACGAAAATTCGGAGCTTCTGAGCGGTATTTTGTGATCTTTGGCTTACGGCGCCAGTCTTTTTAGTCGGTCAAAAAGCAAATGCGAGTGCGAGTGCGATAACGAGTACTCGACCACAAACAGAATGAGTCACACTCTCAGAAAGCGACGTGCCAAGTTTTTAGATTAAATTCAGAATCAGTGGAGGTGGACATAGGTAAGCGCAGTTCTCTGGTTTCAGAACGTGACGAGATGGTAACTCAGACGAGCTGCGATTGCATTTCGGGTACTCGAGTTAATCATGAAACCGCAACAGGTAAATGTGCGGCGAGTGCAGAAAATCTTAATCGACAACAAACACAACCGGATGAACCAGATGCATATAAAGATATATACGGCATATAGCATATCTATGAAATGAAATGTCAAAGAAATACAATAAGTATCATTCTAATCAATTTACAATTTGCAATTTGCAATATTCTCAATTTAAAATTAAACTTTTCTCGCTTTTGTTCACTAATTAGCACAGCTGTGTTAATAGTCAACATAAACATAACATTTAAAATGCGGTTTGAATAATAATTGAATTTCGCATTATCCAACAAAAAATAGATGTATTTAATATCCATTTGATTTCGCTATGAATTAATAATAAGCACAGCCGCAGGCCTGAATTCATGCTATTTAACAAGCAGATTTATTCTTGCTAGAAGTGTTCAGCCTATTTATTAGTTTATTTTAAATTTAAATTTTTTAAAATGCGACTTGAATAATAATTTAATTGCGCAATAGGCAAAACAAATATTTATGGTCCATTTGATTTCGCTATGAATTGCTAAGCAAGATATTAAAAACAACTTGAAGTTAAATATCAAAATATAGCTTCAGCTCATCCAAATTTATTCAAATGCAAAATGATTAGTATATTTTAGATGTTAGTTTGTTTTAAGTGACAATTGACAGTAGAATATGTATTTCAGTTAGTTTGTTATTTATTGCTGAATAAACTACAGCGATTAGAACGTTTTCTTTGCAATTGTAAATTCAATTTAATAGACATTTTCACACATTATTAACTTTCCACTTATTCCCGCTTCAGTCAATGTTTACTGAAAGCTTATTGTAATTTTATGACGTGTTGAAAATAAGAATCATTTTTTATTTGCACTACTCAATTGTAATGTGACTTAATCACGTATTCAATTCAATTATGGTCATAACTCAAATCACGTTTTGCTACTTTGTAGTTTTTTTTGCTGCCTTAGTAAGTATTATACCCTACTTGGAGAGCATACTAATTATTGTTGTAAAATGTGATCGACAAAATGGTAAGGTCGTAAAGTTCGCGTATAACGATTATATATGAATAATCGATCATCGATTTAAGCATTGACTTAATAATTGACTAGACTTTTCATTAAGATTATATAAATCTATCGTACAGCTCACAGAGCATCAATGCTATCGGCTACTTTTGTAGCTTAAATACCTTGAAGTTGACTTGTTGAGTGTGTTTTCAGTTTCTTTATTTTTTCTATTTTTTTTTTTTTTTTTTTGTTTAAATAAACCTAGCACAAGCTGTTTGCATTGGACCCGATGTAATCACAATGTGTAAGTGTGTGTGTAGCCAGTATAAGATATGAGTGTCTATTTATATATATCATACAGAGCACATCGAATCAATTTAAGGCTTAGCCACACACACACAAGGGCGTCGAAGGGTCGGAAAGTGTTGAAAAGTAAATTTTTTAATCCAAGCCACTTATAATAATCAAATAATTACAATTTTCAGATGGCTTTTAATCAATTTCTTTGAAGTTAATTCATTTTTATATCTGATTTTCTTTCGGCTACCAATCCCAAAGTTATGTTGTAAGGGGAGACCAGTGCCCCTCTCCCTCCCCCTTCCCCTCGCGTACATACCCTAAGTCAGACAAGTAATTTGAGGAAAATTGGAAAAAGTGTTGAGCAAAATGTGAAATTCCACAGCGAATGCTACGCTTTAAGGGGAGCGGAAAATTATTCAATCAAAGCTGGTCAATTTTGGCGTTGTTGTTATTGCATTTGTTATTGTTGTTGGCGCAGCATAATCGGGTTGTTGCTATTGTTGTTGTTTATGTCCATGCTCATAATGATCGAGATAATGATGATGCTGCCACGCAATAATGATGCTCACATCGTACACAACCATGTAGTTAGTTAGCTACGATGATTTTCAGCCGCCAGTTTGAGGAAGTAGCTTGTAACTGTGCACAATTTGTAGATACTTTCGTATATGTATCTATGAACATAAATATGCATATATACATACTAATATGTGTGTATGTTTCTTTGTTTGTGGATAGTTGCTGCCCCTGCTGATATGCCACATGTGCATGCCCCCACATTTGGCTGCGAGCAGTGTACGTTGCACATGGCGTATACGCGATGCTGATTAACACTGGACTCTTGACTATTGCCATTGCCCAACAAGCTAAGGCAGCAATCTCATTTGAAGTGTGATTCACGATTAAATGCTCGGCACACAACTAAATCTAGCCAAAGTCCAAACGACTGAGTAATGATTGAATCCGAGTCTGAAGCAACTCAGAACAGAATGATTACCCTGCATGCAATGCTTAAACTATTTAAGACTAAAGTAAATTATTTGTATTATTTTTTAGGTGTTTTAATTTTTTATTTAGTCGTTTTTTAAATTTATTTAAATGTGTGCAAAAAATTACAGTCTATAGGAAGAAATATTTATGTGTACCGAGCCCAGGTGCAATTCCCTTCCTATTATTAGGTTAATTTATAAATAATGGCAGGTCTGTAGACATTGCGCTTGTGTGCTCTTCATTTGACATTTGCACATATTTTTCGATTATTAGACATATAACACATTTGCGTAATGCGAAGCCGTCAACGTCAGCTGACTAATTGAGCGCCGATCAAATGATATATGCCGAAGGCGTGCATTGCTTAATGCATATTTCTAAATGCTGTCCGAAGAGCGATTCACACAAAATTCAAATAGCAAATCGTATAACGAGGCGTACTTTGAACTTGGGGGGCTGTAAAATGATTTACTTAAGCTACTCAAAAGTTTGCGAGAATCAATGTCTAATCAAGTCAAGACGGAAACCCGTTTCCAAAACGATGACGATGACGATGACGACGAGACTAGGCTAGAATGGTGCCCAACTCCTAAACGAGGAAGACACCAAAATTTTCCAAAATTAGCTGACCATCAGCATCAGCTTGACAGCTTACTAATCGATTGAGCAAGTTCATTGCATTTGACATGCACCAGAAAAAGGTCAACCACAACCAGCACAAATTACTTGTAAAAATGCTAAAGTTGAGTGTTGAGTTTCCGAAGTATATTTTAAATATGCTGAAAATTCGTATACAATTTTATAATGAACCTTTTCGATTCGTGTGGATTTTGACCAAGATATATTTATATATATATATAAATGTCAAGCTAGGCAACGCTTAAGTCATAATAATATTTATTTAAATGGTCAAAGATCTTTCATCCTGCTGCCTGTGGCACAACTTTGATCAACTAAACGATGCCATTTTTTAAATTGCACTAGCTAAAGACAAATGAATTTTGTAATTGATGTACTAAAGTTACATGATTTTTTCTTCGTATTTTACTTGTTTGCCAGCTCGCATAATTATGGAACACTTAGCGCTTGGGCAGACAAGACAAAAAGTGACGAAATTGTGGCTTAAGAAAGCGAAACCAAAGCAAACATTTAAATTACATTTTGCGCGACTCGCACCTCGATTTCAAATACAATTTTGCGAAAGTCGAATGATGTATATTTAAATGAAATAGGTACACAGTAAAAGATATTATATACATAGGCATTAAATAAAAAAAAAGGTACTTGTACCAAATAGAAACTAGATTGTTGCCTAGTCAACACTGAAACACGGCCTTCAAACTGGGCCATAGCAAGCATAAACGTTTAGTACCACCTAACTAAGAGATTTCATGGCTAACACCAAGTTCCATATTCATAAACATTATTATGATATTACTAAAGCAAAACAGCAACAAAAAACATTATAAATCATGTTAATGATTTAGTTACATGCACGTGTTGCAATTTTTAGCTAACCAGTTGTAAGACTAACAACTTAATAAAATATTTCATTCAAGTAATAAAGATTAAAAGTTTAGATATAGCTATTATAATAACAAGTTTGGATTTAGTTGTGAAAATGCGACCTTTATCAGCCAAATAGAAAACTTAAATGAGGTAAAAACAAATTTCATCACTGAACATAATACTGTAGATATAGTTACGATAATTTGTAATAAAACAAATGAAAAGCATATTTCGCAACTGAGTAAAATACTTATGTATAATAAAGAACAGCTGAGATTGAACTATTATGATAATTAATATGAATACATATGTCTGTTGCCCTAGGTCAAGTTTTTTTGTTGTAAACCGAGTGATTTGGAATACCGTCGAACTCAACAAATTATGAAAACAAATCACCAAAATATATGTATTATATTTAAGCAATTTAAAGCATATTTTGGCATACTCACAGAAATTAGCTCGCTGATCGACTGTGTAGAAAACATCCTGAAATTCGACATCCTTGGACTGTTTGCTTAGAAGGCTGCGCGTTTGATCCATGGTAAAACTCTTTGTTTTTGTTTTGTTTTTTAAGTGGTTTACTGGTTATTTTAATGCCACAATGCGTTATGATCTATGTATATTGATGAGTGTAGATAGATCTATGCACGAATATATATATAAATGTATATAGAAGGCAGGTATCTTTGCGGTACGTGTCGAGCTTTCGGATTGTTTCATTAGCAATGTACAATGTGATATATTGAGAGGTGCTTATGGTTTGTGTTTTGATTTCGATTTGGATTTTGCTGTACTATATTTGGTTGGTCTTTAGTTTTTTGTTATTGTTACTGCTGCTTGGCACGCATCGTTGACTCAGTTAATTGTTTTTGTTTTGCTTTCGGTATTTGCGGGATATTTGTTTGGGTTGTGCGACGAACGCATCGCAAGCTGTAAAAAAAAATTTTAATCATTTTAAATGTCGTTTTGCTGTTGTTGTTTTTTGCGATATTGTTATCATTGTTTTTGTTTTGGGCTTTTTGTTTTTGCTTTTGTGTTTGTGTTTGTGGCCTTGACAAGCCGTAATAATCTGTGTTGTTGTTATTGTTTTTCTATTTATTGGTGTTTGCTATCAGTTGGTTGCATAAATTCGCAGTTGGCATTCCAAGAACCACGCGCCTCATTAAACTATTGAGCCTCCACTGCACAAATTATGGCAGCCGACGCCATCTATGCATTTTTATTATCTACTTAGCGATGTTCATTTAAAACGTCGACTCAAAAACACTGTCTATTTGTATTTACATACACGATATTGACAGCTCTAAAAATGAATGTGCTGAACGCTTGGAGCAAGTCAATGACCCAATCTTCATTTCAAATATATGAGTCTATATGTTCAATAAATAAATTCGAATAAAATATGAAGCACTTAATAAAATTAAACCATGAGTATTCCACACAAAAACTCGTCATCATTATAAAAGATAAAAATAAAGAACTTTGGCAAATGCATTGCAATTAATCAGAATTCCCAAGAGTAGGTTAACAAACTCGCTTACCCCACAAATGAATAAGAAAAAAATAAAATAAACTGGTATAATATGGGGGACAGTGTGCTGATTGCACCTGCTAATTGCACATAGTATAAAACAACTATACCAACCAGGGTGTCAAACCGAAACGAATTTAGGTTCCAGTTCCGATTCTATTATGAAAAGCATAAAAATTCCAGTACAAATTCAATTTTTACGGTATACTAACGCTGCTGCTCCGATACGGAATGTTTCCAGAAAAAAGATTTGTGCAAAAGTGTGTAGATGGCAGAAGGAAACGATGAAAGACACAGGTGACAACGGAGCTGGGCAGAGACACCAGGACACCGACAAGCCAGATGTCTTTCAGGTGGCTATAATCATAAACGATTTAGGCAAGTAATAACCATGATGAAGAATAGTCGTAGGATACTCACGATAGTTTTCATATACCAAGAAAAATACTCGGTATTCCTCCAACAATTTCGAATTTTGGATTTAAAACCAATATAAGGAAAATTGATGAAAGACATAGAAGTCCTCAACCAGCAAAGATGGAGGGAGTTATAGGCTCAGAAGAGGGCACAATGGATTTAGTAGGTCGCAGTTCAAGTATCCCAATTATATATTATATATTAACATTGGAAATTGCAGAAGGAAGAAACCGCAACTTAAATATTAGTTCCGTTATATTGTAATATTTGAAATTTAGATTCCGATTCCGATTCTGAATTTAAATTGGTAAGCATGAGGATGCGATTGTGTTTCGGTTTCTGAAACCCTGAAGATAACAAATATAAAACAATTAGAACATTCCTTGTAGAAATGCAAATCCTATTTAAAATGCTGCCCCCGAATCTGGAAACAGTTAATTAATGTGAGACGCATGACTGAAACCACAAAAATTATCATAAGCAAACCTGCTGAAATTGCTAATTCAGATATTAACGAATTCATTAAAAATAAAACATTCAAAGGGAGACTGCGGTTAATTGGACAGATCCCAGATGACAAATATGTATACCCAATGGAGGTGCACGTGGATATTAACAGATGACAGACAGCTAGACAATTGGACAGTTTCTAGTCTCGCAATGCTTTCAATAATCGATCCAGTCTCCAACGACAGGCCACGAAACAATAATTATAAATGCATATTTTATGGAAAAAATTGTTATAATCGCATAAATTGCATAGGCATTTCACTAAATGCTTCCGCTACGAGCTAAAGCTAAAAAAAATAAATAATAAAATAAAAGCAGGCTTTGTTTTGATTATTTTTTAGAAATATTTGTGGATATTTCAAAAGTGTACATTTGAGCTTAGGCTAAAATATGTGATATGTTTAATAATATCCAGTTGAAAATTCTCAGATGAAGTATACATAAATTTCAAATCGATGACCTAATCTTTTTTTTCCAAACTTCTAAAGGAAATTAAGCCATTAAACTATACAAAAAATATAAGCAAAACACCGAAACCTTTAAAATATTCTGTCATTTCAAAATTAAGCGAAACCTGTTGAACTTGTCATGATGGCAAGGCTAAGTTTGAACATATAATGCACAGCAAACGTGCCGAACTTACTTTTTGGAACACCCTATATATAAACTGAAGACAAATACAGAACAAAACAGAACAGAACTCTTTGATTTCTCTGAACTCTCTGATTATATGACACTTAAATATATTTGTCATCGTCTGATTCCTTCGCTGAGGCGTTGGATTCTCATGCAAACCGTCTGAAACTCGTTTTTTGCATTCATATAAATACCCCAAGGAAGAAGATGTTTTTTTATTGAGGCTATTCAGAAGCCATAAACCTTTGCATAATTGCCAAACTTGGCTTTAGAAGAAGAGAGAAGAGAAAATAAAAGAAAAGAAAAGAGAGGAGAAGAGCTGACACTTTTCCTTCCACTTGGAAATCAGCGATAATTGAAAATTTGCATATTTGCATATTTAACGCTAATTTCTTACGTCTGGTTTTCGATTTCTTTTTGAGCACGATTCTATTCTATTTGACACCATCGAGAATGACGCGAGGGAGGCCAAACTTTTGACTCATGCCTAGTATTAAGTAAAAGTAAAAATACCTGTTCATTGTCAAGAAAATCGATTACATAATATAAACTACTAATTAAAGCGTTAACAGAATAAATAAACTTTATATATTTGTTTTTCCAACAAAATTGCACTTAGTCACAAGTGGAAGCTGTCAATTAGTTTTGATCGCCTATCAAAGGGCAACTTGTATATAACAACTTTGTCTAAATAGTAAATAAATAGTACCATATTCATTATGTAAATATATTCCACTAATTGATAGTGATCTGTTAAGCGCTGTATAAAAATTCACATAAATTATATTATTTTAGATCAAGTAATTTCATTCCAATCTGGCAATTTGCGCTGATATTTAAAGCAATACCCTACAATTTAATTGATGCTGGTATTTCCAAACGCAAAGGACTGAAAAATGATCTTGAGAATTACTTGCCAGAGTCCAGAGAGTCGAAGGTCAAATTCCAAACAAATTTAATGATTAATCGTATTTAGAGATAATTTATTACCAATCAGTCTGAGCAATATAGAAACCGCAAAGTTTTTTTTTCTCGCTAATTTTTTGAAAGACATTTATCATTATTATTTAAAACTTTGCGTGTGATTTCCATGAATGTAAATATTATTTTTTAATGCGCACTTAGATTCCTTTTTTTAATCTTTCTTTTTTTAACTGCTTAAAACTTAAACGGCGTTCCAAATAATTGCAACAGTAAACGAACCCTTAACGACGCAATTTAATCACGCTGATTAATTAAGTTGTAAGTGCAATCATTACTCATACATTAAATGTCAATTGAGTACATCGTAAATGACACTTTAAAGCGCTAATAAATAAGTAAAGAAAAATAAAAATTAGTTGAAGTGCCCGCTTATCCTATCAATTTTCACTCAGACTGTTTGCATTCTTATTATGCATTTTTGAATCGATTTCACCATTCTGTCGTCCACTCCTAAAGTGAGGTGAGTAAATGGAAAACAGTGTGTGCGAGGAAGGCAGCAAGGGCGCAACAGGGTAACGGATAACAGTGACCCCAGGCGCACACCCACTCCTACACATCTTTCACCCATCGATACCCATCTCGTCGAGTGTAAACAGCACAGAGATTGCAATAAAAACGTTGCACGCACATCTTGCGTTTATTTAGTATGTATTTATCTGAACTTATATATGTATTTGTCTTTCACTTTGCAGATGGAATGCGAATGGAACAACAACAACAAAAAACACACACACCAAATGCATTTAGCATTTTACAAAGCTTCCTTTGTGACAAATCCAAAAAACAGCAACAGCAGCAGCAAAGATTTGATAACAAACTGCAAGCGAAACTTTTAACAACTGCAAACTGTTATTTATTTTTATTTTTATTTTTCCTTTTGCATTTAAGGACTATTTACCTATTTTGGGTTTTTGGTCAAATTGATTTTGGGTATCTGCACAACACTCACAAATTGCCACACATTTTGTTTTGTTTTTGCACTAAACTCGCTCTTCTCGTATTGTTTATAATCAAAATAAAGTGGACGGCGCGAACTTTCCAAGCGCGGAGCGAACGTGTCCAAACTTAGCGGCGATACGGAAACAACTGAACGAAGCGCAGCGAAGTCGTTAATGCTTACGTTCGTCAACATTATTCAACCATGTGTGTGTGTGTGTGTGTGTGTATGTTTGTTGGTGTGTGTGTGCTTAGTCCATGCTGTTTGTTTACTTTGCTCAAAATCTGCCAATTTATTTAATTTGCCGGCTCCGCTTGCCATGCATCAAATTAACTCTTATCAACAATTGCCTTTTCTCGCTGCCCCTCAGTTAAAGATAGTTGAATTATCTGTCGTCCAATAATTTGCTTTGACACTTACATATAAGATAATATATACATTCAAATTTTCGCGCTCACATTTCCATAACAGTTGGCCTGCATGCATGACGAAGCAGTTTGAATGTGTATTCTCGCTATTGATTTTTGTCCAACCTATTGTGACTTAGCACTTTAACGTTTGGCGCTTAAATATATATTCAAAGTTTGGCGCTTAACTATATATTCAAAGTTTGGCGCTCACATTTCAATAACAGTTGACCTCATGTATGACTGAGCAGCTTGAACGTGTATTCTCGCTATCGATTTTTGTCTATTGTGACTTTTCGACTTTTAACGCCGTTTTAAAAGTTACGTAGAAAAAGACGTGCAAAGTTAGCCAGACAGAATCCTGAGGAACAACATAACCCATCACTTTTTTCCACTTTTGCAGTTTTGATAGCTTTGAGAGCTTTGAGTCGTGTCGCATAACTTTATTTAGTTTTGTTTTTAGTTTAGTTTAGTTCGCTTACGCGAAACGGCTTCTCGTCGGAACACCACCAAGTGGAGACAGACAGACAAATCCATCCATTCAATCGCTAACAATATGCCTAAAATCTACATATATATGTACAAAATAATATCTAAAATACAATTCTCTTTTTCGTTTTTGTTTTCTCTTTTTGTTTCAGACGTCTGCAGCGCGCCGAGTTTCTTGACTAGGGAGGGGGATGAAGAGGAGCTTTGATTTTTTTGTGTGTCTGGAAGGAACTGCAACTATATTTTTCATAGTCTATATAGCCTATATAGCTACTATGATATCTGGCAGCATTGCGCCCTTCTAGCAGCCATGTTCTGGCTCTCCCAATGCGTCTGCAAATATATAGATGAGAGATGGAAAATGAGTCTTGCGAGAGCCTCTTTAGTTAATTAAGTAGATAGAATAGATTTGATAAACGTGTTTTGTATGCATTAAGTGATTTTAATTTGTATATAATATGTTTCACTTTGACTAATAATAATAATTGCAAGCAAAGAAATGCAGAAATCATATGATCAGAAGAGGATTTATTCAATTTGACCGGTTTAAGCTATACACGAAAATATAACTAAATTCAGCTGAAAATCTACAGATGATGTGACTGTGATTCTTGCTATATTGAAAATAAACAGAATAAAAAAAGAAAACACAAAATTATTGAAAATTGACAAATTGAGCATTTTTAAAATTTAAAATTCGAAAACTTAAGAATATGTTTCTGAAACGGCTTGATTCCAAGTGACGAATTTCTGAAAAATCAACGTAGATGTTGTTGTAAGAAAAATTTCAATCTGTTGAAACTAATTTTCGAAAATTATCAATTAATTCATATTTCAAATATTCGAATTTTGCTTTTCGGTTTTTTGTTTTGCTTGTTTTTTTTTTAAGGATTAAGTAGCTTTATTAGTAATAATTTTTCAATCAAATATGTATGGTTTTCTTGTTTTTTAATCAAAACAGAAACTAAAGGAAACGTAATTTGTGTGTGCATCGAAAAAAGGAGCGTATTGAAATGCTCCTCTCTTCAAGATCCTCAACCATTGGCATCACCCTATATTATGTTAGGTTTTATATAAATCTATATATATATAGTATATAGTATTGCTTATCTAACGATACCCAATGCATCTTCTTACTTCCACTTCAATTTGGCTAAAACAACAAAGACAAAAACAGCTATAATCTGTGTGTGTGTGTTTGTGTTTGACTTTTGCTTACTGCGATCCATTTTGTAATAATTTTAGTGTTATTTTCAAAAATATGTTGCTATTGCTGTATTTGGTTTTGTATTCATTTTTTCATTCTTGTTTTTTTTTTGGAATGCACACGAGAGGAGACGGAGACGTAGTCGGGTCGCTAAAATGGTCTAAAAGTGCTTAAATGGAAATTAGTTTACCCATTTACTGATTATGTCCTGGAAGAGATAAGAGCAGAGTGAGTGAGGAAATTCTTTAACGAATTGATTAACAATTGCCAAATATATAAAAATTAAACACAATCAACTAGAATAACGCTCCGAACTCACCTTTACATCGCTCATCTCCTCATCGGATGAGGAGTGCGAGAGTCCGCTGTACGTTTTAAAGGTGACATTCTTCATGAACGACTTGAGCAGACTGGCGCTGAGTTGGCCAAATTTATAAGGCACAACGGGATCATAATCTCCGTGCGCTTGGAATATGGGCACCTCATCGCTGCTGATCTTGGCGCCGGGGAACTGCTTGTGCAGTGGCAGCCAACACGAGAGTGCCACAACACCGGCCAGCGGTTGAGCAAAGGTCAGAGCCGAGTAGAGAGCCAAGGCGCCGCCCTGCGAGAAACCGCCGAGCACAATGCGATTGGCCGGTATGCCGGCGTTCACCTCCTTCTGTATCATTGTGTGCACATCGTCACGGGCCGCACGTATGCCCGGCTCATCTTCCGGCCCGCCAATATCCAGGGTCTTCAAATCGAACCACGACGGCATGCGAAAGCCGGCATTCAACGAGACGGGCTGTGTTGGTGCCGTCGGACAAATCACCTTCATGAACGGTGGACGTATAGCAGCCAAAGCACTGCTCCAGCCATGGCTGCAAGGCAAAAAACAAACCAACAATAAATTAATAACCATGTCGATTAAATGCATAATGCAACACAGCTGCTGCTCCTGCTATTTATATTCACCCAGTGTCGCCCAAGCCGTGCATGAAGATGAGCTGCAAGTGGATGCAAAAGATTAGCAAAGAATTGGAGTCAGTGCTGCCAGTGTTTACATACCGTTGCTGTTTGTTTGGCCGTTGCCTCGACAATTACCGGTGCTGACATATCGATAGTTAAGCCTCTTTTGCCGCAAAACAACAAGTAATTTTCCAAATAAGTGCCAGGTACGCTGTGCGTTTACTGGAAAGCGAAAACAACGACTGCTTGTTAATTTCATTTCATTTAGACGACAATTAGAAACGCATGTTGTTAGTTATGTCATGTTTGAAAACAAGTAAGAAAAAGACCATCTTAGCCACACCGAAATTTGCATACCTTGCAGAAAAATATAAATACTAGTTTTATTAATAATAAATAAATAGATAAATATAAGATATACATATACAGGTATATATATACGAAGAAGTCTTCATTTAATACGTTACAAATTGCACAACAAAATTAAAAAAACATCTCGGCAAGTGTATAGAAAACCAAAGCAAAATTAGTAATATTGATTTTGCGATAACACGCCGAATTACACTTTACAACTTGACATTGACAAATTAACAACGTGTATATGTTGAGAGGATTTGCATTATTTAGAATTCGATTTACAACAAAAATTTGCGCAACTGTTTTTCTTTTTTTTTTTTTGTTTAAATTTTGTAAAATAGAAGAGCAAACGCAATGAAATTTAACAAGTGAACTGCAGAAGAGAACCAACACTTATTTCCTAGTCTATGAATTGATAGTCGCTCAAGTCTAGAGCTTAACTTAATATATTTACCAATATATTAAGTTGCGTTTAATTGAATTTCGCTTATTTACTAGACGACACCAAACAATTTGCTGAGCTAGCTGAGTGCTAGCGGATTATTAACACAGGCAGGCGGATGCGTTTGTGTGGCTGTGTCTGTGCATGCGGCCTGGCCATTGACAAATGTAAATATCGATAGCGCGATAGTTATTTCGTGTTTCTTAAGTTCTTGCAGCCCTGCATGATAACGATAATCAATAACAATTACAAGCTGTTTATGCCGTGAGCGAAATAAATGTAAAATTCAGTTGATGCTTCTCTAAAATGTAAGCTTTCTTAATATTTATGAGTTAAGTATAACAGATAAAAGCCAGTTAAACCTTTAGTTTTTGTTTTTATTAAATAAGTCTTTGTTTTTTCACTAAACTAAGTTGAAATTAATGGCGGGAAGGGATTTTGTTTGGACACAACCAATTTGTTGTGGGCATGTGAAATGTAGCCCTTGATTTTACCATCGTAAATGAGATTTGCGATGATGCAGTGCGCCTCATCCAGCGAGACATCCGTCACGCCCACAAACTGCAGCGCCGTCAAGAAATCACCCATGTCCAGCTGATGGGTCTGCCTAATAGCAAAGACTTTCTTGAAAAGATTTCGATACACAATAAACTTTAGTTTCTCGACAAGCAAATAAATGCCACTGCGTATCAGGACCAATTCCTGTTCCCGGACAATCTCATCGAACTTATTCACATTGCCGGCCTTAAGGGCCAGGGCTAAATCATGGAAGAGCAGCAGATCGAAGCGTTCCAGCAAAGATTTGCATGGCAAATAGCCGAGCAACATTTTCACGGGTACCAAATAGATGAGAATCAGTCGTTTGTTGCTCGTAAATCGATTTGGGCAGTGGGTAAAAGCATATGAGAGATCCTCCACAGCCATCTGATAGTTGGAATCGAACATGGCTCGTCGTCCGACAAAGTACTTGTACGTGATCTGCTCCGGCAGTGGAAAACTCTCCTTGAACGCACAATTGTCGATGGCACGGATGAGGGGCTTACACAAGTGGAGTTTATTGATGCGAAAATAGACCTTGAACAGTTGATTCACTAGATTCATCATGCCCAGGCGTTTAGTCTCTTCCTCGGAAGCACGTCCATCGGCGGCACAGACCCGAAAACAGGCCATCATACAATCCGCAGCCTTTTCGAGGATGTTGCCCGGCGTGAAGCCGCGACAATGTTTCTCGCAGGCCTGCGCCAGATAGCGTAGATCAAGGCACACCCGATACATGAGTGGCAGGCACCAGTTCTCGTCCTTGAGCTGCTGTAGCAATTTAACCACCGCAGAACAGCTCGCCGCCTGGTGGTTGTAGGCGTCCATATAACTGGGTGGCTCTTGCGCCAAATAATAGAGCACCTTTAGATGTGCACTGACGACCTCATCCAGTGGTGTTTTCAGTATGCGTTCCACTAGCTTCTCCGGTTGTGCGATGTACAAATTGTGATTCTGGACGTGAACATCGCGCAGCGACAAAAATGTGGCCAAATTGTCGCCATCGTAATCCTCGGCGGAGCGCAAAACGCCCGCCAAATAATTGTTGACTGTGCCAAACATCTTTCCCACAGTTTAGCTGGATGAATAGATTATATATTAAATACAACACGATCAGCTTATTCTTCAACTAATGTTCAGTGTAAATTTAAATGTTTCGGGTTGCTGCTTCTTCCTTAATACATTTAGCGTTTACTCAAATGTTATTAACAGTGGCCAGTGTATACATACTTAAAAATATAATAAAATATTAAATAAAACACGATATCAGATGTAAATCAGCTTTATATTGAATTAACCTTTTGCAGAAATTTAAATGATTCGAGTTGCTTTTTCAATCTCATTTCAATGTTAAATGTACATTGACTCAAATGGTATTAACTTAACAATGTACGAACTATCGATTGTGCTGATAGTTCGTGCATTAAGTGACCAGTGTGTACACACTTTAGCGCAATTACTTTCACTTAAAAATAACAGCGTTTTTAAATATATAATATACAACAAATCGCTGTTTTTTTAACCAAATATTTGGCACACATTTTGTGAAGGTCAAGATGATGTCTATATATAAACAATGTCTGTATATACATCGCTATATGTTTGTATTTAAAGAAATCTGTCAATGAAATTAGTTTGTAGACTAAGAAGGCTTTTTTCCTTTCGTTTACTTTTCGGTGAGTGCGAAAAACGCGCCTGATTTTAATATATATATAACAAACAGCATAAGTGCCGCATACTGAGATGTCCACTCCAAATTTTCTTTTGAGCAATGGCAAAAATATGCCCATGGTCGGGCTGGGCACATGGCGCGTAAGTCTTATTGAATAATCCCAAAACAGCGACAATTAAAATGTATACTAGAGCTTTCAAGGCTGCATTGCACATGCAACAATGCACTAAAGCTTTTTAACGGATTTTTTTTGGCAGAGTCCTCCAGATGTTATTACACAGGCCGTAAAGGATGCGATAGATATAGGATATCGTCACTTTGATTGCGCCCATATTTATGGGAATGAAGCACAAGTTGGCGCTGCAATTGCCGACAAGCTCGCAGAAGGTACTGTAGTCCGGTAAATACTGCTTAAAATCAAAAAATTGACTATCGATTATTAATACACGAACTTCTTCGCAAACGCAGTGAAGAGCTGTTCATTACGAGCAAGCTGTGGAATACCCATCATAGACCGGATTTGGTGCGTTCCGCCTGCGAAACAAGCATGCGAAATTTGGGTATTGACTATCTGGATTTGTATCTAATGCATTGGCCGATGGCATACAAATCGGGCGATAATCTATATCCAACATGCCCCGACACTGGCAAAGCCGTCTTTGATAATATCGATTTCGTGGACACGTGGCGAGCAATGGAGGATTTGGTAGACAGTGGCCTATGCAATGCCATCGGTGTGTCCAATTTCAATGAGCAGCAAATCAATCGACTGCTGAGCGTTGCCAAACTGAAACCGGTTGTGCTCCAAATCGAATGCCATCCATATTTGCGCCAAAAGAGTCTGATCACGCTGTGCTACGACAACGCGATTGCGGTGACAGCATATAGCTCGCTAGGATCGGCACACACACCGTACGAGAAGCCCGGAGCATATCCGCTGCTCAAGCATCCCGTCCTGCTGGAAATCGCAGCCAAATATGAGAGATCACCGGCACAGGTCCTGTTGCGCTACCAGACACAGTCGGGCATCATTGTGATACCGCGCTCAGTGAGCAAACATCACATGTACGAGAATTTCAAGATCTGGGACTTTGGGCTAGACAACGATGATCTGCAGGCCATCGATGATCTCGATTGCAATGGTCGTTTTATGACCATGAAAGCGGCCTATGGGCATCCACATCATCCCTTTGAAACGGAAACTCCAAACTCAAAAACATAAATGTAAAATTCATTAGTGTACCTGTGTGTCAAATGACTCTAAATTGAACTATTAATAAATTATGTATATTATATATTGAAGGACTCACGTCAGTGAGAGAGGCTCTATGATATAACTGCTTTCGGCTGTCAATCAACTTGATTTTAATATCATAGCTTCACTTGTTTTATTACAAATGCCTGTTCGAAACATGAAAAACATAGCTATCACTGAATAAATTTGACAAAAGAAAGATTGATTTTATTAACTTATTTAAGATGAATGGGTCTTTGAGAAATCGCATTCGACTTATTCGCTCGACAATCCAAACTGCAATTAGAGGCTATGCTGCACGAAAAGAAGCAAAATTTAAATGGTAAGACTATGTTGCATTTGCAGACATATCGATACTCAATTATCGTATGCCACAGCCAAAAGTGAGATTTAAAGGGCCACATTGCTGAAAAGCGGGAACAAGTTGGCAGGGTCAGCAACGTGTGAGGACATTCTCCGCAAGGTGGCGCGTTGAAGCTTAGGGACGAGAACACATGTGGAAAAGAAAAAAAAACGCAGTGAGGCAGGTCGTGGTCCATAGCGCTTAAATTTGTGTGCCGTACGGATCGAATGGTGAAGTACATCTAGGAGTGCCTTGACCCTCCATATTCGATAGACCGTGTGAAGCCAAATTCGGCGTAAGTGTGTCTGTTTGAATAAATGTTGTGCTGCGCTAATTTTGTGGGTTATGTTTAGGTGGCCGACGGCAGGTCACGCCGCAATTGTGCAATTTATGTCATACGCTCCGAAGTTGATGCAACAACGACCTGGCCGTCGCGCAAAGATTGCCGGATACGCCCTCGAAGCTACTGCGAGGAAACACTGGGCGAATACACCATCCCCTGATATTGGCAGCGCGCAAGCGCACCGACGGTATTTCTTCAGCCGGTGAGTGCGTTCCGATGTGGAATAAGTGCCATCGGGATAAGCCTTTAGTAACCAGCCGCGTAGCTCGAGCGCAGTACGCGCAATCGACCCAGAGTCCAAATTAAATTACAAATTGTAAAAAGAAAGAAAAACAAAAAAAAGAAACACATGTCAAGAAAAAAAGGGTGCGAGTCGACTGCGCGCATGTGAGCAGTGCTCCAGCACACCCACCCCTACTCCAGTATATTTATGTAAATGTGAATGTTAGATTAAGCCAATTTGTTGAATGTTGTGTTAAGTTATTCGTTATTACCGTATTTATTTATTCATGCATCTAATAATTATTTAAATTTCTAAGTTGACCGTGTTCGTCAACAAAATCCGGCGTCCGGATTTTTGCCAAATTGCAGAATCCATTTCTTTTTGCACGAGCCCCCCATACACCGAATACTTATATTGGAGCTCTAATAGGGTAGGATAGGGATTGAGGACCACCTAAAGTAATCGTCATATTTGTTCCATTTTTTTTTATTTTGGTTTTATCGGATTTGGCAAGATTCCCGATTTAAATTCAAAATTGAATAGCCGTTGCAGAATACAACGCTACCTAGCGGCGTATTCAGTAATTAATACTCCATAGCATGTAATGTTTGTTAATAAATTGTAAGAAAATAACGATGATCTGTGAGTAAGTTAAATGCAGGGGAGAATCACCGGGAGCATGGAATAAATTAGTCGTCAACCACAATAAGGGCGATGGGCAATTCGAATCCGTGCAAGCCCATTGCAGGAAGGGCGGGTACGTCGTGGCCATAAACACCAGGCCCGTCAGCTGTTTCGTTTGTTTTTGTGTGTGTATGTAGGTCTTTATGTAGTGTTGTGCAGGTCGAGTTTTTTTGTTGTCTGTACCGTCCACGGGCAGGGTTGGAGTTACCCACCTCTGGGAATACTGAGCTAGCCGAGGTTGCCCACTGCGAAACACTGGACGTGTTACAAGAATGGCGCCCAATGGTTTTTTTTGAAATCATCAAGATCGCGAGAACCGTGGTTTAAGAAGCAGGTTCAAGCGATCAGCGCATGCGAGATGAAATCAAAAAAACCGGAAATTATAAATAAACCGAAAAGGCGAGTCCTCGCAGTACGAATGGCTACTCTTCGCGCCGTACGAAACCGCGACTTACTATGGAGAAGATGCTCTCAAAGCAATTGCGCGGTGGAGGCGACCCTGAGAGTACCCTGAAGTCTTGTTTTAAGTGTTTAGTGCTAGGTTTAAATGGGAAAGAAAATTGCAAGGGTGGCTTGTTCGTTCAAAATGAGCAGTTCAATTGCACCATGCATAGGGTTTTTTCTTTATTAAAATAGTATGCACATACGGGTAAAGTTTTGTTAGAATTTTTGTTAAGTGTGTTTCCGCTAACTTGGGTGTCGACAGCGAGACTCTGTTAGGATAGAGTGACCCATGGTACAATAGAGATGTAACCATGCGCTGCACTCTACCGATGGACATCGTGTCGGCAAACCAATTTGACCGGAAACGTGCCCAAAAGGACTTAATCAACTGGGGACCGTCAGCAAAGCTGACGATCGAACCAGTTAATGTCTTCATAAAAAATTTTTGTTTGTCTGTTTGAGCGGAACAGTTTGGCTAACGACGTAGGTTGGAATGACGATTAGTACCGGCTAAAGGTGATTCTCCCTTATAAGTTTGATTGTTAAAGTACTTGAGTTGTATTGCGTGTTGTGTTATTGTCTTGTCGTTATTTATCAGTTAATAGTTTAGGTGATAATATTAGGAATAAATTTAGTTATGACGGGAAGGGAAACCAAGGAGATGGAAGCGAGTCATTCCTATCAGTTGCGGTCAGGGGGCAACAGCGTTGCGCACTCCGATTCTTGGGAAGTCGCGGGGGCAGGAGTAATGGGGGGCATCGGATTAGTAAGATCCCCTGTAAGGCCATTAGCTCCAGTTACCGACTTTAACTTGCCACGAGAAGACCGCGACGCGGTTAGACAGCCCGAGGCAGCAGTGGACACCGAGATAGCGTCTGCGATTAACGTTGCGATTTTGCAAGCTCAGGAAACCTACAGGCAGTCAATGGACACAGGGATAGCGAAAGCATTGCGGGAGGAAGTGCGTCTAGGGTTTCAAGAAATGCTGAAAGCTATAAACGATATAGTAAGACCGACGCCACCACCCGTGATTCGTAGCCAGGCGCCAACGGAAACTGCTAGTGCTGAGTCTGGTCAACAGCAAAAGCCACATCAGGGGGCTATCCCAAAATCACGCTCGACCACCAAACCACCTCCTAAGCCGCCGACAAAGCCAGAGAGGTCAACCACCTCAAGCGGACTAAGTCGTGCTTGTGAGTGGGAATGGCGCAACCCAGGTCCGGACCAGAGGCAACGGGAAAATAACCGAAGCAGAAATATCAGACAGTCGTCGACAATTGAAGGAAATCGGGGAACTGCGAACCATCGTCGTCCGAATATCGAGCATTACTCAGGTCGACCTTGGGTCAAGATGGACAAGTGGGAAGTGTCATTCGACGGCTCGAATGACAGAGGGTCCGTGGAGGATTTCGTTTTTAAGGTGGAATACCTAAAGAGACAATTCCAGTGTCCGTGGGACGAAATCCTCAGCAACTTCCACGTGCTAGTAAAGGGGCGAGCCCGAGAATGGTATTGGCTCCACGTGAGGCAACGACCAATATACTCGTGGGATGAACTCCGAAAGGCGCTCTTTGCAAGGTTTCGCGGAAGTTGGGACGACGTCGATCGCTTGCAAGAAATGAGGCAGCGTCAACAACTCCCTGGGGAATCGGTAAACGACTTTATTCAGTCGATGACGAGTATGGCCTCCCGATTAGAAATACCGTTGCCAGAGCCTAAACTGATAAAGTTGATCAAAAAAGGCCTGAGAGATTCGGTTGGGAGATACATCTATGCAATGGATGTATACTCTGTTGATCACCTGCGGGAAGAGTGTAACGAGGTTGAATCAAGCTTGGGACAGCGTGGTTCTCGTTTAGCATATGGTACGCAGGCAAAATACGCGGGACCAGGTAAAAACGTTAGTGCCATATGTGACGATCTCGAGGAGAAAGCCAAAGTCGAGCCGGAGGTCGACGAGATTCGGGTGAAATCGTCAAGTTCAAGGACTGGATGTTGGAACTGTAGCCAGCAGGGACACGACTGGAGGAATTGCTTAGATAAGCAGCGAAGGGTTTTTTGCTACCGTTGTGGGAGACCGGACGCACTTGCTCCTAAATGCCCAGATTGTGGGGGAAACGGACGAGTGGGCGTGACCAGACCGGGAGAGGTGCGCTCACGAACGACTCCCACTCAATAATTGTTAATACACCAACAAAGAGTACCGCTAGTATAAATTGCAAGCATAGTAGGACATTAAGGCACCTACCTTATGAAGAAAGGATAAGGGCATATATGGTAGCTAGGAATAAGATTTTTGAGGAACGAAAGCTTGATGGGATGCGTTTAGTGACGCAAAGGGTGAAGAAGGCGCGCGAACGATGCACGAAGCGACGCTTGGTGAAAAGACAAGTTGTGGAATCGGTCAAGAGAGGAGATAATCGAGATTCAAGGGTGTTTGCCGAGGTCAGCATTGAAGGTAAACAAATTGCGGGGCTTTTGGATACCGGTGCCTCAGTGAGTATTTTGGGGCGTGGTTCTCGTGAGTTTCTGGCCGAGATCAATGTTCCCATGCAGCGTTATGTGTCTAGCGTGAGAACCGCTTCTGGGGAGGACCGATCCATTATAGGCCGGGTACACACCAGAGTCACATACGGAGAAAAGGAGGAGGACATGACGTTTTACATTTGTCCGTACCTCGAACAGCCGGCATATTTAGGCATAGATTTCTGGCGAGTTTTTGGATTAGCTCCTGATGTATTGGGATCAATGGAAGCGCAAATCTCTGAAGAATCGAAGCCAAATTTAGTTGAAGCAATCGAGCATTATGTAGAAGAAAAAACTCTAGAACCGGAGGTGGATGCTTGGGAGTTGGACGAGGAGCAAAAAAGTCGATTAGAAACGGTAAAAGCAGAGTTCTTGTCCTTTGAAAACGCAGGATTGGGGAAGACAACAGCACAAACACATAAGATAGAACTGATCGAAGGGGCTATTCCGGTGAAAGACCGACACTATCCGCTGTCCCCGGCGATGGAGGAAGTAGTTTGGGGCGAGGTGGACAAGATGCTGGCCCTGGGAGTTATCGAAGAAAGCGATAGTCCGTGGAGCAACCGCATTACAATAGTGCGAAGGCCGGACAAGAACCGATTTTGCTTGGATGCTCGCAAGCTTAACGCTGTCACCGTCAAGGACGCTTATCCACTTCCATCCATCGAAGGGATACTTTCGCGTATCGATCAGACCTACTATATTTCTAGCGTAGATCTGAAATTCGCATTCTGGCAAATAGAGTTGGACGAAAGCAGCAAAGCATACACGGCGTTTACGGTGCCTGGCCGCCCACTCTACCAGTTCGTCGTAATGCCTTTCGGACTGTGTAACGCCGCTCAAAGACTTTGCCGTTTAATGGATAGGGTTATACCGTCACTGCTTAGGTCCAATGTGTTCGTGTACTTGGATGATTTGCTGATTATAGCTCCGGACTTTAACACACATATGAAATATTTGGGACTCGTGGCGCAGAAACTAAAAGAGGCCAATTTGACAATTGGATTAAAAAAATCTAAGTTCTGTTTCAAGAGTCTGAAATATCTAGGGTTTATAGTAGGGGGAGGGACTTTGCGGACCGATCAAGACCGCGTGATTGCAATACAAAGGATTCCGAATCCCAAATCCGCTAAGGAAGTGCGCAGCTTTTTAGGAACAGCTGGGTGGTATCGCCGATTCATTAAGAATTTCGCAGAAGTGGCAGCACCACTGACGGATACACTAAAGGGGTGTCTTAAAGGGAAGTTTAAGTTGAGTGACGAGGCAGAGAAGGTTGAAAGAGGCGCTTACATCCGCTCCAGTACTGGTACATGCTGACTTTTCGCGGAGGTTTTACGTCCAGTGTGATGCGTCGCATTACGTTATAGGGGCTATACTGTTCCAAGTTGATTCCAAGGGCGATGAGAGACCGATATCAATCTTTTCCGCCAAGATGGATAAACACCAAGCAATCTACTCAGTAACGGAGAAAGAATGTCTCGCCGCGGTGTTAGCTGTCGAAGGGTTCAGACCCTATATCGAGATGATGCCGTTCACTTAATTACAGACCACGCAAGTCTCAAATGGCTTATGTCCTTGTGTGACTTAAACGGACGTTTAGCGAGCTGGTCGTTACGCCTACAACGTTCTGATTTTCAAATCGAACACCGAAAGGGGGCTGACAACGTTGTCGCTGACACTCTATCTCACAGCGTAGCTGAACTACTGCTTGACCCGAACCAAATGCTAGGTTTCCAGACAGTAGAATTCGAGTCTGCAGAATACAAAGAGCTTCTGGCAGAGGTCATTGGAAATCAGGATCGATTGCCGGATTTGTGTTGTACAAACGAACCGGGTTTACAAGAATAGAAGGCGAAGTCGAGGGTACTTTGTGGAAGTTATGGGTGCCCGAATCTCTTACTTCAACGCTCATAGAACAAGCTCACGTAAACGCGAATGCTTCCCATGGAGGCGTAACGAAAACTCTCCACTTGTTACGGAGACAATTCTTCTGCCCCAACATGGCGGTTCAAGTTCGTGAATACGTTAGAGAATGCATGGTGTGCAAAGAAACGAAGGCCACGAACCAAAGGATTCAAGTATCCATAGGGCAGGAAGTTAAGACCGAACGACCCTTTCAGAAATTGTACATTGACTTTTTGGGAAAGTACCCACGGTCAAAAAGAGGTCATGCATGGGTCTTCGTAGTCGTCGATCACTTTTCGAAATTTACGTTTCTGAAGGCCATGAAAGACGCTACGGCAGACAATGTGGTGGAATTCCTGATTAACGAGGTTTTCTTTAAATTCGGTGTCCCTGAAACCATCCATTCGGATAACGGTCGACAATTCGTTTCCAAGAAGTTCGAAAATATGGCCGAAGCTTTCGGGATCTCCCACATGAGAACGGCCATATATTCCCCCTCAAAGCAATGCAGCCGAGCGCGTGAATCGAACGGTGCTTGCAGCAATCCGCGCGTATTTGGAACAAGATCATAGAGAGTGGGATCACTTCTTACCAGAAATTGAGGTTGCGATTCGTAATGCTGTCCATTCGGCAACCGGGGTCACACCATTTTTTACGGTTTTTGGACAGCAGATGTATTTAAATGGAGCCAGTTACAAGCTCGCACGGAAGCTACGGTCGATGGGTGAACACTCCATCTCCGATTTAGAAACGCAGGACAAGATCCGAATAGTTCAAGATCAGGTGAGGCTGCATCTGCACAAAGCGTTTGAACGCAGCCGGCAACAGTACGACAAGCGGGCTCGGAAGTTTCACGCTGTGCCAGGCCAAGAAGTTTATAGGCGGAATTTTGTGCTGAGCGACTTCAGCAAGGCTTTCAACGCGAAATTCGCAAAAAAATTTCGCAAGTGCAGGATTGTTAGAGTCGTAGGAAACAACGCGTATGAGGTAGAGGATCTAAACGGAAGATCGCTAGGGGTCGTCCATGCTAAAGATCTTCGGATTTAACGGGGATATAGCGTGGGTGTGGCCTACGTTGGGCGAGGTTCACAATGGGCAACGGTCGGAGCAGACGGAGGAAATGCGACGACAATTTTGATCGTTCAAGCGGGCGCCTAACTTTAAATTCTCGTGTGTTGTTGCATTTGCAGACATATCGATACTCAATTATCGTATGCCACAACCAAAAGTGAGATTTAAAGGGCCACATTGCTGAAAAGCGGGAACAAGTTGGCAGGGTCAGCAACGTGTGAGGACATTCTCCGCAAGGTGGCGCGTTGAAGCTTAGGGACGAGAACACATGTGGAAAAGAAAAAAAAACGCAGTGAGGCAGGTCGTGGTCCATAGCGCTTAAATTTGTGTGCCGTACGGATCGAATGGTGAAGTACATCTAGGAGTGCCTTGACCCTCCATATTCGATAGACCGTGTGAAGCCAAATTCGGCGTAAGTGTGTCTGTTTGAATAAATGTTGTGCTGCGCTAATTTTGTGGGTTATGTTTAGGTGGCCGACGGCAGGTCACGCCGCAATTGTGCAATTTATGTCATATGCTCCGAAGTTGATGCAACAACGACCTGGCCGTCGCGCAAAGATTGCCGGATACGCCCTCGAAGCTACTGCGAGGAAACACTGGGCGAATACACCATCCCCTGATATTGGCAGCGCGCAAGCGCACCGACGGTATTTCTTCAGCCGGTGAGTGCGTTCCGATGTGGAATAAGTGCCATCGGGATAAGCCTTTAGTAACCAGCCGCGTAGCTCGAGCGCAGTACGCGCAATCGACCCAGAGTCCAAATTAAATTACAAATTGTAAAAAGAAAGAAAAACAAAAAAAAGAAACACATGTCAAGAAAAAAAGGGTGCGAGTCGACTGCGCGCATGTGAGCAGTGCTCCAGCACACCCACCCCTACTCCAGTATATTTATGTAAATGTGAATGTTAGATTAAGCAAATTTGTTGAATGTTGTGTTAAGTTATTCGTTATTACCGTATTTATTTATTCATGCATCTAATAATTATTTAAATTTCTAAGTTGACCGTGTTCGTCAACAAAATCCGGCGTCCGGATTTTTGCCAAATTGCAGAATCCATTTCTTTTTGCACGAGCCCCCCATACACCGAATACTTATATTGGAGCTCTAATAGGGTAGGATAGGGATTGAGGACCACCTAAAGTAACAGTCATATTTGTTCCATTTTTTTTTATTTTGGTTTTATCGGATTTGGCAAGATTCCCGATTTAAATTCAAAATTGAATAGCCGTTGCAGAATACAACGCTACCTAGCGGCGTATTCAGTAATTAATACTCCATAGCATGTAATGTTTGTTAATAAATTGTAAGAAAATAACGATGATCTGTGAGTAAGTTAAATGCAGGGGAGAATCACCGGGAGCATGGAATAAATTAGTCGTCAACCACAATAAGGGCGATGGGCAATTCGAATCCGTGCAAGCCCATTGCAGGAAGGGCGGGTACGTCGTGGCCATAAACACCAGGCCCGTCAGCTGTTTCGTTTGTTTTTGTGTGTGTATGTAGGTCTTTATGTAGTGTTGTGCAGGTCGAGTTTTTTTGTTGTCTGTACCGTCCACGGGCAGGGTTGGAGTTACCCACCTCTGGGAATACTGAGCTAGCCGAGGTTGCCCACTGCGAAACACTGGACGTGTTACAACTATTTCGTAAAAGACGAAAACAATTCTAAGAGTTTTCGATAACAGGAGTCAAAACGAATACATTTCTGTTCCAAAGGCAATTTTTGCTGATGGAAATGAGATTCCAATGATAGGGCTTGGCACTTGGGTAAGTCTAAGAAGTCATATTTATAAAAAAAAACTTATTAAAAAAAATATATAATAAATCAATAAAAATAACAATATTAATAATGTAACACGTCCAGTGTTTCGCAGTGGGCAACCTCGGCTAGCTCAGTATTCCCAGAGGTGGGTAACTCCAACCCTGCCCGTGGACGGTACAGACAACTAAAAAAACTCGACCTGCACAACACTACATAAAAGACCTACATGCACACACAAAAACAAACGAAACAGCTGACGGGCCTGGTGTTTATGGCCACGACGTACCCGCCCTTCCTGCAATGGGCTTGCACGGATTCGAATTGCCCATCGCCCTTATTGTGGTTGACGACTAATTTATTCCATGCTCCCGGTGATTCTCCCCTGCATTTAACTTACTCACAGATCATCGTTATTTTCTTACAATTTATTAACAAACATTACATGCTATGGAGTATTAATTACTGAATACGCCGCTAGGTAGCGTTGTATTCTGCAACGGCTATTCAATTTTGAATTTAAATCGGGAATCTTGCCAAATCCGATAAAACCAAAATAAAAAAAAATGGAACAAATATGACTGTTACTTTAGGTGGTCCTCAATCCCTATCCTACCCTATTAGAGCTCCAATATAAGTATTCGGTGTATGGGGGGGGCTCGTGCAAAAAGAAATGGATTCTGCAATTTGGCAAAAATCCGGACGCCGGATTTTGTTGACGAACACGGTCAACTTAGAAATTTAAATAATTATTAGATGCATGAATAAATAAATACAGTAACGTAAATAACGAATAACTTAACACAACATTCAACAAATTTGCTTAATCTAACATTCACATTTACATAAATATACTGGAGTAGGGGTGGGTGTGCTGGAGCACTGCTCACATGCGCGCAGTCGACTCGCACCCCTTTTTTTTGACATGTGTTTCTTTTTTTTTTTTTTTCCCCTTTTACAATTTGTAATTTAATTTGGACTCTGGGTCGATTGCGCGTACTGCGCTCGAGCTACGCGGCTGGTTACTAAAGGCTTATCCCGATGGCACTTATTCCACATCGGAACGCACTCACCGGCTGAAGAAATACCGTCGGTGCGCTTGCGCGCTGCCAAAATCAGGGGATGGTGTATTCGCCCAGTGTTTCCTCGCAGTAGCTTCGAGGGCGTATCCAGCAATCTTTGCGCGACGGCCAGGTCGTTGTTGCATCAACTTCGGAGCGTATGACATAAATTGCACAATTGCGGCGTGACCTGCCGTCGGCCACCTAAACATAACCCACAAAATTAGCGCAGCACAACATTTATTCAAACAGACACACTTACGCCGAATTTGGCTCCACAAGGTCTATCGAATATGGAGGGTCAAGGCACTCCTAAATGTACTTCACCATTCGATCCGTACGGCACACAAATTTAAGCGCTATGGACCACGACCTGCCTCACTGCGTTTTTTTTTTTTCTTCTTTTCCACATGTGTTCTCGTCCCTAAGCTTAAACGCGCCACCTTGCGGAGAATGTCCTCCCACGTTGCTGACCCTGCCAACTTCTTCCCGCTTTTCAGCAATGTGGCCCTTTAAATCTCACTTTTGGTTGTGGCATACGATAATTGAGTATCGATATGTCTGCAAATGCAACAACACACGAGAATTTAAAGTTAGGCGCCCGCTTGAACGATTAAAATTGTCGTCGCATTTCCTCCGTCTGCTCCGACCGTTGCCCATTGTGAACCTCGCCCAACGTAGGCCACACCCACGCTATATCCCCGTTAAATCCGAAGATCTTTAGCATGGACGACCCCTAGCGATCTTCCGTTTAGATCCTCTACCTCATACGCGTTGTTTCCTACGGCTCTAACAATCCTGCACTTGCGAAATTTTTTTGCGAATTTCGCGTTGAAGGCCTTGCTGAAGTCGCTCAGCACAAAATTCCGTCTATAAACTTCTTGGCCTGGCACAGCGTGAAACTTCCGAGCCCGCTTGTCGTACTGTTGCCGGCTGCGTTCAAACGCTTTGTGCAGATGCAGCCTCACCTGATCTTGAACTATTCGGATCTTGTCCTGCGTTTCTAAATCGGAGATGGAGTGTTCACCCATCGACCGTAACTTCCGTGCGAGCTTGTAACTGGCTCCATTTAAATACATCTGCTGTCCAAAAACCGCAAAAAATGGTGTGACCCCGGTTGCCGAATGGACAGCATTACGAATCGCAACCTCAATTTCTGGTAAGAAGTGATCCCACTCTCTATGATCTTGCTCCAAATACGCGCGGATTGCTGCAAGCACCGTTCGATTCACGCGCTCGGCTGCATTGCTTTGAGGGGAATATATGGCCGTTCTCATGTGGGAGATCCCGAAAGCTTCGGCCATATTTTCGAACTTCTTAGAAACGAATTGTCGACCGTTATCCGAATGGATGGTTTCAGGGACACCGAATTTAAAGAAAACCTCGTTAATCAGGAATTCCACCACATTGTCTGCCGTAGCGTCTTTCATGGCCTTCAGAAACGTAAATTTCGAAAAGTGATCGACGACTACGAAGACCCATGCATGACCTCTTTTTGACCGTGGGTACTTTCCCAAAAAGTCAATGTACAATTTCTGAAAGGGTCGTTCGGTCTTAACTTCCTGCCCTATGGACACTTGCATCCTTTGGTTCGAGGCCTTCGTTTCTTTGCACGCCACGCATTCCCTAACGTATTCACGAACTTGAACCGCCATGTTGGGCCAGTAGAATTGTCTCCGTAACCGATGGAGAGTTTTCGTTACGCCTCCATGGGAAGCCTTCGCGTCTACGTGAGCTTGTTCTATGAGCGTTGAAGTAAGAGATTCGGGCACCCATAACTTCCACAAAGTACCCTCGACTTCGTCTTCCATTCTTGTAAACCCGGTTCGTTTGTACAACAGTCCGTCCTCAACGCACAAATCCGGTAATCGATCCTGATTTCTAATGACCTCCGCCACAATCTCTTTGTATTCTGCGGACTCGAATTCGACTGTCTGGAAACCTAGCATTCGGTTCAAGTCAAGCGCTAGTTCAGCTACGCTGCGAGATAGAGTGTCGGCGACGACGTTGTCAGCCCCTTTTCGGTGTTCGATTTGAAAATCAAAACGTTGCAGGCGCAACGACCACCTCGCTAAACGTCCGTTTAGGTCACGCAAGGACATAAGCCATTTGAGACTTGCGTGGTCTGTAATCACAGTGAACGGCATCATCTCGATGTATGGTCTGAACCTTTCGACAGCTAACACCGCGGCGAGACATTCTTTCTCCGTCACCGAGTAGTTTGCTTGGTGTTTATCCATCTTGGCGGAAAAGAATGCTATCGGTCTCTCATTGCCCTCGGAATCAACTTGGAACAGTACAGCCCCAACACCGTAATGCGATGCATCACACTGGACGTAAAACCTCCGCGAAAAGTCAGCATGTACTAGTACTGGGGCGGATGTAAGCGCCTCTTTCAACCTTCGTACCGCATCAGCCGCCTCGTCACTCAACTTAAACTTCCCTTTTTGACACCCCTTTAGTGTATCCGTCAGTGGTGCTGCTATTTCTGCGAAATTCTTGATGAATCGGCGATACCACCCGGCTGTTCCTCAAAAATCTTATTCCTAGCTACTATATATGCCCTTATCCTTTCTTCATAAGGTAGGTGCCTTAATGTCCTACTATGCTTGCAATTTATACTAAAGGTACTCTTTGTTGGTGTATTAATAATTATTGAGTGGGAGTCGTTCGTGAGCGCACCTCTCCCGGTCTGGTCACGCCCACTCGTCCGTTTCCCCCACAATCTGGGCATTTAGGAGCAAGTGCGTCCGGTCTCCCACAACGGTAGCAAAAAACCCTTCGCTGCTTATCTAAGCAATTCCTCCAGTCGTGTCCCTGCTGGCTACAGTTCCAACATCCAGACCTTGAACTTGACGATTTCACCCGAATCTCGTCGACCTCCGGCTCGACTTTGGCTTTCTCCTCGAGATCGTCACATATGGCACTAACGTTTTTACCTGGTCCCGCGTATTTTGCCTGCGTACCATACGCTAAACGAGAACCACGCTGTCCCAAGCTTGATTCAACCTACGTCGTTAGCCAAACTGTTCCGCTCAAACAGACAAACAAAAATTTTTTTATGAAGACATTAACTGGTTCGATCGTCAGCTTTGCTGACGGTCCCCAGTTGATTAAGTCCTTTTGGGCACGTTTCCGGTCAAATTTGTTTGCCGACACGATGTCCATCGGTAGAGTGCAGCGCATGGTTACATCTCTATTGTACCATGGGTCACTCTATCCTAACAGAGTCTCGCTGTCGACACCCAAGTTAGCGGAAACACACTTAACAAAAATTCTAACAAAACTTTACCCGTATGTGCATACTATTTTAATAAAGAAAAAACCCTATGCATGGTGCAATTGAACTGCTCATTTTGAACGAACAAGCCACCCTTGCAATTTTCTTTCCCATTTAAACCTAGCACTAACACTTAAAACAAGACTTCAGGGTACTCTCAGGGTCGCCTCCACCGCGCAATTGCTTTGAGAGCATCTTCTCCATAGTAAGTCGCGGTTTCGTACGGCGCGAAGAGTAGCCATTCGTACTGCGAGGACTCGCCTTTTCGGTTTATTTATAATTTCCGGTTTTTTTGATTTCATCTCGCATGCGCTGATCGCTTGAACCTGCTTCTTAAACCACGGTTCTCGCGATCTTGATGATTTCAAAAAAAAAACCCTTGGGCGCCATTCTTGTAACACGTCCAGTGTTTCGCAGTGGGCAACCTCGGCTAGCTCAGTATTCCCAGAGGTGGGTAACTCCAACCCTGCCCGTGGACGGTACAGACAACAAAAAAAACTCGACCTGCACAACACTACATAAAAGACCTACATGCACACACAAAAACAAACGAAACAGCTGACGGGCCTGGTGTTTATGGCCACGACGTACCCGCCCTTCCTGCAATGGGCTTGCACGGATTCGAATTGCCCATCGCCCTTATTGTGGTTGACGACTAATTTATTCCATGCTCCCGGTGATTCTCCCCTGCATTTAACTTACTCACAGATCATCGTTATTTTCTTACAATTTATTAACAAACATTACATGCTATGGAGTATTAATTACTGAATACGCCGCTAGGTAGCGTTGTATTCTGCAACGGCTATTCAATTTTGAATTTAAATCGGGAATCTTGCCAAATCCGATAAAACCAAAATAAAAAAAAAATGGAACAAATATGACGATTACTTTAGGTGGTCCTCAATCCCTATCCTACCCTATTAGAGCTCCAATATAAGTATTCGGTGTATGGGGGGGCTCGTGCAAAAAGAAATGGATTCTGCAATTTGGCAAAAATCCGGACGCCGGATTTTGTTGACGAACACGGTCAACTTAGAAATTTAAATAATTATTAGATGCATGAATAAACAAATACAGTAGAGTAAATAACGAATAACTTAACACAACATTCAACAAATTTGCTTAATCTAACATTCACATTTACATAAATATACTGGAGTAGGGGTGGGTGTGCTGGAGCACTGCTCACATGCGCGCAGTCGACTCGCACCCCTTTTTTCTTGACATGTGTTTCTTTTTTTTGTTTTTCTTTCTTTTTACAATTTGTAATTTAATTTGGACTCTGGGTCGATTGCGCGTACTGCGCTCGAGCTACGCGGCTGGTTACTAAAGGCTTATCCCGATGGCACTTATTCCACATCGGAACGCACTCACCGGCTGAAGAAATACCGTCGGTGCGCTTGCGCGCTGCCAATATCAGGGGATGGTGTATTCGCCCAGTGTTTCCTCGCAGTAGCTTCGAGGGCGTATCCGGCAATCTTTGCGCGACGGCCAGGTCGTTGTTGCATCAACTTCGGAGCGTATGACATAAATTGCACAATTGCGGCGTGACCTGCCGTCGGCCACCTAAACATAACCCACAAAATTAGCGCAGCACAACATTTATTCAAACAGACACACTTACGCCGAATTTGGCTCCACAAGGTCTATCGAATATGGAGGGTCAAGGCACTCCTAAATGTACTTCACCATTCGATCCGTACGGCACACAAATTTAAGCGCTATGGACCACGACCTGCCTCACTGCGTTTTTTTTTTTTCTTTTCCACATGTGTTCTCGTCCCTAAGCTTAAACGCGCCACCTTGCGGAGAATGTCCTCCCACGTTGCTGACCCTGCCAACTTCTTCCCGCTTTTCAGCAATGTGGCCCTTTAAATCTCACTTTTGGTTGTGGCATACGATAATTGAGTATCGATATGTCTGCAAATGCAACAATAATAATAAACATTCAAATGCATCTTGATTGCTTTCGATAAGTACTTCAAATTGAACACAAAAAACAATCGCAAAGTGATCGCACAGTTGTTATCGATAAAACTTGTAACGCAGCTCATGTGTTTGTCGAAAGCTCCACAATACTTTTGCCCGCCACTGGCTTATAAAAGTGACAGACAGCTGTGTGCTCCGTGCATAGTTTTTTCAGTTTTTGAGCCAATTCGACGCAAGACGAATTAGTTTACATATTTACTGCAATCTCAACACGAACTGAGCACATAAAGAAATACATTATGGCTAGCGCCGTGCCAACGATTAAATTAAATAGTGGTCACAGCATTCCCATCATCGGTTTGGGCACCTGGAATGTAAGTAAATCTGACAATTTTCAGTTGCATATTGAATACACGTATTTATATATATATATATATATATATATCGTTATCTTGTAGTTTCCGTTGGCAACGACATATACTATGTTTTTTTCGCAGTTGTAAAATTAGAACACAATTGATAATTTGCCGGGTGCGGCGTCGGTGTTTTTCGCCGGCTGAGTGTGTGTGTGTGGTTGAGATATGGTTGCAATGGCGTTAATTCAACAAGTGATTATCAGATCTCCAGCAATGTTTTCGCCTTCTGAATACACTCCTAAGCACCAAAGTGACCTCTAGTCCGAAAGTTTCCAAATGTGCCAAGTCATCCCTTAATAATAAATTATTTGTAGTACGTACTTAAAGCTGTGCAGTAGCTATCTATAGCAAATCAAAAAATTGATAAATGTGCTTATCGCGACATGTTTTAATGCTGAAAAGTGATGCCCTGTAAAAATTAATAGTTATAGCAAGAGTATATTCGATTCATTAGTTCTTAAATGCTTAGCTCAGATATTAATTGCTAGAGCTGACATGATTAATACATATATTCCCTGTATATTCATTTTTAAATAAATATATTACACAAGTAACTTGTATGTATTGTTTTGATAGTTTTCATAGACACCAATTTATTAAGGTCATCTAATTCCATTTTATAAAATATTTGCTCCTACTGATAAGGAAAACATGCATATTTTAATCATTCCAATTAAGTCAAACGTTACGAAAGATGAATTATGGCTTATGAATTATAAATTATGAATTATATACATTAATTAGGAAAGTAACCTTTAGGCCACTAATGTGAAATATGTTGGTTTATTTCAGAGCCCTCGTGGTGAAGTGGTGCAGGCTGTTAAAACTGCCATCGATGTTGGATATCGTCACATTGATTGTGCCTTCGTCTATGAGAACGAGGCTGAAGTCGGCGATGGCATCGAGGCCAAGATAAAGGAAGGCGTTGTTAAGCGGTATATTTTATCGCCTCAATGACATTAATCTTTCTTTTAACATCTGGTTTTTTTTTTTTTTTGCTTGTAGCGAGGATTTGTTCATCACTAGCAAGTTGTGGAATACTTTCCACCGTCCCGATTTGGTGAAGGGTGCTCTTGAAAATACATTGAAACTGTTGAAGCTTAAGTATCTAGATCTGTACTTGATCCACTGGCCAATGGGTTTCAAGGAGGGCAACGATCTGTTCCCAGTCGACGAGAAAGGCCAAACTCTGTATTCGCCCGACGATTACGTGGACACCTGGAAGGAGATGGAGAAACTGGTTGAGGCAGGCCTAGTCAAATCAATTGGCATTTCCAACTTCAATAAAAATCAAATTGAACGAATCTTGGCGATTGCCAAAATTGTGCCAGCCACAAATCAGATTGAATGCCATCCCTATCTAACCCAGAAGAAACTGTGTGATTTCTGCAAATCGAAGAATATTACCATAACAGCTTACAGCCCGTTGGGCAGTCCGAATCGTCCATGGGCCAAACCGGGTGATCCAGTTATCCTGGAGGAAGAAGCTGTAAGCCGTAACATAACTAACATAACATAACGAATAGTTCTTTCTCTACAGTTTGTCCTCTTATAGATTAAGAAAATCGCTCAGGCCAAGAATAAGACACCTGGCCAAATTCTGATTCGTTATCAGGTGCAGCGCACCAACATTGTTATACCAAAATCGGTGACCAAGGAACGCATCGAATCAAACTTCAAAGTCTTCGATTTCGAGCTGACACCCGAGGAAATCAAAATCATTGAGAGTTTTGAGTGCAATGGTCGTCTGGTGCCACTGATAAAGTAAGTTTCTTATAGCTATCATATTACTTTATCAGAATTAATTTCATCATCACGCATACATTTTTTTGGTCTTATTTTAAAATTCAATTAATTTACTTTTTTTTAATAATTTAGAGAGGCTGGCAGTCATAAACACTATCCATTTCATGAAGAATATTAAATTAAATCTCAAGAAATCTTATTTTATCCATATGGGAAACCTGAACTAGAAATTGAATTATGATAGTAGTTAAGTAAATATTTACGTCAAAACTAAGAACCAGCAACCTGAGAAGCACAGACGTATGTTTAATTTACATTCTTACGGCCTATTTATTTTGTTTATTTATGTGTTATTTGATAACCACACAGTTAAGTGCTTGTGAAACCCAATTAATGTCTATACATTTAGTATGACAAGTTACATTTTACAAGTCAATTCTGAAAAAATAGCTGATAAATCCACTAACAATTATAAATGATGTTGCTCAATGTTTTGAAAGAGTAAAGTAAAAGATATTTCAGTTTGCAAGTTTCTGTATGCCAGTGTTAATATTGCTTTATTTCTTAAAATAACTATTTTTGTTCCTTGAATCAATTACTATATACTATATCATTTCGATATTTTTCAGTCACCACGGTCATCCTCACCATCCGTTCGTAAATGATGAATACTAAATGGAGCTTAATGTTTACAACTGTTCTACGCTATTAATCCCATATTTATGTACTTATGGTACAATGAAAATGAAAAAAGATAATGGAAATATATATATATACATATAAACATAAATATGTTATCATAATTATGATTCTAAAATACTGTGAACTCAAATAAACAAGCTTTGTCTTCGAAACACGCTTTTTAAGTACTTCAATTACCTGGCAATTGCGACCAATTCGACATCGTAGTACTGCCAAAGAATACATCAGACTTACGTAAAGACTAAGAAAGTCTGACGATTGTTTAATTTAAGCTTTGAGCAAATATTTTGCACAGGTGTTTATTTCTATTCTATTTCGGAGCACGGGTTCAGTATCAAGTGCCTAATTTTACCCTGAACCACTTGGGTAAAAATAAAATGGGTAAAAAGGGTTTGATGGTTTTGTGAAAATGTATGTAACGAGCAGAAGAAAGCATAATGTATACATATTCTTGATAAGGATCAATAGCCGAGACGATATAGCCATGTCCATCTGCATAAACACGCGTATCTTTGAGACTATAAGGTCGAGAGACTTCAAATTTGGAATATAACTTCTCATATACTCCTCGCAGATAACTTCCTGTTTTTACTTTTTTTGTGCATGTACCTGCTTTGTGTGTGCAAAACTATTAAAGGAAAATTTAGCAAAAAAAAGAAGACTAGAATATTTAAAAGCTGGGTTCCAGGGGTATATCGTACTCGAGCTAACGCGATTTGAAACAGCATTCTTACTTGTTTCAAATATTTCTATGGAGGTAGTACTGCCAAAGAATATATCAGACTTACGTAAAGACTAAGAAAGTCAGACAATTGTTTAATTTAAGCTTTAAGCAAATATTTTGCACAAGTGTTTATTTCTTTTCTATTTAGGAGCACGAGTTCAGTATCAAGCGGCTATTTTCTATTTTTTTTTTGTGTCGAACAATAGAAGTACCAAATGTTTTGCAACAATGCAAGCATCTACGCAAATAGTCAAAATAGAATGTCAACAAACCTGAACAATTTTGGGAAGTATATAAGGGGCCCAATAGTCGCTTTGGCCTACAGATAAAATTGAGCATTGGTAATTCGGAGGCCATGCGTATATTTTGTATTGCCCTCTTGGGCGCTTTCGTGGCACTCGCATTGGGTGCTACCATTCACAAGGAGACTGCCTTGAGCACCGAGAAGTTAACGGCTCAGCCGGCAGCCAATACACCGTGTTGTGAAAGTGTGAGACAAACTCTTTTAGACATTCGTAAAGATATTCGCTTGTGGCTCTTGGATAGACTTTTCGGTAAATTAGTTCTTACGCATGATGATGACTGTGCTCATAATCGGATTACCTCATCAGCGGATTCTTCGGGAGCTGGGCAGAATACCGATAAATTTGAAGCGATCATAAACACTATTAGACAAACGATTCCCAGATCTTCCGGTCGGTTTGACAACGTTATTAAAAGTGAGAGTAAAACAGTTGTAGAGTCTGGGAACTCCGCTCAATCTGGAGGCACTGTTGTTGGAGATGGTAACTCACAACAATCTAGCTCGACAACAACTACAACAACCACCACAACATCTTTAGAAGGATCTGAGAAATCAAGTTCAGTGGTTGATCCCGTTGTGAGGAACAACATCTTCGGAAGAATCAACTAAATCCAGCTCAACATCCAGCGGAGACACTGTTGTTGGAGGTGGTAACTCGCAACAATCTAGCTCGACAACAACTACGACAACCACTACAACATCTTCAGAAGGATCTGAGAAATCCAGCTCATTGGTTGATCCCGTTGTGAAAGAAACAAAATCTTCGGAAGAATCAACTAAATCCACTATTGTTGGAGGTGGTAACTCGCAACAATCAAGCTCGACAACAACTACGACAACCACTACAACATCTTCAGATGGATCTGAGAAATCAAGTTCAGTGGTTGATCCCGTTGTGAAAGAAACAACATCTTCGGCAGAATCAACTAAATCCACTGTTGTTGGAGGTGGTAACTCGCAACAATCTAGCTCGACAACAACTTCGACAACCACTACAACATCTTCAGAAGGATCTGAGAAACCGAGCTCATTGGTTGATCCCGTTGTGAAAGAAACAAAACCTTCGGAAGAATCAACTAAGTCCAGTTCAACATCCAGCGGAAACACTGTTGTTGGAGGTGGTAATTCGCAACAATCTAGCTCGACGACAACAACGACAACCACCACAACATCTTCAGATGGATCTGAGAAACCGAGCTCGTTGGTTGATCCCGTTGTGAAAGAAACAACATCTTCGGAAGAATCAACTAAATCCACTGTTGTTGGAGGTGGTAACTCGCAACAATCTAGCTCGACAACAACTTCGACAACCACTACAACATCTTCAGAAGGATCTGAAAAACCGAGCTCATTGGTTGATCCCGTTGTGAAAGAAACAAAATCTTCGGAAGAATCAACTAAGTCCAGTTCAACATCCAGCGGAAACACTGTTGTTGGAAGTGGTAATTCGCAACAATCTAGCTCGACGACAACAACGACAACCACCACAACATCTTCAGATGGATCTGAGAAACCGAGCTCGTTGGTTGATCCCGTTGTGAAAGAAACAAAATCTACGGAAGAATCAACTAAATCTAGCTCAACATCCAGCGGAGACACTTTTGTTGGAGGTGGTAACTCGCAACAATCAAGCTCGACGACAACAACGACAACCACTACAACATCTTCGGATGGATCTGAGAAATCCAGTTCAGTAGTTGATCCCGTTGTGAAAGAAACAACATCTTCGGAAGAATCAACTAAATCCAGTTCAACATCCGGCGGAGACACTGTTGTTGGAAATGGTAGCTCGCAACAATCTAGCTCGACAACAACAACGACAACCACCACAACATCTTCAGAAGGATCTGAGAAACCGAGCTCATTGGTTGATCCCGTTGTGAAAGAAACAAAATCTTCGGAAGAATCAACTAAATCTAGCTCAACATCCAGCGGAGACACTGTTGTTGGAGGTGGTAACTCGCAACAATCAAGCTCGACGACAACAACGACAACCACTACAACATCTTCAGAAGGATCTGAGAAATCCAGTTCAGTGGTTGATCCCGTTGTGAAAGAAACAACATCTTCGGAAGAATCAACTAAATCCAGTTCAACATCCGGCGGAGACACTGTTGTTGGAGGTGGTAACTCGCAACAATCTAGCTCGACGACAACAACGACAACCACCATAACATCTTCAGATGGATCTGAGAAATCAAGTTCAGTGGTTGATCCCGTTGTGAAGGAAACAACATCTTCGGAAGAATCAACTAAATCCAGCTCAACATCCGGCGGAGACACTGTTGTTGGAGGTGATAACTCACAACAATCTAGCTCGACAACAACTACGACAACCACTACATCTTCAGAAGGATCTGAGAAACCGAGCTCATTGGTTGATCCCGTTGTGAAAGAAACAAAATCTTCGGAAGAATCAACTAAATCTAGCTCAACATCCAGCGGAGAAACTGTTGTTGGAGGTGGTAACTCGCAACAATCAAGCTCGACGACAACAACGACAACCACTACAACATCTTCGGATGGATCTGAGAAATCCAGTTCAGTGGTTGATCCCGTTGTGAAAGAAACAAAATCTTCGGAAGAATCAACTAAATCCAGTTCAACATCCGGCGGAGACACTGTTGTTGGAGGCGGTAGCTCGCAACAATCTAGCTCGACAACAACTACAACAACCACCACAACATCTTCAGAAGGATCTGAGAAATCTAGTTCAGTGGTTGATCCCGTTGTGAAGGAAACAATATCTTCGGAAGAATCAACTAAATCCAGTTCAACATCCGGCGGAGACACTGTTGTTGGAGGTGGTAACTCGCAACAATCTAGCTCGACGACAACAACGACAACCACCATAACATCTTCAGATGGATCTGAGAAATCAAGTTCAGTGGTTGATCCCGTTGTGAAGGAAACAACATCTTCGGAAGAATCAACTAAATCCAGCTCAACATTTGGCGGAGACACTGTCGTTGAAGGTGGTAACTCACAACAATCTAGCTCGACAACAACTACAACAACCACCACAACATCTTTAGAAGGATCTGAGAAATCAAGTTCAGTGGTTGATCCCGTTGTGAAGGAAACAACATCTTCGGAAGAATCAACTAACTCCAGCTCAACATCCGGCGGAGACACTGTCGTTGAAGGTGGTAACTCACAACAATCTAGCTCGACAACAACTACAACAACCACCACAACATCTTCAGAAGGATCTGAGAAATCAAGTTCAGTGGTTGATCCCGTTGTGAAGGAAACAACATCTTCGGAAGAATCAACTAAATCCAGCTCAACATCCGGCGGAGACACTGTTGTTGGAGGTGATAACTCACAACAATCTAGCTCGACAACAACTACAACAACCACTACAACATCTTCAGAAGGATCTGAGAAATCAAGTTCAGTGGTTGATCCCGTTGTGAAGGAAACAACATCTTCGGAAGAATCAACTAAATCCACTATTGTTGGAGGTGGTAACTCGCAACAATCTAGCTCGACAACAACAACGACAACCACTACAACATCTTCAGAAGGATCTGAGAAATCCAGTTCAGTAGTTGATCCCGTTGTGAAAGAAACAAAATCTTCGGAAGAATCAACTAAATCCACTATTGTTGGAGGTGGTAATTCACAACAATCTAGCTCGACAACAACTACGACAACCACCACAACATCTTCGAAAGGATCTGAGAAATCAAGTTCAGTGGTTGATCCCGTTGTGAAGGAAACAACATCTTCGGAAGAATCAACTAAATCCAGCTCAACATCCGGCGGAGACACTGTTGTTGAAGGTGGTAACTCGCAACAATCTAGCTCGACAACAACTACGACAACCACTACAACATCTTCAGAAGGATCTGAAAAATCCAGTTCAGTAGTTGATCCCGTTGTGAAAGAAACAAAATCTTCGGAAGAATCAACTAAATCCACTATTGTTGGAGGTGGTAACTCGCAACAATCAAGCTCGACAACAACTACGACAACCACTACAACATCTTCAGATGGATCTGAGAAATCAAGTTCAGTGGTTGATCCCGTTATGAAGGAAACAACATCTTCGGAAGAATCAACTAAGTCCAGTTCAACATCCGGCGGAGATACTGTTGTTGGAGGTGGTAACTCGCAACAATCTAGCTCGACGACAACAACGACAAACACCACAACATCTTCAGATGGATCTGAGAAATCCAGTTCAGTGGTTGATCCCGTTGTGAAAGAAACAAAATCTTCGGATGAATCAACTAAATCTAGCTCAACATCTGGCGGTGACACAGTTGTGGGAGGTGGTAACTCACAACAATCTAGTTCGACAACAACTACAACAACCACCACAACATCTTCAGAAGGATCTGAGAAATCCAGTTCATTGGTTGATCCCGTTGTGAAAGAAACAAAATCTTCGGAAGAATCAACTAAATCCACTATTGTTGGAGGTGGTAACTCGCAACAATCTAGCTCGACGACAACAACGACAACCACCACAACATCTTCAGATGGATCTGAGAAATCCAGTTCAGTGGTTGATCCCGTTGTGAAAGAAACAAAGTCTTCGGAAGAATCAACTAAATCCACTATTGTTGGAGGTGGTAATTCACAACAATCTAGCTCGACAACAACTACAACAACCACTACAACATCTTCAGAAGGATCTGAGAAATCAAGTTCAGTGGTTGATCCCGTTACGAAGGAAACAACATCTTCGGAAGAATCAACTAAGTCCAGTTCAACATCCAGCGGAAACACTGTTGTTGGAGGTGGTAATTCGCAACAATCTAGCTCGACGACAACAACGACAACCACCACAACATCTTCAGATGGATCTGAGAAATCCAGTTCAGTAGTTGATCCCGTTGTGAAAGAAACCACGTCTTCGGAAGAATCAACTAAATCCACTATTGTTGGAGGTGGTAATTCACAACAATCTAGCTCGACGACAACAACGACAACCACCATAACATCTTCAGATGGATCTGAGAAATCCAGCCCATTGGTTGATCCCGTTGTGAAGGAAACAACATCTTCGGAAGAATCAACTAAATCTAGCTCAACATCCGGCGGAGACACTGTTGTTGGAGGTGGTAACTCGCAACAATCTAGCTCGACGACAACAACGACAACCACCATAACATCTTCAGATGGATCTGAGAAATCCAGTTCAGTAGTTGATCCCGTTGTGAAAGAAACCACGTCTTCGGAAGAATCAACTAAATCCACTATTGTTGGAGGTGGTAATTCACAACAATCTAGCTCGACGACAACAACGACAACCACCATAACATCTTCAGATGGATCTGAGAAATCCAGCCCATTGGTTGATCCCGTTGTGAAGGAAACAACATCTTCGGAAGAATCAACTAAATCTAGCTCAACATCCGGCGGAGACACTGTTGTTGGAGGTGGTAACTCGCAACAATCTAGCTCGACGACAACAACGACAACCACCATAACATCTTCAGATGGATCTGAGAAATCCAGCCCATTGGTTGATCCCGTTGTGAAAGAAACAACATCTTCGGAAGAATCAACTAAATCTAGCTCAACATCCAGCGGAGACACTGTTGTTGGAGGTGGTAATTCGCAACAATCTAGCTCGACGACAACAACGACAACCACCATAACATCTTCAGATGGATCTGAGAAATCCCAGCCCATTTGGTTGATCCCGTTGTGAAAGAAACAACATCTTCGGAAGAATCAACTAAATCTAGCTCAACATCCAGCGGAGACACTTTTGTTGGAGGTGGTAAATCGCAACAATCTAGCTCGACGACAACAACGACAACCACCACAACATCTTCAGATGAATCTGAGAAATCCAGTTCAGTGGTTGATCCCGTTGTGAAAGAAACAAAATCTTCGGAAGAATCAACTAAATCCACTATTGTTGGCGGTGGTAATTCACAACAATCTAGCTCGACAACAACTATGACAACCACTACAACATCTTCAGAAGGATCTGAGATATCCAGCTCATTGGTTGATCCCGTTGTGAAAGAAACAAAATCTTCGGAAGAATCAACTAAATCTAGCTCAAAATCTGGCGGAGACACTGTTGTGGGAGGTGGTAACTCACAACAATCTAGTTCGACAACAACTACGACAACCACTACAACATCTTCAGAAGGATCTGAGAAATCCAGCTCATTGGTTGATCCCGCTGTGAAAGAAACAACGTCTTCGGAAGAATCAACTAAATCCACCATTGTTGACGGTGGTAATTCACAACAATCTAGCTCGACAACAACTACGACAACCACTACAACATCTTCAGAAGGCTCTGAGAAATCCAGCTCATTGGTTGATCCCGTTGTGAAAGAAACAAAATCTTCGGAAGAATCAACTAAATCTAGCTCAACATCTGGCGGAGACACTGTTGTGGGAGGTGGTAACTCACAACAATCTAGTTCGACAACAACTACGACAACCACTACAACATCTTCAGAAGGATCTGAGAAACCCAGTTCATTGGTTGCTCCCGTTGTGAATGAAACAACATCTTCGGAAGAATCAACTAAATCCACTATTGTTGGAGGTGGTAACTCGCAACAATCTAGCTCGACGACAACAACGACAACCACCACAACATCTTCAGATGGATCTGAGAAATCCAGTTTAGTGGTTGATCCGGTTGTGAAAGAAACAAAGTCTTCGGAAGAATCAACTAAATCCACAATTGTTGGAGGTGGTAATTCACAACAATCTAGCTCGACAACAACTACGACAACCACTACAACATCTTCAGAAGGATCTGAGAAATCCAGCTCATTGGTTGATCCCGTTGTGAAAGAAACAACATCTTCGGAAGAATCAACTAAATCTAGCTCAACATCTGGCGGAGACACTGTTGTTGGAGGTGGTAACTCGCAACAATCTAGCTCGACGACAACAACGACAACCACCACAACATCTTCAGATGGATCTGAGAAATCCAGTTCAGTGGTTGATCCCGTTATGAAAGAAACAACATCTTCGGAAGAATCAACTAAATCCACTATTGTTGGAGGTGGTAATTCACAACAATCTAGCTCGACCACAACTACGACAACCACCACAACATCTTCAGAAGGATATGAGAAACCGAGCTCATTGGTTGATCCCGTTGTGAAAGAAACAAAATCTTCGGAAGAATCAACTAAATCTAGCTCAACATCCAGCGGAGACACTGTTGTTGGAGGTGGTAACTCGCAACAATCTAGCTCGACGACAACAACGACAACCACCACAACATCTTCAGATGGATCTGAGAAATCCAGTTCAGTGGTTGATCCCGTTGTGAAAGAAACAACATCTTCGGAAGAATCAACTAAATCCACTGTTGTTGGAGGTGGTAACTCGCAACAATCTAGCTCGACGACAACAACGACAACCACTACAACATCTTCAGATGGATCTGAGAAATCCAGTTCAGTGGTTGATCCCGTTGTGAAAGAAACAACATCTTCGGAAGAATCAACTAAATCCACTGTTGTTGGAGGTGGTAATTCACAACAATCTAGCTCGACAACAACTTCGACAACCACTACAACATCTTCAAAAGGATCTGAGAAACCGAGCTCATTGGTTGATCCCGTTGTGAAAGAAACAAAATCTTCGGAAGAATCAACTAAATCCAGTTCAACATCCGGCGGAGACACTGTTGTTGGAGGTGGTAGCTCGCAACAATCCAGCTCGACGACAACAACGACAACCACCACAACATCTTCAGAAGGATCTGAGAAATCCAGTTCAGTGGTTGATCCCGTTGTGAAAGAAACAACATTTTCGGAAGAATCAACTAAATCCACTGTTGTTGGAGGTGGTAACTCGCAACAATCTAGCTCGACGACAACAACGACAACCACTACAACATCTTCAGATGGATCTGAGAAATCCAGTTCAGTGGTTGATCCCGTTGTGAAAGAAACAACATCTTCGGAAGAATCAACTAAATCCACTGTTGTTGGAGGTGGTAACTCGCAACAATCTAGCTCGACAACAACTTCGACAACCACTACAACATCTTCAGAAGGATCTGAGAAACCGAGCTCATTGGTTGATCCCGTTGTGAAAGAAACAAAATCTTCGGAAGAATCAACTAAATCCAGTTCAACATCCGGCGGAGACACTGTTGTTGGAGGTGGTAGCTCGCATCAATCCAGCTCGACAACAACAACGACAACCACCACAACATCTTCTGAAGGATCTGAGAAATCCAGTTCAGTGGTTGATCCCGTTGTAAAAGACACTTCCAGTTACCCAATTATTCAGTCCGACGAGCTTGTTGAAGATAACGGCACTGACAAATCCGGCTCAACGGCATCTCATCTCAACATCTTAAAGGTCATTGGAGGTGCCAACGCCCGCGAATCCAGCTCATCAACAACAACAACCACGACAACTTCTGAGGGATCTGGCTCATCTTATACTCCTGTTGTTAAAGATACTTCCAGACAGATTAAGACTGTTGTCGAATCTGGAAACACTGCTCAATCCGGACCTGTCAAAGACGGATCTAATTCAAAAACTGTAGTTTCGAGCTCATGGTCGAAGAAGTCTAGCTCATCGAGTAAGGGTTCTGGTCCGAAAGTACAGATTGCTCTAGATTCTAACTCTGGAACTATTGTAAAAGGTGCTCGAGGCGTTATTGGAAATATCATAAAGGTCATTGGAGGTGCCAACACCCGCGAATCCAGCTCATCAACAACTACATCCACGACAACTTCTGAGGGATCTGGCTCATCGATTACCCCTGTTGTTGATAGTACTTCCAGACAGATTAAGACTGTTGTCGAATCTGGAAACACTGCTCAATCCGGACCTGCCAAAGACGGATCTAACTCAAAAACTGTAGTTTCGAGCTCATGGTCGAAGAAGTCTAGCTCATCGAGTAAGGGTTCTGGTCCAAAAGTAAAAATTGCTCTAGATTCTAACTCTGGAACTATTGTAAATGGTGCTCGGGATGTTATTGGAAATATCATAAAGGTCATTGGAGGTGCCAACACCCGCGAATCTAGTTCATCAACAACTACAACCACGACAACTTCTGAGGGATCTGGCTCATCGATTACCCCTGTTGTTGAAAGTACATCCAGACAGATTAAGACTGTTGTCGAATCTGGAAACACCGCTCAATCCGGACCTACCAAAGACGGATCTAATTCAAAAACTGTTTTGAGCTCATGGTCGAAGAAGTCTAGCTCGTCGAGTAAAGGTTCTGGTCCGAGAGTAAAGATTGCTCTAGATTCTAACTCTGGAAATATTGTAAATGGTGCTCGGGGCGTTATCGGAAATATCTTAAAGGTCATTGGAGGTGCCAACACCCGCGAATCCAGCTCATCAACAACTACAACCACGACAACTTCTGAGGGATCCGGCTCATCTATTACTCCTGTTGTTGAAGGTACTTCCAGACAGATTAAGACTGTCGTCGAATCTGGAAACACTGCTCAATCCGGACCTGCCAAAGACGGATCTAATTCAAAAACTGTTGTTTCGAGCTCATGGTCGAAGAAGTCTAGCTCGTCGAGTAAAGGTTCTGGTCCGAGAGTAAAGATTGCTCTAGATTCTAACTCTGGAACTATTGTAAATGGTGCTCGGGGCGTTATCGGAAATATCTTAAAGGTCATTGGAGGTGCCAACGCCCGCGAATCCAGCTCATCAACAACTACAACCGCGACAACTTCTGAGGGATCCGGCTCATCTATTACTCCTGTTGTTGAAGGTACTTCCAAACAGATTAAGACTGTTGTCGAATCTGGAAGCACTGCTCAATCCGGACCTGCCAAAGACGGATCTAATTCAAAAACTGTAGTTTCGAGCTCATGGTCGAAGAAGTCTAGCTCATCGAGTAAGGGTTCTGGTCCGAAATTACAGATTGCTCTAGATTCTAACTCTGGAACTATTGTAAATGGTGCTCGGGGCGTTATTGGAAATATCTTAAAGGTCATTGGAGGTGCCAACACCCGCGAATCCAGCTCATCAACAACTACAACCACGACAACTTCTGAGGGATCTGGTTCATCTATTACTCCTGTTGTTGAAGGTACTTCCAAACAGATTAAGACTGTTATCGAATCTGGAAACACTGCTCAATCCGGACCTGCCAAAGACGGATCTAATTCAAAAACTGTAGTTTCGAGCTCATGGTCGAAGAAGTCTAGCTCGTCGAGTAAGGGTTCTGGTCCGAGAGTACAGATTGCTCTAGATTCTAACTCTGGAACTATTGTAAAAGGTGATCGGGGCGTTATTGGAAATATCATAAAGGTCATTGGAGGTGCCAACACCCGCGAATCTAGCTCATCAACAACTACAACCACGACAACTTCTGAGGGATCTGGTTCATCTATTACTCCTGTTGTTGAAGGTACTTCCAGACAAATTAAGACTGTTGTCGAAACTGGAAACACTGCTCAATCCGGACCTGCCAAAGACGGATCTAACTCAAAAACTGTAGTTTCGAGCTCATGGTCGAAGAAGTCTAGCTCGTCGAGTAAGGGTTCTGGTCCGAAAGTAAAGATTGCTCTAGATTCTAACTCTGGAACTATTGTAAAAGGTGCTCGGGGCGTTATTGGAAATATCATAAAGGTCATTGGAGGTGCCAACACCCGCGAATCCAGCTCATCAACAACTACATCCACGACAACTTCTGAGGGATCTGGTTCATCTATTACTCCTGTTGTTGAAGGTACTTCCAAACAGATTAAGACTGTTATCGAATCTGGAAACACTGCTCAATCCGGACCTGCCAAAGACGGATCTAATTCAAAAACTGTTTTGAGCTCATGGTCGAAGAAGTCTAGCTCATCGAGTAAGGGTTCTGGTCCAAAAGTAAAGATTGCTCTAGATTCTAACTCTGGAACTATTGTAAATGGTGCTCGGGGCGTTATTGGAAATATCATAAAGGTCATTGGAGGTGCCAACACCCGCGAATCCAGCTCATCAACAACTACAACCACGACAACTTCTGAGGGATCTGGTTCATCTATTACTCCTGTTGTTGAAGGTACTTCCAGACAAATTAAGACTGTTGTCGAAACTGGAAACACTGCTCAATCTGCACCTGCCAAAGACGGAGCTAACTCAAAAACTGTAGTTTCGAGCTCATGGTCGAAGAAGTCTAGCTCGTCGAGTAAGGGTTCTGGTCCGAAAGTACAGATTGCTCTAGATTCTAACTCTGGAACTATTGTAAATGGTGATCGGGGCGTTATTGGAAATATCATAAAGGTCATTGGAGGTGCCAACACCCGCGAATCCAGCTCATCAACAACTACAACCACGACAACTTCTGAGGGATCTGGTTCATCTATTACTCCTGTTGTTGAAGGTACTTCCAGACAAATTAAGACTGTTGTCGAAACTGGAAACACCGCTCAATCTGCACCTGCCAAAGACGGATCTACTTCAAAAACAGTAATTTCGTCTACTAAGATTTCGGGTACGACAGGAAATGTTCTAGGTTCGGGCTCTGGAAATACCATTGAAGTTGGCATCGGCCGAAGCGATGTGAGTTTCAATTCCGACTCTTCCACTTTGACTAAGCATACGAGCACGTCACAAGATAATTCATATCAGCCAGGTGTTCTGGGCGTTATTGGAAAGATCGTAAAGAAAGGTCGAGAAACCATATCAGCATCCAATGAAGGAAAAATCGAGACTGGTAATTCGCAGATAAATGCTGGACACAGGCTTGGAATTAAATATACCACTGGCATGAATCAAAGAGGCACAGGAATCGGAACTGGTATTCTGGGCGGCATTGGAAATATGATGTTATCATCCCAAACTGGTAATTCGCAAATTAACCCTGGTCCCGGGCAAGGAATGGGATATTTAGCGGGCATGAAACAAGGAGGCATGGGCTACGGAACTGGGCATTATCCGTATATGTGGGGACCGTCTGGACCTTGGATGCAACATAACCCCGCATGGGGTTATTATCAACCTCAATGGGGTGCCGGAGTCTATCGTTAAATAACGCATGTATAATTGCTTATGTGGATGTATAAAATATTTGACAGCTCTGATTCTTAATTACTTAAAATAAACGTGTATGCAAATCAATATATTTACTACTGTTTTTCATTTAGATAGTGTAGCAGTCAAAACTAATTTATACTTGGCTTGTGATCACACCGATGATATCGATCGATATCGATTTTATATGTTAACTACATACAAGTTGCAGTTAAGTTACAGATGATTTGTTACAGTCTTAGTACTGCCACAATGAACATGTAAACTAAATCTAATAAATTGGGAAATCTGTGGAACATACTGAACGCATTTATAGAGTTCAAGTATTTATGTGAGTAGTATGTTTATTTTAACTTTTTAATAATAAGAAAGAAGCAAACAAGAAATCTCAATTTTCGCTCAACTGTTTCCCTGATTATTGTACGCATTCCTAATTGATAGAAAATATTTACTTAACTGTTTAGTTAATATGGAAATACAATGTCAAAATCAGAGTAGAAAAAACTCACCGTAACAATACCTTAAATGTAACCGTAAAAAAGCCAAAAATGCCATCACTAAGGGCAAATACCGTTTTTAATCAGATGTTCACCGTATGTCGCCTCAAGCTGGCCCATTGAAAATGCCTAAAAAATCCCAAAAAAAAAGAAGAAGAAAAAACTGCAAGAAGAAGCATAACGTGCGCATCTGACAAATTTGTTGGCTGCTGTAAATAAAAAATCGAAGTGACTTTTCTGGATTTACGTGTATAACAAATCAACAAAAAAAATCATAACTAATTCACGCAACTAATAAATACGTTTTTTGTTTTTGTTGATAAGGAACAGTGCAAATATATTACAACAACTAAGCAAACTAGACGTGTTTAATTAATCGTTTCTGCAACAGTGCAGAGACAAAGACGATTGCGAACAAACACCACACACACACACAAATATATACACACACACATACCAAACCCAAATGAAAATCACAAAATTTTCACCATTTAATCTGGCTATGTATTTGATTTCATAGCTGTATGCTTACAAAAAATAAATACTAAAACATAGACAAAATTCAAGGGGCATTCAACAGCAAAAACGAATTATTGAAGAATTGACTGCGTCAAACGGGGAATCTTTCTTTCCCACGCCCCATTCACCGCCCCCAACAAAGAACTCTGTTTAAAAGTGATACCATATACACAAACACACACACACGCACACCCATACACACACACACACATACGCAGCAGAAAAATCTAATTCTGAGCTGGCCACAAAAAACAACAGCAAGCAAAATTTTCCATTTAAGTCGTCGCATAACAACAGCAGCAGCAGATAGACAGGTGCATTTGGAGTCGTCTCTCATTTTGTTGTTAGCTAGGAGGCAGCGACCACAGCATGACAATCAAGCCAGTTAGTGCGCCCGCTGGCAAGCGTGTCGTCGATGCGGATGCCAGTGATGCCCATGCCGCTGGTCAGGTGGTCGCTATCGAGCAATCGGTTGTCAATCAAACCCATCGCAATGTCGTCATCGATGGGCACGGACAGGTACGTCAGACTGCATTTCATATGCATATATATATATATATATATATATATACACGTGATATATAATATATGTATTTGATTCCACACAGAGTCCACAACGGCGTGGTGAAGTCTACGATGAGCTAACGCGCACACATCGCTGCAGTCCACACAAAAGGTGAGTGTCGATTCTATGGAGTAAACACCTTGCAACCATCTGGCAATCAAGTAAATGCTGCAACTTATACAGATGTGCCTTAAAAACATAAGCATTATTACAGCATTATCATTTAAAATAATGCATTATAAGCAAATAATACTATAACTGTATTAACAGCTGTGCTGGTTTATTTATGCAATCTTGATTCGTGACAAATGCATTATAATTTTAGCTATAAAATAGTTAAAATTATATGTATATAATCATACCGAGATCTATATAAAATGCTAAGCTGATTTATTTATGCAATCTAGATTGTATTTTTATATTAATTGGTTATTCTCTCTATTTATTACAGCACTCGCTCGAAGCGTCGCGAACATCTCGAAAGCCATGCCCATCATCACAAACGCGATCGTTTAGAGCGCGAGAAACTCAACCTAAATCATCCGGCTGTTGTGGGTGGCAACGCTGCCGGCGTCACCAGCAAATGCAGCAGCAGTCCACACTCATCAGCGGTGGCAGCTGTCGCTGCTGCCACAGCCACAGGCAACAGCAGTCCGACCATCGCCGTGGGTCGCAAATCACCCGAGCATTTGGGTCTGGGCTGTGCCAACGTGCCCAAAACACAGCAGGCCCAATTATCGCCAGCCGCTGGGGGGAGTCAGCTTAAGGCCGACGAGGAGACATTCTCTGGCTATAATAGCGGCGATGAGCATTCCCAGCCCAAAGAGCGCACCATTTCAGTCGAGGAATGGCAGCGACGCGACGAGGAGTTCGCCAAGTGTATGGAGAAGCGCGGCTACGAACTGAAACCGGTCGAGGAGGATGGCGCATGCCTCTTTCGCTCCATATCGCTACAAATCTACGGGGATGAGGGCATGCACGATGTCACACGGCAGCACACCATGGATTATATTGTAATATCGCTAATTATTTATATAAATATGTGTTTATAGATAATTAATATGCCTGCTTACAGCATGAGAATCGCGAGTATTTTGGTCAGTTTGTAACTGAGGACATCAATGGCTACATCCAGCGTAAACGGGCACGCGATGCACATGGCAATCACATCGAGATCCAGGCCATTTCAGAGATATACAGTCGCCCCGTCGAAGTCTACTGTTATCAGTCGAGTGAGTCAATATAAATATAGATATATTTATAATAGTAATATAATATCAAAATCACAATTGTTAGAGTGAGCAAATCTCGTATAGATCTTATTTCATATATATATAGTTAATTCTGCTAGTGAACTGATTACTAATTCTGATTCTGATACGCTGGCAGCACCCATCAACATCTTCAATTCGGAGCAATCGCAAGCTGGTTATCCACCACTGCGTCTATCCTATCAGCGAGGCTCACACTACAATGCTATACTGGATCCGTACAATGCCACTGTCGGAGTCGGCTTGGGCTTGGCTGGTTACAAGCCCGAGATTCAGACCAAGGAGGCAGTGCGTCTCAGCGAACAGCTCGAAATTGAACAGGTGAGTTGAATGACAAGCCAAGTAGCCAGCACTTTTTTTTTAAATTAATACTTACTGCTTGCCAAACCAGACCATGTTCGAGGATAAGCTAAAGACTACAGACTGGGAAGCCACCAATGAGGCCATCGAGGAGCAAATCGCACGCGAATCCTATTTGCAATGGTGTCGTGATAATATGCAACGTTCGGGCAGCAACAACACAGCCGCCGGCTCGGCCACATCGTCGACAGTGACGTCGGCAGAGGCGCTTACCGATTCGGATGCCTCGCCCTCCAAATACTCAAGCGATGGAGGAGGTGGCGGCGGAGGTGGTGGCGGCATCGGCGGCAGTAGCAGTGTGACCGGCAGCAATACAAACGCCAAAAGTGCTGCAGCTACGCTTAGCAGCTCCTCCTCCAGCGTCGATGATGAGGGCCCAGCCACGGTTGGTTTTACGCTGTCACCGAAAACGCTTAGCCAGTTTACGCACAAGCTGCCGTCCGAGGTTAACGAACTGGGGGGCTACGATAGCGATGCCACGGACATGAGCAGCACCAGCTCTGTGGGCCACTGCGGTGGCAATTCCTCGCCCAACACAGCAGCAACAGCATCACAACGCTCTTCCTCCACCTCCTCCTCCAGTAAATTAAGCAAATCGCAGCGTCGCAGCAATGGGCTGCGCGGCAGCAAGAAACGTCGCCATGAGGCACGTGAGGCAGCCAATAATAGGTACAATAATAGTTATAAATACACAACTGGACAGTTAAATTGATGTGCAGACAATAACTTGGCTCCAAGCACTGTTTTTAGTTAATTTAATATGGAATTCTTTGCATTTTGTAGACAATTTAGATACATTGTATTTTGTATATGATATTTCCACTTTTTTAAAAGTGCACAATTTGTTTTCATTACATCTATTTTATTGTCCATGTGTGCAAATATCGTTATCTCATATATACTTGTATATTAAATGTATTCTGCTTGTAGTGTGGTGGAAGTGCTGGAGACGCCGCAGCGCAAGAGTCCCAAGCGTGACGCGGCGGCGGCACCAACAACACCGCCGCGTGCACACACCCCGGAAGCGGAACAGCGGCCATGCACCTCGAAGCAGTCATCGCAGTCGCCGCCAAAGCGTGTCGATGCTGCACAATCGCCGGCCAAACAGAGCTATTCCAGTTTCTATCAGGAGCTGCTCGAAGCCTCCTACGAGGGTCTGTAAATGCCGTACTTCTAAACACATATACATATACATATATATTACAATCGATTCCTTGCAGGCGTCAATGAGAGCGAGATGCTGCAGCGAGCCATCCAATTATCCACACGCGATTATATGGATGATCAGAAGCGAAAGTATTTGGGCGGACCGTAGAAATCGAAGGCAGCAGGCCCTGGTCTTCTTTTGTACAGTGATTAAATTTCTCTTTTCGCAACGAAAACAAAACAAAAACACAAAACTAACCAAAAAAAAACAGAAACAAAAACTCAAAAATACACACATTATGTGCGACTAATAACAAAACAGCAAACTGTTCAGTGAGCAAGTGTCTCCAGCAGTAGGCACACACTCAAACACACACACACATCTATACGTTTATATATATATATATATATATATATATATAGTACATGAACACATTTTGTTTTGATTTAAGCAGCTGTTCGTTAGCATTAAAAAAAACAAACTAGCAGATTTATGAGTTAATATTCAAGCAGCAAATTTTTGACGTAAGACTTGATGACTCATCATTATCTGCAAATCTCTGCGATGTAGCCATTACTCTCTATTCTCTACTCTTTACTCCACTATCTACTATACCCTCCACGTAGTAGAAGTACCTTTCCACAATTTCATACACTAACCTTAAACTTACGTGTATTTTTTAAATAACTTTACTTAAGCTGTACGCAGGCATGGCTCATTCAATTCAGTATATATATTAAGAACAGCACGTACATATGATAATAAAAACACATACATACATACATGCATACATATACATACACAAAAACCTGCATACATTTACATGAATATTTAAATATAATTGTATTGATTACTTGATTGAATATAATAAATGGTGCATAATAAAACATGATAAGTATTAATTCATAATATTCAAGAAAAACAACATCAAATTGTATACTGAAATTAAATATGATAAATAGCCAACCGATGAGGCCAACTGATGTGACAAAGGATAACAGCAGAAGCAGTTAACTTCAACGAAATTCATTGTCCTCGCTAGGCTTTTTCCTCTGTACACCTGTTTCATCTCGCAGCATGCAGTTATAGTCAAGGATCGGTATCAGTTTGGTTATATCCAGGAGGTGCATGCTGCCGACGCTGACTGCAATGTGTCAGCAACCACAGATGGAGGCAGGGCCAACAGAAGAAATGGCCACAAATGAAAATAATTATCCCAACAATATTGTATTTACAAATGTTTTAATCGGTGTTATCAAAAGTTTTTGTAGTACATTCATAATATCTAATTCGTACTTAGAACTAAATTTCATTTTTTATTTTTCTTTCATTCGGTATTTAGAGTACATAAATAGTTTGCTGCATTTACACCGTGTTTGTGTATATATATATATTTATATATATATATATACATCTGTACATAGATTCGATTTATACAAAAATACATTTCACTAAAATACGCGATTCGCGATATAAAATTATAGTAATATCTTTGCACATTTTGTCTTAAAGTACTTTGTGGCAAATCGGCCGATCAGAATATCACATCGGCGCACTGGGACCTTGATACTTGATACTTGATGGATTCAAATTGTGCAGGTATTTTGCTTAATATATTGTTTAGAAAGGGATCACTATTTCTTACAAAAAGTAGTTTTTAAATTATAAAATAGACAAATTAAAAAGTTGGCAGTTTTATGTCCCAAATTATATATACATCAAATAAGCGTTTTTTTAACAATACTATCACCTTTGTCTTCTGCACTAAAGCTTAAAATACAAATGAATTAAGAATATAGCATTATTGATTCGAACAAAGAATAAGTTAAACAAGATTATGGTCCCAGTTTTATAGCACTTTTACGATTAAGTTTGTGTCACGTATTGTTTCCTAGGAATTAATTGTACAGTGTTTGAAATATTTGCTATTGCATTGCCAAATATCGTCAACGATATTTGTTGCCATATATATATATGGTTATATATATATGTGTGTGTACATCCGATTTGTGTGAGTCAATTAAATTGCGTGGACCGAAAGTTGTATTTTTTTGGATTTTAATTTTAAGCAGCGGCAACAGTTGCTGCCACTTGCCTGTTTGTCAAAAAGTGTGGCAAGGAGTTTGCTTCTTGAATTTTGCTTTAACTGACTTTACAAAAATCATTTGGCTAATTTAACATTTGCTGTTGCTGCTGCTGACCAGTTGCTTGTTGCTGCTGTTGTTGCTGGCTGACGACAATGTGATGTTGCTGCTGCTGTTGCTGTTGCTGCTGTTGCTGCTGCTGCTGCTGCTGTTGTTGCTGTTGTTGCAGCTGCAACTGTTGCTGGTTGGCATGCTGGACGGCAGCGGCTGTTGCCGCTGTGACAACCGGTTGCAACATACTGGTGCCATTCTCGCGCCGCACATGACTATTCAGCTCGGCCTTGACCCGTCGCGCAATATGGGATCGGGTGTGTTTGCGCAGATGATCCTTGCGATAGAAACCCTTGCCGCACTCCTGGCACTGATGCCGCTTCTCGCCCGAATGGATGACAAAATGCAGACTCAGTTGCTCCTTGCGTTTGAAGGCCTTCAGACACACCGTACAAATGTAGGGCCTTTCCGGATTATGCGATTGCTTGTGGCGCGTCAAATGATCCTTACGCTTGAGCGATGCCTGACAAATGTCGCACACATAACGTCGCTCCAGGTTGTGCCCCACCAGATGCACCTCGAGCAGCTCCGGTTCGGGATATGCCACATGACATTCGGGACACATGTACAATGGACTCCCATCCAAAGCGGTGCTCATTCGTATCTCGCCCGGACGCAGTTTGGGCTTACGCTCTTTGGAGCGCTTTTTGCGCTTCTTCTTCTTGACGCCACTGACCGCTGTCGAACTGCTTGCCACTGCCGCCTCCGTTGCCAGTTGCAATGTTGCCTGTTGCTGCTGCTGCTGTTGCTGCTGTTGTTGCTGCTGTTGCTGCTGCTGCTGTTGTTGTTGTTGCTGTTGTTGTTGTTGCTGATGCAGCGACTGCTGCTCCTGCTGAGGTATGCTGATGGTTGTTGTTGTGCCAATCGTATTGATGCCAATGGCAGCACCTGGTCCCGTCTGCACCTGCAGCACCTGTTTAAGGAGTTTTTATTATTCGAATCATTTAATCACAAAAAATCGCCTGTTTTAGTAAATCGCCATTCGATGGTTAATCATCCTATTATTCAGCAAGTATACATTGGAATTGTTGTATTATCATTTTAGTTACTCTTATTATTATTATTAAGCAATATATTTAATACATAAAAGCCGAGACAAACTTTCTCTATTTCGGAATTCACATTTTGTAAATATATTTAAATTAATTTAAAAAATATAGAAAGTTTTTCTATTTAGGGCGATTTACCAAAAATTTAGCTAGATTTCTTTGTGAATATTATTTACAAGTCGTACCACATTCTGCTGTTGGTTCTCCTTCTTGATGTTCTCCGCGGAGTACTTGAGGAAGTGGTGCAGCGATAGTGGCAACGTATTGGCCGGAAGATGCGAGAGGTAATCGGCAACTGTGGTGCCGGGCGTGATCGTCTGCCAGGAGGTATTTTGTAGCACTGTGGCAAGGAAGGGAGGGAGATCATTAAGTGGCTTAAATGGGGAACTGTTTGTCCAAACTCACCTTGTTGTTGTAATATGGCATTGCATAGATCCTGTGTCAGTTCCTGTGGCGCCACCACTTGTTGCTGTTGCAGCTGCTGCTGCTGCTGCTGTTGCTGCTGACCAGAGCCACTCGCCTGCAACGCATCCACGGCGCTTGTCGTTGCACTTGCCGTATAAACAGTTGCATATTGCGGTTGCTGCTGCTGCTGTTGCTGTTGCTGCTGTGTGGCTGTTGCAACCAAATGCCCATTGTATTTATCGCCTTGCAATGCCTCCTCCTGCCCGCTACGAAACTTGTTGCCAGCGGCGCCACTGCTGCTCGCTTGACTGAAGTGCGTCAATGACGTCACCTGCTGCTGCTGTTGTTGCTGCTGCTGCTGTTGATGTTGCTGGTAGCGATTGCTGCTGCTGGCAGTCTCCTGTTGCTGCTGCTGCTGCTGTTGCTGTTGATTGTTGGCCGCAGTCACATCGGCATCGCCGACGGCGACAGCAGCAGTCGAGACCGTCGACACCAGTGGCGACGTTGTCGTCGTAAACTGCGGCAACCCCGGAAAAGTGTTGCCAAACGGTGTAAAATTCATTGTGCGTTCGTTGTGCGGCTCCTCCTCAAGGAATGCGGGTGGAACGGAAGATTAGTTGTGCGGCGTTTACGTCGGAGCGACTGAAAGTTGAACAGGTCACCGATTATTTTATATGGCAAATTATTTAAACTTCTAATTGTTAGGTGAAAATATTCAATTTAATATATATTCTGGGAAATCATAAATTCATTTTGAAATATTTAATTTCTTAAACTCTGTTTAAACTTAAAGCTTGCTAATTAATACCATAGCAGACAGTTAAGATAAATCTATTTGGATTCTATACCTTAAAATTCTTATGCGAATTCTTATCAAATTTGAATTTTGCTTTAGCTAACTACTCCTAAATTTGGAGATTTATGAACGAATTAATAATAATACTAATAAAATTATTGTAAAAATAATAATAATAGTGCAAAAAATTATAATTATAATTATAATAATAATTTTAATAACAGCGAATTTTAATAACTTCAAATAAATTTGAACATGATCAACTCGTCTTTCAGGAATATTTAGCAATTTGCAGACTAGTAAAATTATATGATAAATAAATACTAAAATGTATAAAATATTGTTAGAAAGGTATGCAATTTGTGGGGCAACCTGTGTCGTAAGGTTAAATCAAAAAGAGATATTTCGAATAGACCTTAAATTTTTACAGTTACTTGTGAATGAAAAGTGAAAACGCAGCCGCTGTTATTATTTTGACTGCTCAAACGCGCACTCACAATCCTACTCACACACACATACCCACCCACACACACACAAACACTCAAATGCATAGACTGCTAGTACATACATACACATATACACACACATACATATTTGCCGGCAGCGTGAGCAGCTATAAAAAGAGCGGCAAACCTGCGCGCAATACGAAAAAGGCACGAGCACAAAACTACCGAGCACAGTGGTACTAATTCCATTGCACAAACTGCATGCATTGCTCGAATTAAATTCATACGAAATAAGAAATCATCGCCAATATTATTCACAAAATGTATATATTGATTTTATTTGCATTTATTTACAATTCGTATTTTATTACGCCAAAAATTAATTTCTAACAATATTTATTTTTCGGCAACTTGAACCGCTGTGCAACTGCCCGCTTTCAGTATGTCGGCACATTGTGATTAGGTTAGGGTTGTCCTGCCAGCATGCATGTGTGTGTTTGTGTCTATGTGTGTGCTTTGCTTGTGCGCTATTTTATAACAATATTTCAACGAAATTGCTGTACAATTCGTCACAAAATCAAAAACATTTGATTTATGCACACGTCTAAAACAACAATGAGCTAATAAAAACGGTGCAAAAGTGTCGCGTTAATGGCAAATTTTTAGCCATATCGATTTTCACTAAGTACGCAAATTAGTGTCGCTTTTAATTGAGAGAGCAACACAAGCGCACACAAACACAAACACATAAGTACACATGCCCGCCCACACAGACACACACACAGAGACAAGCACCGCAGTTTTGGACAAGTGTCGTAAAACAATAAGAATCGGGCACATCTTTATTAAATGTGACAAAAATTGGACTTTCACTCGGGTAACCCACGGACTTTTATTTGATTTTCATTTTGTTTTTTTTTTTGTTTTTTTTTTTTGGCTTTCGGTTGAGCTCGTGACACAATAAATCAAACTCCGGAGACAAAGGCAAAGAAATGCCGCTGCCGACGTTGACGTCGACGTTGTCGCCGCAGCCGATCGGCTGGACAGCAATGTGAAAGTGCAACTGTATTTTGGCATACGCTTTTTCCTTTCTTTAGTGCTACGTGTTTGCACACACTCTCACACACACACACGCACACAGACACTGCAGCGTCAGTGAGTCAGAAGAGACGAGCTGAATGCGATTCCCGCGCGGCGGCATTTATAAAAAAAAAAACAAAGAAGAAGAAAAACACAAATGCTTGTATTTGTTCGCCCTGGCTAGGCTGGGGAGTAAGAATGGGAGTGTGTGCCCAACTGCCGATTACCGTTGCACTGCATGCGCTGACGTCGCTGCGACTGCAGACTGCAACTGCAGACTGCGACTGCGACAGCCCCACACCAGACCAGTGCGGAATGTGAAGCGCGTCTATGTCTGTGTCCGTGTCGGCTGCCGCATTCACGACAGGGCCACCTAACGGCGTGTGGCGTAAGTTTGCTACTGACCCGCCGTCATCTCGCTTTTACACTCCCAACTTCTCTCCTTTTTCGGCACGAGACAAAAGCACGAGTCGGGCTGCCGGCATTGTTACACATGTGTTCGTGTGTCTGTGTGTGTCTGCTAGGGACGAGAGAGAGCACAGGACTGAGACAGAAAGCTCGTTCGTTTTTTTTTCTGTTCGCTCTCTCTCTCTCTCGCTCAATATTGAAAGTATTTAGCAAAATTAACGGTTTTTGTTTATTTGTTTGGTGAGTAAACATAGCATTTCTGTTGTTGTTGTTGTAGTTAATTTTTGTAGACACGCAATCAGTAAAAATGAATAAAAATTAGTAAAAAGTGAAATAAATAGGAAAATATTGATATATTAAAAGTTAAGGTCTTTTCAAAGCAGACAGTTAAATCTCATATGTGTGTGTGAATTTGCACATGCATGCACATATGTGTGTGAAGATAAATGCTATTCACATTCAATTATTACAGTATTAGCATATAAAAAAGTTTGTCAAGTGGATTAGCCTCACAAGTTGTTCAATTAATTATTTTTTGTTTACACTCAGTTCGCTTGTAACTCTGACTCTTAATGTTGTTTGGCTCCGTCGATCGTGTGATTTATTGTTTGAACTTTCCGCGCGAACTTCTGACTCTTAATTCTTATTGGTCGCTGGCTGTCGAGATCTTGTGATCTATGTGACTCAAATCAAGTTGATTACATCTTATACTATTTTATTTGTACATACATATTTGTGATTAATTAATTATCAAGTTTATATAAAGTCATTCCTCTGTATATTATGAGAATAATTTCTTTAATTAATTACTATTTTTCTTTTATTTATTTTTATTTTCGTTAATTTTTTCACTTTCATCCTAAGTCAAATCGGTTCATCTATGTAGACAGTTTGTTGATCTGTTCTTGTTTTCAGCTCTAATAATTTATTGTCTAGTTGATGAACTTAAAAATTGTTTCGCTTGCTTAACTAATTCTGTTTTGCATAATATTTATTCAGCTTTCACCTTTGATATCTTATTTACCATATTTTCATTCCGCAAAAAACTTAACAATTGGTTAATGTTAGATAAAGAATCGGTGCACAAATTCTAAGTCGTAGTTCCTTAAATAACCTTGATTCAAATATCAAATATCTTCAATCAATGAAATATATTAATATACCTTACATCTACTCTATGTATGTATGTATTAAATTTTTATATCGAAACATTAAAGTTTATTTTCAATTTAATTTAATGAATTTCTTACTTTTTGTAGTTTTCGTAGTCAACTAAGCCTAGTTGACATGAAATAAACAAATAAAAAAGTTAATTGAGCTCGCACTACATATTCGAGGCTCTTGAGTTGGTCTCTTAAGATTTGGGTCATTCGAGTTCAGTCTGGGTCAGTCTGGGTCATTCTGGGTATGCAGCTATCAGTTAATCAACCACCGAAAATCGCCTGCAATTAGCCAGCCAAACAAATCACGGGTTCACTGGCCACACACACACGAGAATGAGGATGAAAGTCAAGCAGAAGGAGGCATGAGGCAGAAGGCACAAGGTAGCAGGAGCAGGGGTCGAGGTGCAAGTGCAGGTGCAGGTGCAGTTGTATGGTGCAGAGTGCCGCAACATTGGTGGCAACACAACAACAAAGATGCTGAACTGACACTGAAATTTATTGGCATGCAAGGCCAATCGACGAAATCAGGCCACGCACACGAATCATCATCATCCAGCCAAGGGGCAAGGCATAAAGGCTATAAGGCCAGCAAACACCCAACCCAGCACTCAAGTTGAGGTAAATGCACTTGCAACAATTGGAGTGGGTTGCAAAATTGCAATCGGCATTTGGAGTAAGAACCGAGCGCACGACTCTTGACAAGACTAGGAGAGGAACTGCAACTCTCCCGCATGTGTCAGTGTGTGTGTGTGTTGTGTCTGTGTATGTTGGGGGTGCATATTGCGTCATCATCGTCGACGTCGTCGTCGTCGTCGTCGTCGTGAATAGCGAACAAGTCGCGTCCGTGGCGCGTTTCTGGCCAACAAACTGGCAATGCGAATGTGTTACAAGTGGATGACGCTTGCAACCAGCAGCAGCGGCAGTGGCAGTGGCAGAGGCAACACCAGTGTCAAGTGGGTGCCCATTGCCAATGGTGTTGGCCTGGCCGACTGTTTGGCAAGACGAAATGAGGCTGAGTGCAAGTTCTCGCGCCCATTGCGTTTGTTGTTTATCATCCCGATTCTCTCTCTCTCACTCTCTCTCTCGCTGTCTCTCTCTCTCTCTCTCTCTCTCTCTCTCTCTGTCTCTCTGTCTCTGTCTATTTGCGGGCATGAAAGTGAAACTCCGCCACACGGCACACGGCTTTTGCTGTTGCTGTTGTCGTTCCCTTTGCCGTTGTCGTGACTGGTGACTGTGGCCATGACCCACGTCTGCAGAATGCACTCCGGCATACTCAAACACACACACACACACACACAACACACACATCGCACAAATCGCACACATCGAGGTTTGATAACAACCGGAAACGCGGTCATAATACACACACAACACACGCACAAATTGGCGGGCGTATGCGTAATTTGTTGGCCATAAATTGCTATGATTATGAGTGTATTCCATTCACACTTCGACTATTCATACTCATGCTCATTTTAATATGAGTACGTTCCATTCTTGGGCTATTCCTACTCATACTCATTTTAATATGAGTTTAATCCATTCACACTTGGACTATTCCTACTCATACTCATTTTAATATGAGTTTATTCCATTCACACTTGGACTATTCATACTCACACTCATAAGACTTTATTAATATTACTATACTGTGCTTAATTCCTTTAGTTTAACATCGATTATGAAAATGATCTTAAATTTGAAAATCTGTTTTCTTTTCTTTCCTTCTCGATAAGATAGAAGTAGAAGACATGAACAGAAACTGACAAGGCACCCTTCGTGACCGTAATAAAACCTTCCCCGATAAGAGTTCTCAGAAGCATATGTAGTGATAAGATAATGAATCTAGCTGCAGCTGCAATTGTGTACCTAGATAAGATAGGATGTCCTAAGTAGGAAAAGAATAATTGTAGATTCCCTATTATTATTTATCTTGTGTTTCATTCAATTTCCTAAATTTCTTTCAATACATTTCGTATAAACATAAATAAAATGTATATTTTCTCAGATTCTAATAAATTATATTTATTTTATTTCATAATTCTTAATAAATGAAAATTGTAAACTCAATTTAAAATTAAAGTTACAAATTAAATTATTTATAATTAAAGGAGATAAGGAAAAAAATAAATAAAATAAGAGATATATTGTATAAGGATTGGGACAATCCAAAAAAATTCACATCAGACAACAAGTAAGCATTAGTAAGGAAAGTAAAAAACGTTAAAAGCAGAACAAGAGAGAGATAAAAAGTGAGGTATAAAATACAGGAAAGATAGAACGAAAATGTAATTCAATTAAAACAGATTTCCATCGAGAATGGGTAAAATAAAGCATTTAAATGAATATAAAAAAAAAAAAACATTTTAAAATTCTACTCATCAACTTACTTGTTTCTAATGATTAGTGATGAGAATGAGTGGACAAGATCTGATTTCCATTTGATTTCACGCTTAAAACTGTTGACTGTTGAAGTTAGAGACGTGAAAGTAAAAACGCAACGCAGACGCAACGGAACAAAGCTGCAACCAACCGAGTTGCGAATTGACGTAGTGTCGATGTTGACGCTATAACGTAAACTGATTTAAAGTGCGTCCGTTTGATGGTCAGCAGCCGGCCGGCGTATAATGGGCCGATGACCGGGCGCCTAAAATCTGTGTAGAGTTTGGTGACGATGATGACGACGAGGGAGTTTGGAGATGTAGCCGGTTGCCATACAGTTGCCCAAATATGTGTTTGCCCAAGTCAAACTCTTTAAAATGTCGATGCCAACACACACACACACACGTACGTAAAGAGAGACTCTCACACACACACACATATACACATACCCCGTTGACAGGCACGCACTGTGCTGGAAAGTTGGGACTCCTCGCTTTCGCTTTTGTGTTTGTTGTCTCGTTTGCTTAGTGCTCGTTTCATCTACTCTCTTTGTGGGCGCTTGCTCTCTCTCCCTCTCTCTCTCGCTCTATCTATCGCTCTGTGTGTTAGTCTGTCCCTGTCTATTACACAGACTTTCCGCTCGCTGGACAATTTACAGTCGCGCGCTCGCCGGCAATGCAACAGTTTTTTTCACAATAGATTTTTATTAGCTATTTGTGTTGTGTGTGTGTGTGTGTATGTGTATCCAAAGCAAAACTCATTAAGACAATTGCATACGTATGTGTGTGTGTATGTGTATGTATGTGTATGTTTGCATTTTATGTACATATTCATTGGGATGAGCATATTGAAACATGGCACCAAACATTTAGTAAATAGTACGGAGAGGGAGATGTGGGATGGGGGTGGGGGCGATGAGTTTGTGGTTATATACACATATGTATATATATATATATATATACATATGTATATTGTGGTTGCATATAGACCCAAAACATATGTACAATTACACGCTTGCTTGTTATTCAATTCACATTTTAATTGGCAAAGAAAATAATTGCAGATTTGCCTAGGTATATACGTTTTTTAAGCTTTTAAGTAGATTTACTCAACTTTCGGCTTAAAACTTTATTTTTAAGCAAACTATTGCATACTTTTTGGGGAAACAACTATTTTCAAAACGCAGACGTCTTTGCCCTGTTTTTTGTTGAGTTTTATTGCTCTTCAATTCTTCTCTTCCCTCTTTGACACGTTCTAATTGCATTTTCTTTTTTGCTAGAACTTCTTCTTTGCAGCTGAAGTTGAAATTCCGTTTTGAATATTTTCTTTTTTCTATTTTCCATTCACTTTTATTGCTTTCTAATTTTGCTACACATATAACTTTTTTTTTCATTCCTTTTCTATTTGTATACTGAGCCTCATCTGTGCTTCATTTTTTTTTAGTCTCTTCTTTACCTATTATGGGCACATAACCTCAATCTTGTAATTTAAGTTCACAATTCACAGCACATAACTATTGTGAACAAAGCTAACAGAACTTTAACAGTTATCTTCTTAAAGAGCATTTCCGTGCAGCACTCCTTTGAAATAGTTTTGTGTGCCAAGTGCAACGGTAAATGCGAAAATGGACCAACTACAACAAAGCGGGGCAGCAAAAATTGCAGCTGGCGTTGGCACATAATCTAAACAAGCCCAAGCCAGAGAATATTCCCCCCTCCCTCCCCCACACACCTTTTAGCCGGGGCCAAGGTCAGAACGAAACGAACGAGTCGAAAAAAAATGGGAAAAAACGCCCACAAGCTGCTCTTCTATTGCAACACACAAAAATTGTTGGCCAACGAAAACTAACCGAAAAACTAAAAGTGACTCTCGACTGGAGCAGACAGCAGTGGCATGAGCAGAGGAACGGGAGTAGGGGGAGTTGCATGCAGTTAGTCTGCGCCGAAAATTCATTCATAAAATTCTAAAACGCGCTAAAATCTAAAATTCTAAACAAACAGGCACACAACATGGGACAACCACACACACACACACACACCTACTCACACACATGAATAGCGAGCGTAGATGTGTAAAAGTGTGTGTGTGTATTGGTGTTTTTTGGAGTGTGTTTGTTGGAAACGCGTAAAAGCGCCGCAGTAGTAATAAATAATAATAAGAAAATGAAAAAGAACTATGTTACTTGTTACTTTTGGTGTGCCACATGGTGCATGCAACAACTATGCAACTGCTAAAAAGCGTATGTTTTGCGCACAACTGTACTTGCTGCAAAAACGTTATGATTATTTTTAGCTGGCAAATCAAATTAAGAAGTGTCGGCAACAAAAACACAAAAAAAATATATATATATATATATATTTAAAATGTGTATGCAAAAATAATGCTATCAATCGCCCTCTCTCGCTCGCACTCGCACACGCCTACTTAAATACATAAGCTTTTGTGTGAAAAAAATACATTTCTATATTCTACACATACACAAGTATTTATGTATGTGTATGTGTTTGTGCATATGTTAAAGCTAAGGCCTAGGCAACAACAACAACAAGAATAACAGCAAATCTCTCTTTTGCTGTGTGAGAGAGAGCGAGAGAGAGCACAAAATGCAGCTATGCGTTTTTCTGCATGCCTGTCTCTATATGTATGTGTGTATGTGTGTATGCGTGTGTGCACTAGCAAATTGCAACAAACTCTACACAAAAAGGCGGCTGGCCAAAAACAAAATGCAATCAAATGGCAAAAATTTTGCCAGACTGCTGCAATGCAACTAAAAACAAAATGTGTGCTGCAACGGCTGCATGCAGCATACACAATCACACACACACACACACACGCACAGCCCTCCCCCTACTCCACCTCTGGCTTGAATAAGCCAGACAGTTGCAGCAGTAGCAAAAACATTTTGCAGCATTTTAGTTGCATATTCTATACATATATTCATATATATATATATATATATATATATATATATATATATATATATGTATATTTATTTGTATGTGTGTATGTGTAAAACAAAATGTCAGCACATGCTTCTTAGAGGTTTGAGTATAAATGTCCTGCGTGTATCATATATATATATGAATAATCCATGTATATATAGAAATTGCATCCCTTGGCTGCAACTGAATAAAATGTGCATAAAATAAATTTCATTTCATTTAAAATAAATAAAATCTGCTCTCATCCAACAAAACAATGACTTCTACTAAATGCAGACAATATAACAATAGAGGGGAATCATGGCAGAGGGGGGTGGATGGGGCTGAGGGCTGGGGCAACTTCAGTTTATTCCATTTGCATGCATTTTAATTGATAGCTGAGCTGCTTTTGTTTTAGTTGGCAGGCGTTGCCTGCTTGAGTGCAGGTAATTTATATATCTCACAAAATATCGTCAATTTCAATGGCTCAAGATGCCACTCAAGCTGTCTCAAGTTGCATGCAACAACTTTATTTTATGCTTGCAGGCATAAATCAAAATCTTTCTATTGCAAAATACAAAATATGCTTAAAGGTTGGCAACCATGCGAAAGCTTAAAGCTGGCAGCAGCGATCTCTTAGTGTTGCCAGACTATCTGCTAGAAATTCGATCAGTATGAAAGAATGCGATAGAGAGAGAAAGAGTCGTGGAGAGTTCAATAGTTCACTGTTGTGGTACAAATAATTATTAAGCAGTCAACCTCAGGCCTTAATACAAATAACTTTGATACTTTAAAATACTAACCAACTATAATTAAGGAACACAAGCTAGAGTCCGAGTATATATAATAGATAAAGATATTTATCAATTAAATTATATTATAGCTTGAGTTCCTTAAGAAAGTAGTTATTCAAGCCCTGGAATGTAGGCAACGGATATTACCAACAAAAAAACAGGGCTCAGAAGCGATTACGATGAAGATTGAGAATAATGTGTCAGTTTTGATTAGATACAATTTTTATTTACATGCAAAAAATATTCACAAAAATACATTAATTCGTTAGCAGTTAGCAAAAAGTTGTATTAATCTTGCCCGACAGTAAAAACATTTACATTGAATTTTCAAAATATTTCTTATTTTGTGAATATACAAATTTAATATTAAATTTTTCAATTTCTTACGTTTTGTTTTTTTTATGTCTACTGACTTTTGTTGACATTAAATAAATAAGTAAGTAAATAAATAAAAAAAGAAATAAATAAATAAATGAACAAATAATAAAATTATTAAGAAAACCACAAATAAAAAGTTAGATCTTCAGCCTTCAAGTAAACCAAAAATTTATTAGTACAAAGCAGCTTGCATAAATATAAGCCAAGTTATTGCTAAAAATAAGTAAAGAATAGTCAGCACAATAATAAAAGCCAAAAACTTGTTTGCAACAAATAAATGTCTTACAAATTAGTATATATTATATGCACAAATAGGTCTTTAAGCATCGAAAGCTGCTTAACGTGAACTAAACAAAACGTGTTGTGGCAGCAACAAACGAACTGCTGCATGCCACAGCCGCAGCTGGGCCATAAAATATGGCATAATCAGGGAAGAGAGCATCAAATTGCCGTTTTCATAATCAGGCTCGCAAGAAAGACAGTTAAACTGACAGAGAGACCGAGACAGAGAGAGAGGGAGAGACAAAGAGTGGTGCGAGGTGGGGGGAACAAACATTAACCAAAAACCGTTGGCTAAAAGAGGAGTAACGTCCTCGACCTAGTTCAATGTCAATGTCATTGTGCCACATTATCGTGGCGACGTCAACGGCAACGGCGACGGCGACGTCGTCCTTTTGGCCAGGCTTGGCCTTGGCTGGAGTTGGAAACGAGCGCACGAGTCGAGGCCACGGCCACGGCCACGAACATTGTGGCCAAAGTGGCACAACACACGGCACACCGGGGGCACCCTGGACTCTGACTCTGACTCAGGCCAGGAGCACCACCAAACACCCCCCACATGCCACAAAAACACCCACAAACAGGCTCAATCAGAGTCAGCGACGATGCTGCAGTGATGCTGGCGTTGCATGTCAGGCTTTGGTTTGGTGGCGACAATATCCTTGCACTTGTGCGAGTCCTGCGCCTGCCTGGTGGGAGGGGGGCCACTGCACAGCAACCTTGCAACCAATCCGCCAACAGCAGCAGCAGCAGCACCAACAAACTCAACTCGTTGCCTCCTTTTCCGCCCATGTGGTTGTTTTGTCAGTGCCTGGTGCAAGGGCCACATTCCCCCTGGCCCCACACACATACACGTTGCACTCGTTTGCTGCAATTGTGGCATGCAGAAGGACACCCAACGCCAGACCTGAAAATCAACGCCTAAAGCGAACCCAAAACTCAAACCAATTTTATTTCAACTCCAATTCTCCGACTCTCTCTCTCTTTCAGACAGCATCGGCCGGCAAAGTCTCCAAAGCGGCGCCAGACAAATGGGTTTGGTTGCTTTGCGCTTCGTTTCGTTTCGTTCTCTCCATAAAATACGCTCTCAACATGGTTATAGTATGTGTGCATGTGTGCATGTGTTTGTATGTGTGTGCATTTTGGGGGCTCTCTATGCGTAGTTTTGCCGTTTGAAATGAAAGCATGTCGACAAGGGCAACGTGCAAATATTTTGGGATAGGGTGGCTCACTGTTTGAAATGCACAATTTAAGGCTAGAAAGTCAGGAATGTTATTATGAAGTGGTAAATTATATTAATGCAAAGAAAATAATGCCAAAAATCACCTGCGACTGGTTTAGTTAACATTAAATAAATAAAAGATTAGTTATATTAAAAATTTGACTAATGTGTACTTAATTATTTAATTAAATGAATTAATTATAGTTTAGATTAATTGTGTCATCTATAAAGCTAATTTTATTATTAAAATCCATTAGTGTGTATTTAAATCTTTAATCAAATGCATTTAAATAAATAATGTGGAAAAAGTCGAAAATAGCTTAGATTAAATTCAAAGAATTTATTTGATCTGCTTATAGTAAAACTTATTTATATATAGCAATAAATATTTTTAACATGTAAGCTCAATAAATATTTATTTTCCAGTTTACAGCACGTTTGACGCGTGCTACATAGAAACCCACAAGAAAGGCCAAAAGGTGTTGTGAAGCAACAAGCAACAGTTGTTTACAGCACTTGTTATTTTATTGACCATTGCAGAGCCCGATTAACAGACTGGGCGAGTGAGCGAGAGAGAGAGAGACAGAGACTGTGTGCTCTCGAAATGGGTTAAGAATCATAGTAGGCAAGAGACGCAGTCAAAACACAAGACAAACAGCGAACAAGTCGCATTCCTGCGCCGACTGCGCAGTCATACCATGAACAGCAGCAGCAGCAGCAACAGGCAGCTGCGCAGACGCTTTGACTACGTGTTGAGTCAGTGCGCGTCGAGATCTTCAGCGAGCGAGTCGGCGAATTTGGTGAGAGAAAGAAAAGCAAAGCCAAGGTAGAATAAAAACAACTTTAAAAATATGCGCGTATATTTTTAGTGCTCCCGCCCCCTCTCGCTCGTTCTCTTCCTCTGTGCGCTTGTGTATTGAACTTTCTTCCGCTGCGGGGCGCTTTTTCATGTAAATTGTGCTGGGTTATTTGTGGACAGAGGCAGACGAAGACAACAACAACAAGTGGCTGCGCAGTCAGCGTAGGAAAGTGCAAAAACCAACAAGTTGCTTGGCAGACGTGGCAAAAAAACAACAAATACACACAAACAAGTGTGAATTTAATTAAAAATTGTTTGTTTTTAATATATATGTACATATACACATATTCATATGCAAAAGTGAAAGTGCCAACAAATAATTAAAACAATAAGAAAGCAGAAAATAATAATAATTCTCACGCTGCAACAAAAGTGGCAACAATTGTTGTTTACATCATGTCAATCGTACAGCGACGCAAGGCGACACGCTCTAAGTCGAAACAGCAGCAACAACAGAATGTTATCGAACATCAAAATGAGCAAAACGAAAGACTTCACTTTCGCAGCCGTTCAGCAACCTCAGTCGCAGCAGCAACAACAACAGAAGCAATCACAGCAGCGTCAGCATCCGTCAATTGCAATTCACCTTCACCATTGTGCTGTAATGGCATGCTGCCCACCGCAGCAGCGAACATGCTCAACTGTTGTTGCCGAGACTTCAACTGCCATTTGAATACATCGCTAGGACTGCAGCTGCGCGGCAGCGTTGAAAGCCATCGACGCTCCGAGAGTCGCCAATCGTTTCTAACCGAGTCGTCAAAGGCGTCGCAGTCAGCAGCAACACCTACCTCTGCGTCGCAAAAATCCCGTTCACGTTCGCGTTCATGTTCTTGTGACGACGACGACGACTGCGGCGATTCGGCGGCCAATGTTGTTGATCGTCTGAAGAGTCAGAGTGGAGACATTGAAAGCAACGCTGCGACAGCCACGCAATTAACCGTTAGCCTGCATATCGATCTCATCAGTTGGGCTCTCTTTCTGCTGGCGTTTCTCACGCGTTTCTACAAGTTGGCAACGCCGCCAAATGTGGTGTGAGTAAAGTTAACATTATGCGATGTCTGTTTTGAGTTTCTATTCATTTTGCTCAACTATCAACTTTTTCACAGTTTTGATGAACTGCACTACGGAAAATATATATCGCATTATATGCGCAACATATTCTTCTTCGATCAGCATCCGCCGCTGGGCAAACAATTGATTGCTGGTCTGGTCAGTTTTGCCGGCTACGATGGCAATTATACGTTTTCACGCATTGGCGCCACCTATGCACCAAATGTGCCCATTTTCTGGCTACGTTTTCTGCCCGCCCTCTGCGGCAGTCTGCTCGCACCGGCGGTTTACAAGCTACTGCTGCAGGCGCAGCTGCGTCGCTGGGCTGCTTCGCTGGGCGGCCTACTCATCGTACTCGACAATGCGTTGCTGACGCAATCGCGTTTCGTCCTAATGGAATCGATGCTGTTGCTCGCAAGCACCGTTGGAATTGCCTGCCTGCTGCGCTTCCAGCGCTGCTCACTTGGCTCGCTCAACTGGCTGTGCAGCGGTGCGTCGGCTGCGCTGTTTCTAGCTTGCGCCGGCTGCGTTAAATATGTTGGCTTCCTGGCGCTGGCACTCGCCGGCTATCTGCTGTGCCGTCATCTCTGGAATCTGCTCTACGATGCCACATTGACAAGTGAGTTGGACTGATTGAGATAGGATCTAACAGGCGTGAAGAGTGAACTGTAGAGTGGAAGGCAACACAACTTGTAATGAGTAACATATTTAACAGCATGAGTTTGTAGAGATTTATATGGAAAAGAGCTTGTTGTAGAAAAGAAACTTATTGTAACTTGTTATGGAGATATTTAACAGAACGATCTTGTAGACATTTGTAGAATACTTACATAAGAGAAAGAGCCAACATATCTTTGGAGAGTTTAAAAAGCTTAGAATAATTTCTTTTAGAGGGGTTTAAGACAGTCTAATATTATAAATCTAAATTTAGATTTCCTCAATATATTTAAATTGGAAACAATTGTAACTGAAACTGTTTGTTGTAGAGATGTGTAGAGAAGTTGGTTAACAGAAATTGCTAACATCTCTTTGGAGAGTTTTTAAATTGTAGTCTTCAAATTGAACCTTTTGCCCAACAAATCTAGATTTTCAATATTTATTTAAATGGTAAATCTCGCTAATTATCGCTATCTCTGTCTCTCCACAGCTAGACAGCTTTGGTTGCACGCATTGAGTCGGTTGCTGCTTTTTGTGGGCATTCCAGTGGCCGTCTACTTGGGCGTCTTCTATGTGCACCTAAGGACACTCCATCGAGCCGGGCCGCACGACAGCATAATGACGAGTGCCTTTCAGGCGTCGCTCGAGGGGGGATTGGCATCGATTACGCAGGGTCAGCCGTTGGCTGTGGTGCACGGTTCACAGATCACGTTGCGGCACACACATGGACGCACCTGTTGGCTGCACTCGCATGCCGCCGTTTATCCGGTGCGCTACAAGGATCAGCGGGGCTCGTCGCATCAGCAGCAGGTCACCTGCTACTCCTTCAAGGATGTGAACAACTGGTGGATTGTCAAACGGCCGGACCGTGATGATCTTGTCGTCGGTGATCAGCCCGATGTCATCGGGCATGGCGATGTCATTCAACTGGTGCACGGCATCACGAGTCGAGCACTGAACTCACACGATGTTGCCGCACCGATGACGCCGCAATGCCAGGAGATTAGCTGCTACATTGACTACGAGATCAAGATGGCCGGTGAGCTGCTCTGGCGTGTGGAGATCCTTAACAGGCAGACCGAAGGCGATCGCTGGCATGCCATCAAGTCGGAAATACGCTTGATCCATGAGTCCACAGGTGCTGCTCTAAGGTTTAGTGGTCGGCAGTTGCCTTCGTGGGGCTTCAATCAACACGAGGTGGTCGGCGATCGGGACCAGGTGCATCAGGATGCCATCTGGAATGTGGAGGAGCATCGCTACACCAAGAGTAAGTGCCCAAAAATTATAATATAAAATAATTAGTTTCTCAATTTTTTCAAGTGCTGATTTTTAATAAATTGTTTAGTATTTGCCGTATTTAAATTAAAGTTTGTACTGCTAGTTTAGTTTATAATTTATATTTATACCAATTTATATTAATAATTGGAATATTTGCAGCACAAGATCAGAGGGAACGTGAACGTCAACTGCTATCAGCGGAAATGATACCAACGAAACGGACGAAACTGTCGTTCTGGGCCAAGTGGCTGGAGCTGCAGACGAAGATGTTCTGGCAGGCCAAACAGGTGCAGAGCCACATGTACAGCTCCCAGCCGCATGAGTGGCCGCTGCTCGACAAAGGCATCGCCTATTGGTTGGATGATGGGTCCAGTGCCCAGATCTATTTGCTTGGAAATGTGCTCATCTGGTATATGGCCAGTGCTGGATTGCTCATCTATGCGGGCCTGCTCATCTTTTATGCGTTGCGCCGGCGGCGATTGTGTTTTGATATCTCAGCGGTGGAGTGGAGACGTTTCCTCATCGCTGGCGATACCTTCTTTGTGGGCTATTTAATGCATTATTTGCCGTATTTCTTTGTGGATCGCACTCTGTTCTTGCACAACTATTTGCCGGCATTTGTGTTTAAGCTGCTGCTGCTTTGCTATGTGCTGGAGCATTTGGAGTATCTGTTGCGACGACATTGCAACGCTGTGCGTGGCATGCAATTGGTGCGTCTTTATCGTTTCGTGCTCCTCCTTTGGCTGTTCGCCGTTGTCGGCATCTTTGTCAAATTCTTGCCATTGAGCTACGGTTCCAAGAAGATGTCCGCCAAGGAAATCATCGATTTGCGCTGGAAGGACACCTGGGACTTTATACTCCAAAAAAACTATGCCCTCACCTAAAACTTGGACAACTTACGTACCTTACCATGTAAAAAGCCGAGCTGGCGCCAACTCAAGCTCAACTTGCGCAAAATTCTGTTCTGAAAATATTCATTTAATAAACTTATTTATTTATTTAAAAAACTTCAATTAAGATTTTTAGTTTAATTTTGGAATTGTTTTGAGAATTCTTTCCGATTATTTTCTTATTCCTTGATTTGAATTTGAACGGATACATTAAAAAACTAAAACAGAAATAATTACAATAACTTGATATTTACACCCTGAACCCATTTCAAATGGTTTTGTAGCAGGCAGAAGAAAACAACAGCGACCTCATAAGCTATTATATGTATTCTTGATCAGTATCAGTAACAGCCGAGTCGATATACATATATTGAAAGATAAGTTCTGAAATCCGCACAAATTTATAGATAGAACAAGTTCATTTAATATTATCGATAACTGCACACATATCGATTTCCGATAGCAATAAAAGTCACAATTTTAAGAGCAGCGGCTAATTATTTGTATATAATATACTTGGACAGATTATTGATCGGCTGCTCAAATTTAAAGATCGTATAAGAAAGACCCAAGTTGAAGTCAAATATTTCAAAATTCTCATTCGACAACAGCGTTTTTAGTTTGTTGGAACTGATTCTAGCGCAGAGTTAACAATCATAATTCAAATTTGATCGAGTATATAGAAAAAGGGAAACTGGAACATAGAAGAAAAGAATCGCATCAAGCAATTGCAGAGTTATACAGAGATGGCCAACATTGGACGCTTCAGGAATCGCAATGGGGATGCCCGAGCAGCCGGCGTCGTCTCAACCATAGATGCGGAGAACACGACGTCCAACTGCCTGATCAACGCGCAGCCGGAAGAGATAGCCGAGCATTTGATAACCACCGATTGCCGGAGACAGAAACTGAAGAGTGCCGGACAATTGTGGCCGGAGGCGCCTTACCTGCCAGCGGTTAGTGTGCCCGATCTGTTGGCCGTGGAGACGGCCAAGACACGCTTCACCGTCTTCAAGGAGAAGTTCTCGGAGGATATGTATCTGAAGAGCGCCAAATTGGGCGAGGCAAAGCCAACGTTCTCCAAGCCCGATCATGTGACCAATTTGAGTTGCACATTTGGCCAGCAAACCAAATCACCGAGCAGCCTGTACGATCTGGTGCTGCCGCGCAAGCCGGCGGAGCAAGTGAACCGTGAATTTGCCAAATTCCATGATAAATATGTGCTCAGTCATAATCATTATTTTCCATCGGAGCAAGTGAATCGCAGGTCTGATCTGAATGAATGAGTCGAATGAGAAAACCTAATCTTCAAATCCTGTACGTCGGCAGATATGCGGCACCATTTAGGCAACAGGACACCTTTGGCCGGGCCACCCAGGGCGATGTCAGTGGTCAGCTGGTGAAGCGTTGCATGCAACAGTGCGCCGGTCATGTCATCATCATCAGCAAGGAGCAGATGGACTTCATTGATCGCACCTATCCACGCATCGGTAAAAAGTACAAAATGTGAGTGTAAAAAATGTATGCTTAAATTGTTAGTCGACTGCGAGATACCCCCTAAATCCAGCTGTTAAATGTGTTACTCTGTGCCAAATTTCCCTCTCAATATATTTAATTTAAAAAATCATAAATATTTATAAGATATATTTATATTTTGCTCTATTTTTTCCGTGCAGATATCCGTATACGGTGCCGTCGCACCTGACGTATGGAACACCCACATATGTGCCGGACTGCGATTGCAAAATGTTGATCGAGGATATAGCGCCGTGTCGTAGCAATCAGCATTTGCTCGACGCACTGGGGCATTTGAATATGTGGCGCCACAAATTGCAGAAGCGTTCCGATTTCCATATGTTTGATCTGATCTCGGTGCTGGAGCATAGCGATAAGGAGCAGACACGCCATTTGCCGCTAAAGAAGATCTTTGAGATGATGCATAGGATGCATCTATATATTGATATCCATAAGATGCGCACAACTCTCGCCCATTTCAAGCTGATACTCGACGAGAATTGCGCCACGGAGCGTGTTAATTACGATGATTTCTGTCGGCTGCTGAACATCCAGAATCCATTGCCCACCACTGGCAATATATCGACAATGCCGGCGAATGTGTACAACAAGGAGACCACATATCGATTGCTCTGTTCCGATCTTGGCAAGCAGCCGAATCAGGCGCCAATGCGTAAACCGAAACCGCAGCAATTCGAAGATGAGGCGACCAATGTTAAGGAACTCCTCACGCCAGATATATCATCGTTATATGGTGTGTCGCCAAGCGACTTTCAATTGCAACGGCCGAAGGAGCACTTGGAGCAGATCTTCAAGGATATCGTGAATGTGAGTGACTTTGAGACGATTTGGCAACAACTCATAGCAACACACAAGGATCAGAATGGTTCGGTGTCCGTTGTCCAGTTTCGTGAGGCTATGGACAACATGGAGACAACCAGTTAGGGATAATCAACTTTAAAAACCATTGACTTTGATGCACAATAAATAAATTTCAAGTTTGCCGCGCTTCAGTTGAGAGAATGTATCGATTCGATATATTCAGCTCACAGTGCAGCTTTGACATCAACATAAATTAATCAATGGCTACCACAGCACTTTGATATTTAAATTCAAATTTCACTGGACTTTTATATTTACATTTAAATTTCCAATTTGTCGCACTTGCAACTGTTGCACACAAATCACAATCAGCTGAGCGCATTTATCGATTTTCAATGGCGATATATTCAGCTAACAGTGCAGCTTTTACATACAGAAACATTTATCGATAATTTTAGCACGAGTCTGTGCTTAAAAATAGCAAGCAGTGCAACTCTTTTTGTTTATAAGGATATCTAATAAATTATCCACTCTTAAAGCGAACATTTTTATCAGATTATGAATAGGAAATGTATGTTTACAGTTAGTTTCATTTTGAAGCTAGTAAGCAACGCCAGAAACTCTGCGAATCCAGTCCAAATGGGAGGTGACACGAGTGAAACCCGCTGGCGCCACCGATAAACAGCTTGCCGCATCGCTGAACGAGGTGACGCCTACCAGTTGAGGCTGCTGCTGGGTCACCAGAGGTCCACCGGAGTCGCCGTCACAAATGGATCTGCCCTCCGGTGTGCCGACGCATAGAACACTCTCCGGCAGTGTGCCATAGCTGCGAGTGCATTCCTCGTTGCTAATCACATTCAGATCGATGCACTGCAGCCAATCGGGCAGAGAGCTGCCATCGTAGGTGCTGCCCCAGCCACAGGTGAGCACCGCAGAATGCACAAATCGCTCATTGCGCTGTGCCAATCCCGGCAACTCCACCTTGTCGATCAGCGACCAGAATCCCACATGTGGTGTGCGTATCAAGGCGATATCATTGCCAATGTTGCCCGGCCATTGAGGATGTTGGACCACATCCTCAACGCCGACAATCAGACTAAACAATGCTTGGGTGCGTCTGGTGGCGCCATAGTAAATGGTCACCGCATCAATGTGATCCGTGCAGTGGGCAGCAGTCAGCACCCATTTGTGGTCAATGATGGATCCGCCGCACCACCGACCCAACTGACCCTCCTGCAGCAGCAGGCCAACAATGTAGGGTACCTGGCCAATCGACGCTGAATAGCCATGGGTTATAATACGATCCGGATGAGCTGCAACGTCGACAACAGCAACCAGAATCGCAGCCAGAAATGGGAGAAGCAACCTGCGCTGCAGCTGCATTTTAAAAAACAATTCCAATTTCGACACTTTCCAGCTTATATGAGGGCTTAAATACGACGTTAATTAAATAATATTTAATGTAAATAATGCCATTTATCAGCTGAAACTCTCGACTCCTAATGGCTTACGACATTAGCTCGCTAATGACGGATGCATCTACAAGTAATATGGGAGCAAATGGGAATATATTCTTACTCTGTCACACATCCATTAATATCTTATGTTAATTTAAAAATTATAAGAACAATTTTAATTGGAGAGTTTTGGTGAAGATTCCATTAAAAAATCAATAATATCTTTATTTTAAATACACAAAATATACAAATTAATTAAAATCTATATTTAAAATATAGAAATAAACAATTTCGATTTTTTTAAGAGGTGTCCAAAGTATATAAAAATTATAGGAAAAATGGAATTAAAATTTTAAGAGGTATCCAAAGTACAAGAAAAATTTAAATTGGAAAGTTTTGTTGAAGATATCATTACAAATCCATTAATCTTTGTTCAAAATATGAAAATAAATTCCGTTTTTTTTAAGAGGTGTCCAAAGTATAAGAAAAATTCGATTTTGAAAATTTTAATGCAGATACCATTAAAATACGATTTTAAAGTGAGTTTTTGGAGCCTATGCTAATTAAAGCTAGATGCTATACATCAAATCAAATAAAAAACAAGCAAATCTTAGTTCTTACTTGCTAAATACAATAATTTGTTTTTATTTAAACACAGTTCTCAATATTTATTTGGCATTATCCATAAAGTCTTTAGCCTCGTTTATTTTGGCCGCCAAATATGGTGAGCCGCCCCGATCCGGATGATTGAGCAGCATAATTTTTTTATGTGCATCCTTAACCTGCACACAGAAATTAAGTATTTCAAATAGGGAATAAGGATTTGGGATGCTATTTAAGACTTACCTTCAGTTTGGAAGCACTTGGGCTGACGCCCAAAATGAGGGCAGCTTCGCGTTTGTTCATCTTTGGGTCGAAGCCACCTTTGTAGTATTTGGCATTGGCCATGCTCTCCGCATCGAACTTGGGCAAATTTTTGAGAGCCTCGTTGAACGTTGCCGTCATTTGGGGCATGCGGCGCAGCAAGTGTTTGCCAGCGAAGCCGACTGCCGCAACGCCGAGGCCGGCGAGAATAAGCGAGCTCGTCTTGAAGTTATTAGTAATGGATTTCGGTTGTATTGGCATTTATGTGCACGTAGATGAAATAGAAATAGAAGTTGTCCAAATATATTTTATTAAATTTATAAATTTATATGAATTTATTACAATATTTTTACCATTTTTATGTAATCGATGAAACAGCTGACTAAAATGTGACTGGGATTGTTTTGTATATCGCCCATATCGCCAACTATCGATAGCAATTTCGATAACTTAGAGTAATATTCCATGCCCATCACTAATAAAGCACTGCATATTTTTATTTTGAAGCGATTTGTTTGGATTTCAAATGGCTAAAGTGCGAAAGCCGGCCATTTTTTGGATAAACAAACACGAAAATCTATTATTTACGCTATGGAACCAGAATATATGTGCACTGAAAAACAGTCGAACACGCTATCACATCTATCAGGCGATTGCCGAGAAACTAATCGAAGCTGGCCAACAACTCGAGTGGAAAGATGTGAGAACCAAACTTGATAATCTCACCCGAAAATACAAGTAATTATTGGGATATTTAACTAGTGAGAGCAGAGCTATGTTGCCTTTACTAAAACTCAAACTCAAATGCAGGGAAGAACTGAGACATTTTCGCACCACTGGCTGCAAATCAAATTGGCGGCATTTTGACAAAATCCAACAAATTCTGGGCGACGTTAACGTGGCCAACGAACTGCTGCCGAGTGATGGTAAAATATTCGAGTGTCTACATAGAAAATATAGTCAAACAGTTGCGCATATTTGCAGATAATGAAACGATAAGCAAAGAGGAACCATTTGACTACGAGGACTTAGCCTTCGACACCACCAACGCCTATTCGGATGCCTCAAATTCATCGCTGCTCATCCAGGAGCGAGATCAGCGACATTTCGTGGACATCAGCACGCTGGCAGAACCAACATTAAACACAGAGCGCAGACCAGCGACCAAGAAGCGTAAAGCATCCCTCAACAGCAGCAGCAACAGCGATCAATTGACTCCCTTCGAGAAGGCAATGCTGGAGATCGAAAGGGATCGCTCCGAGCGCTTGGAGCGGATTGCGCAACAGCGTCTGAAGATTATGCGTCGCATGGCGGCCGAGAATTCAGATTTTCATAGTAAAATCATTGCACTCATGAAGAGCAAAAAGTAATGCTTAAAAATAAGTAATTTTATATTGGAGAAGAAGACCAAGAACTAAACTATAATAATAAGTAATATTATGTCGTAGATTAAATGCAATTTATAAGTGTACTAATCGCTTGTCGAATATCCTCAGTTGCCGACTGCTCCGGAGACTCCTCCTCGGCAGCAGCAGTCACAACTGACTGCTGCTCCTGCTGCAGTTCAGCGTCGTCGAATATGTTGCTCCCGTTGCCAATTAAAAAATTGTGCAATATGCAGCAACAAATGATGATATCATTGCGTCTGCTGTGACAATCCGCACTTTTGGTTATGCGACGAAAACGTGATTTTAGCTGCTGGAAAGCTGCATCAACCACTTGTCGAGCATCCTGCAGTGCCACATTGAATTGTTTCTCCGTTTCCCCATGCGGTTGGCTATAGGGTGTCATCACTGTCGTCGCTTCGAATGCTGCATCGCCCAGCACCAAGACGGGCACTTCCACGCCAGCAATCGGTTGGCGATTTGACTTGAACTGTGGCGAACTCTCCAAAATTTCCTTCAAATAGCTCTCCTCGTACACCTGAGCAGGTGTAAAGCTGCCCGGACAACTGTAGTTGACATACAGAAATCTGCGACTAATTACAAATAGTTAAGCCAAATTATTCAGTTGGAATCACTTCTCAGCTTTGCTCACCGATGATCAACGAGCGCGAATAATATTTTCGAATACCAGTCTTGATTATTGTAATAAAGCGAGGAATTTGATATTGCCGCCGACACCTCCAAGTGGCAGATACCTAAGAATATTAAAGAAGAAATTACAAATGATCTAGAAACAAAAGGAGTACACATTTAGTTGCCCACCAATTGCGCCCAGGCACTGCGGAAAACCCTTGGCCTCGAAGCCAGTCACACACTCCTCCAGCTTCTGTTGGGTGAGGAACTCTTTGGGCAAATATTCCTGGGACAGGACACGTTTGACGGCCTGGCAAAAATCATTGAGAATTTTGCCCACCATCGACATGGAGATGCCAAATAGTTTGCCCACCACTCTGTACTCCGCGGTGCTACCCAGTGTATATAGTGCGATGGCAATGCGTTTCTCAATTGGAATCGCTTTGCGAAAATTTGTATCGTTTTTCCTCAGTTCCGGCAACAGTTGCACTAAAATATCAAAATATTCCTGTTCCATGCGAAAATGTTGCTTAAACTCGGCCTCCGTGCTGGCTGGTATATCTTTCTCCCAGAATGCGCCAGTTCGTTGCTTAAATTCGTCAAAATATTATCAATAAATAATAATGCATAATGCATAAACAATTTAAGTTAATTAAACATACAAATGCCCATTCGCGTGGCGCTTTGCGTTTTCTGCGTCGACGTTCGTAGGTCAAACGTAGTCCCTCCACTGTTTGCTCAAACTCCTCCTCCCACTCGAGTAAACTCAGCAAATTGAGATCGTTGTGTTCGCATAGAAATAATAACTTCGCGGGATCCATTTTGATTGCAATCAAAAATTTTTGTCACAAATCAAAACATCAACAAAATCAGCTGTTTGGCAAACTCTTACTCTTAACAGCTGTGTCACAGTCGGCGCCAGGGCTGCAGCAAACGCTCAACAGTTCTCAAACAGTTGTGCGATAAATACTTATGAATACAAATTTATACATATTTATGCAATAATACATGTTGACAATGATTAATTTGGCACTGCTTGCACAATCAGTTGACTTTAGTTTAGTTATTTTACGCCAAATTGTAGCTTAGCTTGTGCGATAATTGTCACTGGTTATCGAATATAAACGCTTATCGATTCATTGATATATGTTGAAATCGCTCGCCAAAAACGTATCGGGCACCCACAAAACAAGTGAAGAAGAAGCGTGAAAAATTTGATGTGCAAAAGTTTTAAAATCGAAATTTTTTTGATATTATTGATTTGCAAAAGTAAATGTGTCAATTTGTTGTTTATTAATTGGACAAATAAGTGCCGTGACTGTTGCTGTGTGCTGTTGGTGCCCCCAGACGTTGACTGTCTGTCTGTCTGTCCGTCTGGCTGTGTCAGTGTGTGTGTGTGTGTGTGTGTTTTGGCAAAGAACTGAAACTATTTTTGGCGAAAGGCAAAAGAGGCATCAGCAGCAGCAGCCGTCAAACTGGAGCGGATTCCGGAGTATTTGCGCGACACGGTCGATTGGCTGATGGGGTAAGTTAGTAGTAAGCAGTAAGCAGTGCAATAATCTTGGCCAACAAATTAATAAATTGCAAATTGAGTTATCAAATTTATAAATAGTGTGTAACAGCAGGGCGACAATAAACACGGCGAGACGCGACGTCGCGACGTAACGTCGTCCGTTACGTCGCGTCTCGCCTCGTCTCGCCACTAGGTGGTGTCTTTTTATGTCCTCTGCGCTTTTACTTTGTCGTCGTCGTTTGGCATTTTGCCAATTGGCCTCGTTTCTTGTTTTCTCATCCATCCTCTCTCATTTTCATTTGCCGTTATCGTTGTTGTTGTTCTTTTCTATATATGCCCCCCACCACATATAACGCCTGACGTAGTTTTACATTACTCCTATTCCTAGTTTTATTGCTCGCTCTCTTTGTTGTTGTTGTTATTCCTCCTCTGCAAAATCAATAAAAGGCTAATTTCATTTTTTATATCGATTTCTCAAATGTAACGCAAGTCGAAAGTGTTTTGATTTTCATGAACTTGCACACGCACACACAGACACACACACACACGCATACACACACACATCGACTTACACGCATTTCTGCTTCCTCGTCCTCTTCAGCAAGGCCATTGCATTTTTGATTGCGTTTATCTTTGTCGTGCTTTCATCCTCGCTCCTCTCTCTCTGTCTCACTCTCTCATGCATTCGCTTGCTTACTCACACACTTCTTAGACCTGATTTCCATTGTTCCATTCAGCTGCTGCTGCAGTATCTTCGCTTGTTTATGTTTCTACGCGTTTTTGTGTTGTTGTCGTTGCTGTTGTTGTTGGCGTGCGTTGATAAGCGAATTAAGCGAGAAGCAGTCGGTTTAATGAACTTGCCTTGCCAATTTCCCTTGCATCCATCGTAATCAAAATGCAAAACAAACATCACATGGCAACAGCCAATAGCCAACAGCAATAACAAACAGTTTTATAGATCAAGCAAACAAACATTCATTAAACACCGACTCTTCTTGCATGCACAGACGTGTTTACATTCACACACACACATAAATATACATATACAGTGTGCCACAAAACTCCAGCTACACGCATAATTAATATATGTCACACAAACAATATAATTTATAATTTTTATACATTTTTTTTGTATTTGAAATTCCCATCCAATTCCATTTAAACAGTGTGTCAAGAAAGTGTTTGGACACAGTAAAAATTCGTCTTTTCTATTGCAAAAAAATTAATTTTATTATTAACTTTTATTTTAGTTTTTCTTATATTTGTAGAGCTCTTAATACTATTTCAATTTATTTATATATTTCCAATGATTTATTTGTTAACTTGCATTAAGTAATCGTTCCAGTTGTTGGGTTAACACTGTACTTATCCATCTTTCATTTCTATACCCCGATTAATTTCATTTGCAGCGAGGGCAGCTTATTGTATATATTAGATTATTATATATATATTATTTTATGTACATAAGGGTTAATAGTAGCTTAAAACTGACCAGATTTTGGATAGGTTTCCATCAATATATTTATATACTTGAAGAGACAGCTATAATGTTTTTACTATCTGATCTTTTCCATAGAGCTTATGTGTATTATTGGGGTCTGTTCTTATGCCCTGATAATGGGTATCATCAACTTGGGCAAAGGTATATATATTATTGATTGATTTTGTTGTTATATATATATATCGATTTCCGATAGCAATAAGAGCCACAATCTTAAGCGCGCAGATGCTTCCAATTGATATATAATATACAATGAGATCAATTAATGATCAACTGCACAAGTTTCAAGATAAAACCAATTTATAATGCAATACCCTATAAATTGCGAGCAGTTTTTAGTATGCAAATAAAACTAGAATAATATATAACAGCTGGATTTAGGGGGTATCTTGTAGTCGAGCTCAGGCGACTGACTTGGCATTCTTATTTGTTATGTTGCGGATTGTAGATCTTAATTTAAATGTTGCCCAGCGGCAATTAGCGTTACAATTAGCAACAAAGCTGGTAATGTTTATTAATAATATATATTATATGTATGTAAATATATATATATATGTATGTATAGGATGATTAGGCAGTTATTTAAACAGCCCTCGCCTTTTCTCACACTGTCGCCAAGTGCGGAGGCATTTTTGCGGCCTTGAGGCACACTTAGCACAACTCTAATTGAATTAGAGAAGGCAAGGCGAAAGAAGGGGCACGTCACACACACAGAAAGAGGGAGAGACAGAGAGAGGGGGGGAATGTAATGCGAGAGAGAGAGAGAGATGGATAATTTGCAAACTCTTCACGTATGGAATTGATTGACAGCGGACAAAATCAATTTTTTGCTGGCAGTGGGCAGTGGAAAGGGAAACCACTTACGAGTTTGGCTAAGAAGGCGCGCTTGCAACACAATCGACAACTCGCTGCACTCGTGTGTGCTCCTCAGTTGCACTTGTGAACTAAACGCGACTGGGTCTCCGTCCGTCTCTAGTTAGTCTAAATATCAGTATTAGTTTTAGCCAAGTCAGTGTGAGATGAACTGGGCCATCTCGAATCTGACTGGTGGCAATCGGGTGAGTCGTGCGATACTTGTCCGTTACTCATCGGTGCCGCTGGATGCCGCCGAGGATGGGACATCGAGTGTGCCACAGACTCCGGCGGCAGCTGGTGCTGCTGCTGCACGTGCAACCATGTCGCATGCCACGCTATCCTCAACATTTGCAGCCACATTTCTGCACTCGTCCTCCCGTCATCTCAACAGCAACAACAACAACTGCAACAGTGGCAGTGGTGGCAACAATGGCACTGTTGCCGCTGGCGGTGGTGCCTCAGGTGGCGCCATTGGTGGACAACTTTCGTTGCCACTCGATGTGGAGGAAACGGTCACCTGTTTTTGTAGGTAAGACCCCGGCGGATGAGGGGAGGGGCGAGGAGTTTGGGGAAGGAATTTCAGCTGGAATTTAAAATGCTCTGAATTCAAAAGCAATTTTAATTTGCTAAAAAAAAATTGGCTTTTTGTTTTTCTCATCATTTATTCAAGATTTTCGCTGAATTTTTAATGTGAAAAGTTGTTTTTGGGTTTTGGTTGTTGTTGCTGATTGTTAATAAATAATTAATTTGCATTGGCCTGGATTCAGCCAGCTTTGAGCAGCGCAGTCAAACTTGCAATATTCTTTGACCCAATTGAAAACTGGTTGAAAGGTTATGTTGAAATTATACCTACCCCATAAGTTATATATATATATTCTTGATCAACATAAAAAAAAACAGTCAAATAAATTCTCTTCCTGTTTCTGTTATCCTCATAATAACAATATTTTCTCAAGTACAGAGATGTGTTATATTAAATCTGAAGAAGGTTAAAAAAAGGCTGATAGATTCAGCTGATCTCTACAGTTATCCATCTCCGACAGAAACTTGAAAACATAATCAGAAATATAGAAATGGAAATACCTATGTATATATTTATTTATATATATATATATATTATATATCTGTAAATATCTGCCTCTTTTTAATTTTCGTTTTACTGACCTTAAACAATATTTTCATTTTACTGACCTTAAACAATATTTTCATTTTACTGACCTTAAACAATATTTTTGTTGTTTATTTTTAAAAAGAGTGTATATATATTAAAAATACCTCATGCATTTTAGGGTATCTGCTAGTTGAACACTCCTCACTTCCTCTCTCTTCCGGCAAATCACTCTTTTTTTTTTAATTCAACGTCAATGTCAATTGGGCAACATAAGAAACAACCAGCAAGCAGCATCAAAAAAGAGCGAAAGAGAAAGAGCGAAAGTGCAAAAGCTTGCATAGACATATGCACACATACATACACACACATGTACATATGTTATAATTGCGTCTGCTTTTGTTCTCGTTCTAAAAACAGCTGATTATGAAAATTTAGCTGCTGCTGTTGTCTCCCTGAACATTTCATGCTGTGTTTTTATTATTGTTATGTGAAATAACATTCTGGGGAATTACTCATCATGCGTGTCCCGTTATTTTGTTTGCTGCGCATTTGCCAAATGTCCCCCCTCCCCCAGTCCCCCTTTTATTATGTTTTGTTTTTTTTGTAGGGTTTCCATTTGCTAAAAGAAACCCCGCAACGGTCATAAGCTGTGAAGGGTGTTGGAAAGAGAGGAGGAGGGCAGGGGAGTGAGGTCTAAATGCTGATTTCACACCTACGACGCATTTAGGCAGTGACGCGCCCCTTTTGCTGCCGCGCCCCTCCTTTCACAAATGCATGCATAAATCTCACACACACGCTATGCATATGCATTGGTGTGCGTGTGTGTGTGTTTATGTGTTTATGCCTGTGGCGCTTCATAAAATTCATAGTTTTCCCCCATTCCTTTTGGCTGTTTTTTTGCGCACTTCTTAAATTTTGATGGCTACATCTGACGTCATTTGTAATGCGCATGACCCAAAGCTGCTGCTGCTGTTTTTTGTTATTGTTATTGTTATTGTTTGTCATATTTATGTGTGTGGAGGTTGTGCTGGTGGCGTGACCGACAGACTGACTAAACGGAACTTACCGTCACACACACACACATGCACACATAGATACGTGCGAGATTAGTGTAAATAGCAACAAATAAACACAGGCCGTGAAAGAAAAACAAAAACAAGACAAACGGCGAAAACAGTAGTAAATATTGTGCGAAAGAGAGAGAGAAAGGCAGGGGAGAAAGATTGCTGTTGATTTTTGTTATTGATGTTGTTGTTGTTATTGCCAGCAGCAGCCGAGCAGGAAATAAACACTTTGCATCGTTCTCTCCTTCTCTTTCTCTCTCTCTACCGCTCTCTCTTTTGATCTACCAAACTGCATGCAATTTAATTTTGTCTGTTTTACTTTCTTAATGAGATAGGAAATTTTTACATTGAAAAAATTAGACTAAATAAATATCTTCAATTTGCAGCTAAAGAAAAATTTCATTTAGTCAGTTATCTTTTGTGTGCTTAAATAATAAAATAAAGAAATATTTTTTAAACAAAAATAATAGATAAAAAATAATACTAAATTGTCATCTATAAATGTCGATTTTACTACTTTACTGTTTTTCTTTTCTTTTTTTTTAATATGAAATGCACACAAAATTTCCAAATCTTTTCAGCTCTTTGTTTACACGCTAAATAATGGCAGGGGGTGGAGCATTTTAGGCAGATTGTTTGCCGTTTGATCGCTGTCTGTGCTTTTCTGTCGTCTGCACTCGACTGCGACGAGACTGCAAAAGCCGCTGCAATAAATAATGAGCGCAAAGCAATTCAAATAATGGCGAATTGCTGCTGGTGCGAAGTCGGCGTCGCAGTTCGAACCGCTAGAAAGCAGCCAAGCAGCGCCGTCCGCCTGCATTTACATCTGTGTGCATGAGTGCATTATGTAAAAAGGAGTCCAAAGACACAGACACACACGCACACAAATAAACTTGCGGGTTCAAAGAGAGGAACAATCAGCAGTTGCTGCTGCGATGCGGGCGGTCACAGGTGTGTTTACTGTCCAGCAGCAGAACGATATGATGATCAGAGCGAGCCAGCAAAGGAGAACGCAACTAATTGCACTCTGTGCACTCTCTCGCTCTCTCTCTTCGCTCTGACAGCTGGAGTGTTGTTGTGTTTATTGCTGTTCCTTTGTGTGCTTGTCTTCTTCAATGACGGTGCGCCTTTTTGATTTTGGCATTTGGGAATGATTCCATGGAAGAAACCGTGAACCAAAATCCAGTTCCTGTGTCATTTCTTGTTTGCTTGTTCTTCTTTGTCTTTGTCTGTGTTCCTTCTTTCTTATCAATGGTCCACAAAGTGTGTGATAATTATACACAAGAGATAGATATAGCCAAGGGGGAGGGGGGAGTAGGGGGCGTTGCTAATGGCATCAAATGTTATTCTGGTTTTTATTTTTACCTGTGAGTTTTCATGCGGGCCACGAACTTTGTGGGATCCTTTTTATATGTCTAACTTGATAATAACATAATTAAAGTTAGTTCTTTCTCTTTCCAATACTAATATAAACATTTATTTTTTCTCTTTTCTTGCAGGTGAGTACTTTAATTCTCTATGGGCATTTTTTGCAACAAAAAAAGAGGTGAATAATTGTAAAAATAGTACATGTTACAGAATTGAAAAAAATATAAACTACTATTATTCCATATCTTAACTTTTGTATGCTAAAGAAAAAGTAGCAGAGTTAGTAGTAAATTCTACTACTATTTTCATGTGAACTAAATGTTCATGCCATCTGGCAACGCTACCCGCTGCTGTCAGCTGTCAGCTGCTGAGCGAACAAAAAAAAACAAGCAACTTGTCTGAGTATTGACGGCTCAGCTGTTGCCACGAGAGTAAGGTAAAGAAAGAAAGAAAGAGAGCGAGCGAATGCACAGCATTAGCCGAGTGAGTGAGTTCGGCTGTCAAACAAGTGGTTGTGTGCCGCATGTTCATACACACACACACACATACACATGCATACATACGTTCTGGTCTTGCTTGACTGCCGCAACACACACACAAAAACATTCACTACTCCGCTCTCAGAGAGAAAACCAGTTAAAACAATGTATGTGTGTGTGACAGCATTCAAAAGAAACTAACTGCAGCAACAACAACAACAGAGAGAGAGAGACCATCTCATTCGCCATCGCCATCGTCATCGTCATCTTGCTCTGCTTTCGTTCGGGCAGCTTCTGCTGTATGCGCTCGCTTTGCATGTGTATTTGTGCGTCATTCACAGGCAGTTGGCGGCAGTCAGAGTCAGGCTAGGCAGCCCGCTGCCTCAGTATAGAAATTTCCTTTGGCACGTTCGGTTGTCGAACGGTCGTCGTCGGTTCGTCGGGTTTGCCGTTTTTAACTTCAACTTCGGCTCTTTTTACGTTTTAACATTATTTTGAGGCAACATTTCTCAACATCGATTACAACTTGTATGTGTGTAAAAAATGTGCAGTTAAAACAATGAAAGCATAAATTCAAAGAAAATAAAAAAAGTGAGAATCCAGAGTTTAAAAATCATAAACGTCAAAGTAAGCAAAAAGGAGTTCAACACTCATGTGCTTGGGTGTGTGCGTGTGTATGTAAGAGTATGTGTGTGTGTGTGTAAGTGTAAACTGTGTCATTCACAGCTCTAACTGCATACGAGTTTTCAATACTTATATGGGCAAAAAAAAAAAAACTTCGCTACCTCTTCAGTAGTTGCTGTTGTTGTTGCCACGGTTTGTTGCTTCACTGATTACGCGCAATGCAGCAGTAGCAGTAGCAGCAGCTTGCAAAACCGGCGAAGCGCGTCTGTTGCCAATGCAACGTTTTAGAATTGGCACACCAACAAAAACAAACAAACAAACAAACAACAACAACAATAATAACTGTTACGGTGCATCGAGCTTTTGCTGCTGCTTTGGCCAGTGTAACTGTAACTGTAACCAGTAAGCAGCAAGACTAACAGCAGCAGCGCAGCGGCAGCAGCAGCATCTGCTCTGCTAACGTCAGCAGGCAGCGCTTAGTTTAATTTTATTGTTGCCATTTAGCGTGTCTTTTTCTCCCTCTTTCTCCTCTTTCTTCTTTCTCTTTTTAAGCACTTCCTTTGCCGCAACGTTGTCTGTCTGTGTGTCTGTCACTTCCTTGCCGGACGTAGCCTTTCCGGCCTACAGTCTGCATCCCCTCATCCTTTATTGTTGTTGTTGTCAGGTGGCAACCCTGTCAACCCCTGCAGGCTCAAACGTGCTTAAAAAAAAGTTCAACATTGAATGCAGGCAGGCACTTGAAAGTTGCTGCTTCTTCTTCTTCTCCTGCTGGTACTTTTTGATGTTTCCTTTCGCAAATGCGTCACCAGCTGCACAGTGTGACAAATATCGATTCCCTTTTTTTTTGTTTTATGTGTTGCCTGCTTTTATTTATACAGTTTGTCAAGAAAGTGTTCATCTTTTCTCATTTATTTTGCAGACAAAAAATATATTCTATTATTGCCTCTTATTTTTGCTCTCTTAATTTTGTACTATTAAGTAGAGTTTTTAAAACAAGTTAGTGTTGTAATATTAAAATCGAAAATGATTGATGCGAACACTAGAAATTTGTTCGTATCTGAAAACAATCGATTTTAATTGTTAACTTGTCATTTATTTTTGTCATATATTGAATATTATTAACGAATTTCCTGTTTGCCAATAATCTTAGTCAGTTATAAAGGACTTTCCCGACGAATCCGACTATCGTATTAACATTATTGCAACAATAACAACACCTACGTCCTATTGGAAAACTAGTTTTATATTGCTTTGTTGTTTGTAAGAATTCTACTACGATTCAAAGAGTGTGAAGCGAACAGCGAAATAGAATGAGAGGTGGTGTGTATGTGTGTGTGTGTATGACAAGGGGTGGGGGAGTGCATTGATTCTGTGAGTGCGCTTGTGTTTTAGTTTCATTTTGTTATATTTGCCATTTGATTTTGTTTCGTTTTGTTTTGCGTTGCTGTTCTTTCTTTCACTGCTGCTGTTGCTGTTGTCTCGCTTTCACGACGTCTTTTGCTTAATGCTCGTTTGACCTTTAACGGTGCTTTGCCTGGTCGCGACTTGAACACACGCACACATAGAGAGTCGCCAACAATTAAGCTCATTCAAAATGCGAACAAAATGCGATATTCAGTGTTGTCGCACACTCAACGACACGACGTTAGAATCACTCCATAAAAATGAGATTTAATTGCTGTTTTTGGAGGGGTGTGTGAAAAAAAAAAAAAAAAAAAACAGCAAATTGACTTCAATGCGAGTTGAAGGTTAAGCATTGCTGCCGAAGTCAACGCGGAAGGGGAATTGATTTTGTGGTTTCGTTGGCGTGCAGACAAAAAATAAACCTAAAAAAAAATCCAAATGTACAATAAAGATATTATTATACATGTGTAAATAAGTGCAGTCTCTTCGTGTCATTATGTGTGGTTATCGATACACAATGCAAATATGACAAAGAAATAAATACAAGTCGGGAAGTGGTGTTAGTTTAGCTAACCACGCACAGTTTTATCGATTTCCGATGCTCGACATGTCTGCACATGTATAATTATTTATAGCACAGTCAACCCTCCCACAATGAACTGCATTACTTTTTTTGTGTGCTTATTGATTGCCATTCCGTAGTTCTTGTCGTTGTTGTTTGCCTTTTCCATTTCCCATTTTTTGAGCTTTTCAATATTTTGTCAATTTTCTTCTTCTGCATTTATAAATAACCTTAAACGATTTTTCTGCGCAAACGACAAAAAGTGTCAATGTCAGCTCAGCTGTCGCGCTGCTGCTGCCACTGCTGCTGTTACCCAACAAACCAAAACAACAACATCGAACAGAAAAAAGTAAAAATCGAAAAGCTGTGCTAAATTTATTATTCAGCTGTCCGTCCGCCATTGCCGTCATCAGCATGGGGCCTGTTTTGTTTTTGTTGTTGGCATTTTGTTTTAGTGTCGTTCTCATTTCATTTCATTTCATTTTTCCTTTGCATGTCCTCTTGTCAAAGCTTGTGCTGTGTCTCTGTGTGTGTGTGTGTATGTTTTTTTTTGGTCAGGCCGTTATCCCGTGCACTCTCTTTTCGTACATATTTCTAACGGTACACGTGCCATTAATTGCTTCATGCAAGCGCCCGCTGCAGCGAGAGAGAGAGAGAGAGAAAGAGTGAGAACAGAATAGCGAAAATGTGTGGGAGTGAGATGCAAAGCTGTATAAGTATTTCTTTGGCTAACCTGTCAAAATCAATCTTCGACTGCGACTATTTATACCCTGCTCTTAGATAAATGTGCAACAATATGTTTAAAAATGTTGTGCAATTTTAAATGAATATCTTTCTGACTACATAAGCCTTCAAAATATAATTATATACAACACGTATTTGCTTATGTACATATAGAATAGGTACAGGGCAGTGACTAGTCGTGATTTATGAACTACTCTTGTTTCGTTTGCCTCAAAATGTCATAAAGGCGAAAAAATAGCAACAACAAAAATCAAAGAAGATGTAAAACAAAAGCGCATGTTGCAATCATGTATTTTTTTGAGCTGCTGCCCACTTGTGGCGAATGTGTGTTTGTGTTGCATGCATCATGATGTATGCATAACAAACAACACTCGAAATGTTGCGGTTACAAGAGGAATAAGAAATATGTATGTAAAGCAAGCGAAGCGCCACAGACACCCACAAATCGAGAACACGTCAACGCACAGTGGTTTGAGGGTGTTGCGCAAATTGCGCTTGATTGACAGTTGTCAGTTGTGCTTTTTTCTCACTGTAACAAACTTAGAAACATGAATAGCTGCCCAGGTTAAATATTTCTATCACGAAACGCGGCATTAATTGAAATTGAGAATCATAAAGTTTTATAGTACAGCAAAAATAACAACTACAACAACAACAACAATAACAGCTGCCATAAATTATTGATTGTTGGACAAATTGAATGCAACTACATTTCGTATGCCGTTTTTATTATTACTTGTTATGAAATGCATATCTATGTAAATATATCTCGGTGCTTTTATGACTGAGGAAATAAAAAATGACGGAATAAAAATCTATGAAATATCCGCAGTAGATCTTTAGAAAAAGTACAAAGAAAAATACATTTTATATGCAAAAGTATTAAAAAACGGAAAACAACAAATAAATAAATATCAATTGATAAAAAATATATAACAAATAAATAAATATGAAATATTATTTGAGATTTTACATATTAAAGTAAAATACAACTAACAAATAAATATTAAATGTTATTTGAGATGAAAGGCAATTCTAATTTGTTGGACACAACTAGAACCACTGTCAAACATTTCGGCTTAAATATTTATAGTTAATCTAAACGCAATCTTTGTGTGTGTTGGAAAAAGCCTCTTATAATCTCAATGAGATTTTCATTTTATAGAGGCTTTAGTTGAGCTCTTTTTATTTCTTATTTTTTGGCTGGTTGTTTGTTGTAATAGTTGTTGTTGCTGCTCCGCCAACTGTGGCAGCTGCGACTTTGACTGAGGTCTATAATTATGCGGCAGGCGGCGGCAGCAGCATCATCTTCCACCAGTGCTCTCAGGCAGTGGAGCAACAGTAGGTGATGGGAGGAGGGGCGGTGAAGGGAGGGGCCGTCTTTGGAATCGTCTTTCTTGTAACTGGATAGTGGAAATTGCGCTGATTTGCTGATACCCTACACAGAGGGTATTTGAAGTATGTCGTTGAGTTTGTTTATATATAAAGTATATACATTCCCGATCAGCATCAAAATTAGAGTCGATATCGACTTGTTTGCTTATAGTTTAAAGCTATCTAGTTAACAAGATATCTGAACGAAACTTACTCTATATATGCGCGATATATTGTGCTTCTAACAGTTAAACAAAAAAGATCGAGATCGGCCTTCTATATCATATAGCTGTCGATCGAAAGTTGAGTCTTGTTTAGCAAGTTATCCTGACCAAAATCACCAATTATAACTATAATTATATTCCTCACATTTAGACAAAATATCAGCAATATCGCACTACTATATCATATAGCTACCATAGGAATAAGCCGTTGTTTATTTCAATTTATAGTGAAACTTATATTTTTGTCAGTTTAAAACATAATCGGTTAGTGTATATAATCTTCGAAATGTTTGACTTAGCCATTCTTTCCAGTTTTTTTTTTTGTTTTGGTTGTTTTTTGTTTTTTAGTCGAATGTTTTCTAGCTAATTTTCGGCTACTTTTGCAATCGAGACTCCCACCGAGATGCGGACACGACTGGCTAATCCCTCGTTGTCATGTTTGTTGTTATTTTCATTGTTGTTGTTGTTTTTGTTATTGTTGTTGTTGTTGGCTTTTTCCTCAGTGCACAACATCTTTTCCATTCGTCAAATTGAGTTAGCGAAAATTACTATAATTTTGTGGGAAATTTTATGGGTCAAATTTTGTGCTGTGCTTTGACAATGGCTAAAAAAAAAAATAACAACAGAAAAAAAAAACAGAGCCGCCGCTGACCGCAGCTGTTTTTTTTTTTTTTTTTGTTTTTGTTGATAATTTT